AGAGGTATGACAGCAAAATTGTACTTACCTAAACTTATAATAATAATATTACGAAAAAGACCTTAATCTATTAACATTGTTTACAAACTTAACTAAATTACTTAATTGGAAATAAGTAGTGGGACTTCACCATATTCTTGAAGCAAGCGAGACTGATGGACTCTTCTAATGTTTTTTACTTTGAAATATTAGTTAGCCATATAATACCAATTTAGTTACGATATAATTGTTTAAGGTTTTAATGCAACTTGCGTTACTATCGCGATGCTTTACAAAATGCCACTTTTAGATATTAAACAGCGACACAATAACAGTTTAGCTGTACAAATTATTACCCAGACCTGTGTTTGCTGAATCTTGTTATTGAATTTCTTCAATTGCTGATCGAAGGTGCCCTTAATCATAATGCAATTCGGTGTTTGTTTAAAAAACAATGAATTATAATTACATTTAAATAATATTTAAATTTATAGCAGAACAATCATTTACGTTTAAAAACAATTGTAATTATATAACTGTAGTAATTTACATATTATCAAAAACTAACACCGTTTCTTAATAAAGAAAATAAAAGTAATGATATCGGAAGCAAAAAAACATTACGGTAAATATTACGAACCTCAATTTTATATTTTATTTTTATTACATATAAGGGGTTGTCCATTAATCACGTGAGGCTTGAAAGGGGGGGGTTTGATAAAAATCACGAAAATAACACAAGGGGGAGGGGGTTCTGTAGTAAGATATCTCGTGTATTTATTTTTTCGTCAAACGCGCGATTTTTAAACAAATGGTGTACACATTTTTATTATGGTCCTTAAATTCAGAATAAAAGATTTTAGTTTATACCTGTATTTAAAAGATAATATTCAGAAAATCTTGAGATTCTTTGTAGGTACTAAAAATACACGTGATGTTAAAAAGGGGGAGGGGGTGGTCTTAAACCTCACTACGTATCACCAATGGGGTGGGGGGGTTGTTAAAAATTCTAAAAAAAAGAACACGTGATTAATGGACAACCCCTAAGTGAGTTACTGAATCTATAATGCAGGTCAAATGTGTTATATTTTATGATATAGGAGGACAAACTTGGGATTCACTTGCCGGTAGGTGACATATCCAGTGACATTTAAATAAAACACTTTTAAATAAGTTCAACTAATATATCGCGTTTTAAACCGTTAAAGTGTTTTATTTAAATTTGTACTACTCGCGTAAACTATAGACAGTATTTATATCCAGTGACGTTTATAGAAGACGCGCTGTCGACCTGTTTTGGCTTTGGGTTTTCTGACTTTGTTGGTAGATAATAAATTAAGATGTATTACTGTCTATAGGCAGTTACGCGAGTAGTAAGCATTCACAAACATTTTAATAGCTTACCTTATTTACAAATTATTTTCGTTATGGTCCGCCGTTTCTGATGATATACCGCAGCCGTGGATGCGGTGGGACTGAAGATGGAGGGTGTCCCTTTTGCCAAAGTAAAACTACGCCGAAACAGTATTTAAAGTGTATTGATTTGAGTTTGAGTTTGATTTAAAGATTCAATGTTTATCTACATAAATGTAAGAAAGAATGTTATACTTTGTTATCTTTATATAGGGATATAACGGTTCTTTATTCATCAGATATAAATAACAAACGCCTGACAATGGACAGACGAATGCTAAATCACGATTAATTATACGATTCTAGATTAGACAGCAATAAGAATGAACTATTGAAAGCATTATCTTCAATCGAAATAAGATAAATGTAGCAAAACATTTATCTTATTTTTTTGGTGGGGTTTTACTTCAAAGAGAAGAAATTAAATAACTAATAATTTTTTGTGTTATTTCTTTTTGATTTAAATTTTAGAATGTCCAATGTTCAGTAGCCCAATGGTTAAACTATTTACTAGAGTTCGATTTCCGAGAATCTAATTTTTTGGTTCGAAAAGATATAATACGTCTACTGCAATATAGACACAGATATGTGTCTCCCTTAAGAATTCCACATTGAAGAAACGGGACATTGCTTTATGTAATTCTTAACATTACTTTCGACAATATATTATTTATTTTTTTATTTTTTTTAATCTAAGCGGAACAAAAGTTAGAAAAATAATATTTATTTTCAATATATTCCAGAACTTACTGGAAACGTCGCAATACGTTTTTATCAATCAGATATTAAATTCAATCAAGATTTTATAATTCGTGTCTTAGTAAGAGCTTTGTTCTTTTATCCTCAGCATTGAACCAGACAATACGATTAAAACAAAATTTAATTGGCTATTTTTAGGAATCGTGACCATAAAATAATTTTAAAGCAACAAGATGATGTAATATTCAAACAGTTAAAAATATGCAACTAGTTAGCCAAATCTCTTTATTTTATTATTAATAATATTGACTTAAATACAGACTGGTTTAAAACGCGATATATATTAATTAACCTTATTTGGAAATAATTTCTTGTGTTGCAGCAGCCGTGGTCAAGGGGAGACAAATAAGTTTACCTAAAATATATCGCCGTTTAAACCGGTAATGTGTTTTATTTATATCTCGTATATAACTTCTAATTTACGGGCTACGTCAAATGTCTATATTGTTTTTATTAAACAGTTTTATATAGTTTGACCCGTACGGAATTTATTTATTTGGCTCAAATATCTGAAATTTGGTACACAAATTTAATTTAGATGACAATATAATACAATAAAATCAATAACATTATAAATCTAAGATGGCCGCCGATACAAAATGGCGGATTGCATATTTTTCCTTAACCCCCTCAATATGGGTATCAAATGAAAGTAAAACACGATGATTATGTCAAAACTTGATTTTTTTGTAGTTTTCAGTGCACAAAAAATAAAACCGTTTAACTTAAAAGGTTTTTTAACGATTTTTATTCACCGAAGTCTTTTTCGTAAGAATATTTCTATAAATCCTATGGGGTTATATAAAAGGTTCTTTTGAAAGGTTAACACTACAATGGACTATGTCTTTTAACGTATTAACAAAGCTATTTCTAGCCATACAAAAAACCAATTCAATAAACTTGACGTAAATACCTCAGTCACGAAACTTAACATTTCGAAAACTATTCAAATCGTATTTAATTACGCATTTATTTCATTGACCTTCTCTCCTTCGTGATGTGTGCATTTTCGGACTTTTATAATTATTTGCCAATTCTCAACAATTAGTTACAGTAGCGTAATTTTATTTTGAGTAAACTTTACAGAAAATAAAAAGCCAAAATAGGCCGACAACGTATTTTGTTAGGATTGGGCCGGAGTATTTCAACTACCCCCAACCCCTTGCTTGTCCCTCCTCTCTCATAAAAAAAGTACATTTATTTCACAGTTGTGTGCAACGTTTGGTAAACTTTACAAGTTTTATTATATTTGTAGGTTGTAAACCAATTATTTTGTATTAATACACACGCAAATGAATACAAAACATAAATAACAGAAATTTGACTAAAATATTCTCCTTTAAATAAAACACTTTTAACGGTTTAAAACACGAAATATGAACTTATTTACAGTCTCCTTAATACATATATTTCGCGTTTTAAACAGTTAAAAGTGTTTTACTTTAATATGTTCTGTTTAATATTTTCCTTGCTAAAAGTAATTAAAATAATAAAATTCGTCAGAATTAAGTAAATAGTTGAGAAGTCTAAATATATGGATTTTTTAAACATACGTCATACTTGCTAGTGTGACTATCGTAGCGAAATATTTATATCTCATGTCATCGCATTAAATTCAAGTCCTGATACTGTCAGGCCGTAAAAATGTAAGTGATCTGCCACTCAACCAGCCCACGTATCAAATCTGGATTTCCATCACGTACTTAGAATTACGGTGCGGTATTTCCCACAAAATGTCACTCACGAACGAGGCGTGGACGAAAAGGTGCATAACCCCTGACAAAACAATGCGTTCCGCGAAATCGAAATCTAATCGCGATTATTATCTGTCTTTAAATTGCGATTGTATAATTTCGCTTATTAGTCATTATGTTGATCAATAAAGTTTTTCAAAAACGTCTGCACGTACAAATTTGAAGCTACAATCTTTACTATTAAAAAGCTGAAGAGTTCGTTTAAGCGAGCTATTCTGCGAACGCAGTTTTGTTTTTTGTGTTCGATAGCCGCTGCGATCAATAGGAGCGATGAAACAGGAAAATGTGAAATAATCGGAGAAAACGGTTCGTCGCGTGCGCTGCAGACACGGTTCAGGAAACCAAAAAAAAATGTCCGCGAACCGATTTTGAGTTGTATCAACATAATATTAATCTCGAAAACACATCAGCTAGTATATAATAATCGGACAAAACAATATCAAACAAGTTAGTGGATGTTTAAAATGACGGATAAGAATCTTTTAACTTTACTACTGATGTAACTTAAATTGGATTACATTTTAATCATGATTCAGTAGAAAATTAGCTATAAAAACACACAACTATTATTTAACATTTCAAGTATCGAACACACGATCTCTAGCGCTTAAAGCAATGCCAGCTTTAATCATTGAACCACTGAGGTGGTCTTTACAGACTTACTACTATTACTAGTCAATAATTTCGTAATCCCTAAAAATATAGATGTACAAGAACAACTAATGAATTCTATTCTCGTCCATTTAGACTAAACATTAGCACGCAAATAGTCAAAGTACGTTTAAATATATCGTTACACCAAGTGTCTAATGGAGTAACTCTCATACCTCGGGCAAGGTGAGGGTCAATGGCAAACTAATATACTCGGTGCTGAACTCACATTTGTGGATAGACAAAAGTTTTATCGCCATTGATTAAATATACATCTTCATATAAAATATAAGTTTTAAAATGGAAGTAGCGTTTTAAATTTAATAATATAAATTCATCAGATCATCGATCCATTAATCTTAACGTTTAGTTTTACATTGTAATTCTTAAAAAAAATTGAATGATCACATAACTCCAGTTATAACACGTTGTAACCACGTGGATATGGTAACAAACGAATCAAAATAGAATCTTTGCAAAAATGATATCACAAATATTCAATATCTCAAAAACAAAGAGAATCCGAATTGAATTGAGCTGTAATTGTTTGGTAAAAACTTACGTGTCACGCTGCGATGTCACCAGACAAACCCCCGCGGAGCAAAAGCGGTCAAAGAAACATCAATTTAGTTCTCTAGCGAACATTAACTTCTTTGATAGTTATTTCCAAGTGAAAATTAAGTTTCAATAATGATGTTACTTCACGTTTAACTAGGAATGCCTGATTGATAAAGAACAATATATTTTTACAGTTCGTCTAAAGTCAACGTCGATTTTTTAACTGGACAACTGATTATGAACGTTAATACAATTTAAAATGAAAGGCACTAAATTACGTTGACTAGAACTCTTCAACGTACGTAGAGCAAACAAGAACTAATAAGAATGTTCCTGTCTTTTTTAAAGCTTTCTAATTATTCCATTTACATCCGCACAATTTAAATCATGGCAATATAAAGAGCAGTGTTGTATACAATAGACATATGTACATATTCATTTACGTTATACATAGTTAGAAGAATCCGCAAACGAAAAAATTTTAACGATAGTAATTGTGCCATCGTACCTCTTAAGTCTAAAGAAACGGTGGTAACATTTTTACATGCGAAAAAAATTTTCGATATTCAATTCTAATTTTAAAATATCTATTTCAGGAGATGCAAGACGTTCTAGACGAGGACTCGGAGATGAGCGACTGGCTCATCGACCGAGACTCCAAGCTGGGCGTGGTGCTCCACGACAGACTGATGACAGATGCCCTCGGCGCAGCCCCCATCAAGACAGAACACAGCTACAGTTTACATTCAGACGTTGAATCGGCGCCCCCTTCGCCCAATCATACCAAAGTAGACGGTGAGTAGTTCTTGTTAGACGACATGAATATTGATGACTGAATATTATCGCTTCGATAACTTATCAATTTATCTTGAATCGTGTTAATACGCTGTCGTTTATTGGAATTCATAGATGCGTACGTGTGTGCGTGATCTTTTGATTATTAAACTCGTTATAATAAAAATAACGCACGTTTTTCTTACGATGAAAAGTTCAATTCATGGGAAAACGAAAATATTGTATATCAGTGTACTATTTAATAAGCACGTTAAGCAGTAAGCCCCGGTTTTGATCACTAATTTAGTAGTTCGTTAAAGTCCAAAACGCACGGGGGTACTTGGCTTAGGCTCTTTAATCTTCCCTCCTATGACGGCATGACCCGCGCCGAGTTGACGAATTAAACGAAGCGACTGTACACATTTGAGTTTGGAACGTTTCGTTGTACTTGTTAGTTACGTTTCAAAGTAAATATAAGGCTGCTAGAGGCAGAGTAGCCTAACTGCAATTTTATACCTTGACTTATTTATATTTTTATAGTCTAAAAATGTTAATCTACAACCCACACAGCATACTGACCGACAATTGTTAACATATTTTGAAACAATTGTACTGTAAAAATTCATTTTCGCCTAAGTTAATTACGCATTTTTATTGAAAATCATGTTTCTTGTCATTAGGCCAATCTTTCTCTAGCAGCCTCATGTATATGTAGAATTCATGTTTGACTTTGGAACGTAAGTACAACGTACTTACGTTCCAAAGTCAAACGTGTCTTAGTTACGTTCCAAATTCAAAAATGTAACTATTACACACACATATTTTAAATTGGAACGTAACATGTACAAAGGTATTATGTATAAGCAAGTTAAAGCTTAAGACGAAACGAAGGACATTTTTAATATAATATATTTTAAGTATGCATAGTAAATACTGCGATATTCAATTTCTATATCCCTTCCATTTCAGTTTCAGTATTAACAATAGATAAACAATAACATTAGGATATATGCCGGACTCTGCGTTAAAATTATATTCACGCGACCATTCGGAAGTGAGCGATTATAATGATTCAAAGCGTCAATTATAATAACAATAGACTATAGACCCGCATCCATATCTATCTATGGACAATTTATAAAATTACTAACTCTCCCTTCATTTCGATTTGGCATAGAGATAAAAATGCAGAGAAGTGTTTATTTCTCCGTGTGGAAACTTATAATTCATTAACAGTTTTATTATGTATTGTCTGAGCCTTACGGGAATAGTACACTTTGCTCGACTGTTGCAAAGCAAACGTCGGGCCTAAGTAAATAAAGTAACTACAAGTATATATATATTTCGCGTTTTAAACCGTTGATAGTGTCTTATTCCAAAGTTGTCATTATTTTCGCAGCCATTACAACTTAAAAAACAAATAGTTGAAATAGATTGATTAATGAAAGTAATCACGAAACAGGGCAACAGTCTTTCTAAATAAAATATTTTTGCTTAAAATAAATTACGTACTGACTTCACACAGACTTGTCTTGTTTTAGTTAAATAAAAAATAAATAAATATTTTCTTCAATTCGGTGTCAAGTAACTACAATATTGCTCTATTTAAAAATAAAGCGTAGTCACTCACGAATTGAGAACTTTTTGAAGTCAGTGTAATTGTGACCTTTAATAGTAAATTTAAATAATAAAAAGGGTTAAATTAGTGGAAAATAATGATTTTCCGCGTTGGTTTCACATTCATATCGTACATAATGGAGTTATGTTTATGTGGCGTTAGTAAGTGTCGTGTGAATGTTCCACGACGCCCACCAAACGACAATACATGTAATTACCATGTTCTACTTTCATTTTCGCTTGTCATCAATGGGTAACTTAATTACGTTAGACCAAGATTTTTTATGGAGACGGCAAATTTTACACATTCCAAGTAAGCGCAAGTGCCTACTACTTATTATTACTATAATAGAGGCAGTAACCATTCATCCTAACCTGAAGGTTTTTGCTCTTCAACTTGATACAAGGCGATAATTTAAATAAAACACTTTAACGGTTTAAAACGCGATATATTAGTTAAACTCACAACACGGGACTCCCCGTGACCACGGCTGCTGCAAAGCGTCCGAAACATCGATCCGAAGTTAAAAATCATATTCAAATAAGTTTAACTATAAATCGCGTTTTAAACCGTTAAAGTGTTTTATTTAAACGTATTATTTATATTAATATTTTCATTTAGGTATTGTTTAGTTTTTTGTTTGTTTGAATACAACGCATTATTTGTAGACAATGCATTCGTGATCTCTGGTAAGTAATGCTAAGTATTATGACGTCCTTGTCGCTCTGACTCAGAACGAGATATCCCGGATTTAATAGCGGTTCACGATATTGGAAATTCCCAGTTATTTGAGATGTAGTTTTAATTACACATTATATTTTAATTTAATGCAATATTAAGTAGGAAGATACTGATCTATAAGTACACGAAGGAAGCGAATATTCTTATGGCTTAAGAGTGAGGTATGGGAAACACTTGTTGGAAGAAGTGTTAACAATCTATTTTGGCTGAGGACATTTGTAAATTCACACACACACGCATTTTTATTTATTATTTCATTTTATATCAATTGACGATGTAATTTCAATCAACCACTAATTCCGATTTTCTAGGGTAAATCCAACATGTTAAAGAAAATATATAAATTTTTGGATAAGTGCGCAAATCATTATTTATTTTTTAATATTAAAACTAATAAAATAAAAAATACAATAAAACGATATGAAGCAGCACGGGGAAGCTAGGAATGTTTTAACTTAAAAGTTTTTAATCGAATAGTAATTATAAATCACTGTCTGGGGTTTACACGTTAAAATAAAATACTTTCAACCGTTTAAAACTCGAAATATATTGGTTAATGGTTTTTTCTTCCCATGATCACGGCTGCTACAAAGCATCCGAAACGTCGGGCATTTAAATTGTAACCAGGTTAACTGATATTTCGAAAATTTAACCGTTATAATTGTTTTATTTAAAGGTTAAAAGTAATCATTTACTCGGAAAATGTTACTGATTTCAGTTTGTCGTGTTTCGTCTCGTGGGAGCTTATGCATATCAAATGATAGCGAAAAATATTACATATCAAGTTCCTTCGCTATCAATCCTTCGCTATAAATCCTTCGCTATAAAGTTTCAGTAATTGACAAGTATAAAGGAAGATATATTCTGACATAAAAACGTTTAGTACTAACATTAAACGTTATTAAACCACAAATAAAGTATTGGCTGTAGTGAAGTCTGTTTACGCGAACAGACACATTATAATGAAATACTTACGACGGTTTAAAACGCGAAATATTAGTTAATTTGGGCCCTATATACAGCCGAAAACAGCATTCAAAGCCGTCGAGCTGTAGCTAAATTAATTTAAAAGTAACTTAAATAAATATCCGATTATCCAAAACCAAAATAGGTCGACTGTGCATCTTGGTTAGATGTTGTATTAAAAACATTGCCCATTTTAATTGTGTCTTACCATTACTGTAATATTCACTCACCAAACAATGACATCTATTTAGTAAATAATGCATGACCCATTTTGAACCGTTAAAAATTATTTCTGGAACTGTGCTATAACGTATGTTGACGGAATACCCTTTTGCCACCACATTCCTTCAAATTAAATTAAACCTTTTTATATTCATTATTTTATATTGTGTGTGAAATCCCGTTTCCCCCTCGTGGGGCATGGGGCGAACACATTTCTGTGTCTGATCCATTTTTTGTTTTCCTGGGATTCGAACCCGGAACCTCTCGCTCATAACGCAATGCTAGGCAATACATTTGGCTACAGAGAATTATTTCATAGTAATTATATTTATTTTCCAGCATTGTAACAAATGAATGCACAATAAAGAGATTTATTATCATTATTTCACTGGCATCTTATAAAAAAATCTGCATTAAATCAGTTCAGATGTACCCGCAAGTTTGCATTTAATATTATCAGCTGAATATTGTATTGTGTTAATCAGGAGTTGATAAATCCACGTCTAGATAATTTAACAGAGGTACATAACACAATAACAGTGACGTTATCTCTGACCTAGACCTCGGAGTTTTACTCTTTCTACCCACTTACCTACTTAATTGTAATTGGCTTTAGTGTTTTATTCTTTTACAGACGAATGCAAGCTTCAATTATTCATTACATCTGCCTTTGAAACGAGATAAAGAATACAAATAAATATAGAAAAGATCGATTTATATATACTTATATTATAAAGCTGTAGGATCTATGGTTCGAATTTAAACATTATCTGTCCTAGATGTACAATTTGACGAGGGACGCTGTAGTCTATGACATCACATCAAAATGTAGAAAAAACTGGGAAAATTATTCGTAAGTCTTTGACATCTCCGTATGAAAACAGTTAAAGACACCATTGAATAAATATGTAAGGATAGTTCCTCTTAAAATGATCTAAAAAAATGTCCGCGACAGTACATATCTATCCATCAAGATAAACTCACAAGAATCGTTTTTATGGTAACTTTTGGTCGAAATTACTGCATTACCAATCATTCGTTGTATCTACAACAAAACAATTGCCGAATCGCCTATACGATTAATAAAAGACAGTAAAAATAACAAGTTTACCAATAATTCTGCGATCACATGTACATCAACATAATATAGAAGATTCTAGATAAAATAATGTTACAACAAGAGCAAGTAGGCATTTTTAGGACAGAAACGGATAACATCAAACATTATCGATCTTCTTCGTATTATACGTCTGCTTTCTTTAGCTTGTCATACTGAAGCGATAGACACGTAAAGAACAACACAGGTTCAATTTACCGTATTCAATTTCTCTCGGCTATAAAAGTTCAAAGAACCTCGCTTTTTCTATATTATAATTTAACAGATAAAAAAGCGATTGATGTCGGGTCGAATTTGCTACGCTTTTGCTTGCAGTACACTTCGTGAGCTTAAGTCGGAGTCTTTGTGGAAATTTTTTCACGATTCGCCGCCCGTTCTGTTTACATTATTATTTCTATTGAAAGTAAACAAAATGAAATCATTCATGGGAACAATGATGAAGTGGCAAACAACCGTTATACATCAATACACTTTGAAAGTAATGATCAAATTCTAAGTATTGTACAATCCGTAGTTTATCCTAATATGTAGTAGATTTGAAATTTTCATTATCATCATACAAAATTAATTACCTGATCTATTTAAAACTGTTAAACGTGTTATTCGTAGGATTTAATTTTTCCGCTGTTCTTTTTCTATTATCGCTCGCAGTAGTTCGAGCTAGTAGTTCCCGAGATTAGCGCCTTCAAACAAACAAACTCTTCAGTTGTTTAATATTAGTATAGATTTGTATTTGACACACTGATGTATTTATTTATTGTTTGTCGTCTAGACACATACTTGAGGTGATTATATCAGAGAAATTTAGATTAAAGAAGTCTTGTTCAATGCATTTGTTTAGCATAATATTAAAATGAAAACAAATATTTAATTCGCGTTACGTACGACATTTTCTAAGTTAAATGATTATAATCTTTACCCATTTATAAGTTTAATGGCTAATACATAATTATTATAACTTACTACTTACCGTTACAAAGTGCTCGCGACCGGACTAAATAAATTACCACCATTTTGGTGAAAGGTCCGGCCAAACTCCAATTCATTGCGATTAATTAAAAATCGTACAAGCGAATGTGAAATTTCATCGCTTGAAATACAGCACACATTGGTTTAATGATGACATCAATAATGGCGTCTCCATATTAAATGTCAAACGTGCTGTTAAAAGTCATGGATACTAGATTTTTAAACCTGTTTAACTTGTCGAAGAATTCTCCGAAATTTATTGCATTCAAATGTATTGATGTAGATATTGCATAAGGCTTCGTACCTAACCAAAGTACAGCTATTTACAATTGTGAAGACCTCAGATCCATGAACAATACTGGCTAAGTAACAGACAGCTAAACGTCGTCATGGCCAAAAGCTGATAACACCTATTTCCAAAATTAGATTAGTCAGAGAAATTTTATTAGTCGACATATAAAAAACAAAACCGACTCCGTTAACGACTGAACAAAAGCGGTAGACTTCTATCACGACGCGATTCGCTGGCGCCGGCGCTGGTCCTCCACGATCTTCACCGGCGAAAACTAGGACCCTTGTTCATTACATTCGTACCCTTTAATAGGAGGAGCATCTGACTAGCTCCTCAAGTTCCTACCCACATTGCGGTCCCAGTTCACCCACAAGCCAAGGCAGATGCCCCCTCTTGGGACACCCTTGGCTAGCCATAACCAACACCTAGCCTAATCCTAGCGCATTATAACAAAACGTGTCGTTAGATCAAGGGCCCGTCTAAAAACGGGATAACATTTCGCCTGCCCCGGAACTCTATCCCAGGTCCTTGTGATCTGCGTTCAAGTGCACCTTCCAACGAGACACTAGTTACATGCCTATTAACAATCACAGTACAATGACCTTTATTCTACTACGTAAGCCATTTAATGTTGTCTATAAACATCAATTGTCATGAATCTTAATACTTAAAAATTAAGATAAATTGATGCGTTATATGTGGTCGTATGTTGAAATCTGGAGAGATATCCCATACATTTAAACAAGATGCGCGGTCGATCGTTATTGGTCATGGTAATCCGGAAATCCATAGACTGAATCTAAATTTACATTTCTCGACTGTTCTATCCGTGGGTAGAATTTTGATAAACCAATGCCGGTTACTACCCAGTCATTTCAGATAGAGTGTTAAATTAAATTTTTTTCTCTTCAGTGCTAATCTGCAATCAGTATTCTACCATAAGCAGATGGGGTGTGAGGTTTCGTCTGGCTGAGTGCATCCTCCAGTGAGGACACTACTCGTTTAATTTAAGTGACATTCCCTTAGAATGTCTTTCCTTTTAAGGCGTTTTTGATAACTGCGTGTGATTAAATTTGCCGCAAGCATATTCGGGTGGTTTTCCAAGCGCTTCTGGTATTTTGTTGTTGATGCTTGGATTTCCTCTTTCACAGTATTCATCTCAAGTTGTTTGTATCTCTGAATTTCTTATAAACCAGGGAACATTTGATATTGTCCTTAGAATTGCGTTCTGCACCTCTTTGCAATATAGCGATATTTGTGTTACTGGCACTACCCCAGAGCTGTATGCCATACGTCCAAGTGGTTTTTATATGACTTGTATATAAGAAGTTTGTTTTCTAAAGTTATTCTGCTGTTCCGACCTAGCATCCAATACAAATTTCTTGTCTTATATTTAATCCTCTCTTTTGGACTTGATATGCTGGTTCCACGTCAAGCGGCGATCTAGGTGAATGCCCAGATATCTCACACTGTCTCTTGTGGCAATGTTGAAAGAGTGTTAAATGTTTCAGAAAAGTGAAAAAGACGTTTTTTAGAAAATTATTTGACCTAATGGAAATAGAATTTACGACCCGTGTAATACTAATACAAGCACTATCGAAGTAGATTTAAAAACAAATATACTTTCTTACAATATTGAAGTAAGTTTAAAACTATACTTGTTGTCTTGTTAGTGAAATATTGACTTAACCGCAAAAGAATCGATACTGTGCACGAGTTTAGAGCTTTAGGTACAGCAAGTCTGCAGATATTTCAGATTCTAGTATCAAAAATAAAGTAAATAGTAAACAACAAAATTAATTAGACATGTTAACGATTTTTCTAAGAAATTAAACTTCAATTTACTATAGACATATTCTATGAAAGTTTGAATGATGACAGAACCACAGGCTATAAAAAATAACAGTTGTAACGCGAATTATCGATAAACTCTCTAAGATAAAAGAAATGTTCAATTCCCACCTGCAGCTTTAACTTTATATATTAGTATAGAAAAATTTTCAGTAATGAAAAAAATAAGAGATAATCTTGGAGTCTTGATGACTTAATTATGTTCCTGTTTCGTGCTGACGTAAGCCCGCAATAGTCTGTTTATCTAATTAACGTTACATAGCTGTTGTAACTATGAAGCGTGTTGCACAGCTAATCAGAATTATTAACTGAATCGAGTTTCCCACAGTTTAAAAGAAATGGAAAAAAAGCATAATACATCATTAACATCTTACATACCAAACATTGATTGGAGGTACAGCGGCACGGTCCGATGTTGGTTGTGTCCAAGTAATAGAAAATACCAATTTGAAGTGGAGTGGTTTGGGTTTTTTTTTTTTTTTTTTTTTTTTTTTTTTTTTTTTTTTATGGAGTGTATGTCTTCGACGTTTAATTAAAAAAATATAATATTCCTCAACGTACGCCCCACCCCCGAGGGGGGGGAATTTTTCCCGTTTTCCCCCCCAAAAAAATTTTTTTTTTTTTACTTCCCCCCCCCAAAAAAAACAACCCCCCCCCCCCCCCCCCCCCCCCCCTTTTTTTGGTGGGGGGGTGGTTTTCCCCCCCCCCCCCCCCCCGGGTTTTTTTTTTTTTTTTTTTCCCCCCCCCCTCCCCCCCCCCCCCCCCCCTCTTTTTATTTCTCCCCCTCCCTTTTTTTTTTTTTCCCCCCTTTTTTTTTTTTTTGGTTTCCCCCCCCCCCTTTCGCCCCCCCCCCCCCCCCCCGGGGGGGGGGGGGGGGGGGCCCCCCCCCCCCCCCTTGGGGGGGGGGGGCGGCCCCCCCCGGGCGGCGGGTCCCTTTCCCCCCCCCCCCCCCCCCTTTTTTTTTTTTTTTTTTTTTTTTTTTTTTTTTTTTTTTTTTTTTTTTTTTTTTTAATAAATCAATGGTTATTTCTATTTCAGATATGGAAGACGAATGCTATCCCGCAATTCCAGCCAGCGCGTGGCGGAGCAGGCGGCGCTCCAACTCCCCCATAACTATAGTGAAATCGGAACCCAAGTCAGAGCCAGAATCCCCGGCGTCCTCGTGTCCACCTTCTCCGACCCCCAGCGCACCTGTAACACACGTCGACTACGTTATCGATCACACGGTGAGGAGGCGTTGTTTTTTTAGCGGGTTATATTCAATCTATTGAGGCGTCCTAAGATCTCCACAGATTTAAAATTAGGATAAAGATATTATTTTTTAACAACTCGCATAATAGTAAATACTAAAATTTGACGTTTCAAAACGCGAAGTATATTAGTCTAACTTCTTTGGAAAATTGTTTTACTTAAATGTGTACTATTCGCGTAAACTACAGACAGCATTACTCATATTCAACCGGTCGTGGTCGTAAATTCGATATTCCGAGTGCTAACAAATCTTACGTTGGTAGGATTTATCCGGATCACGAACCAGGTCTATAGTAGAATAGGCTGTGAAGTTTCGTTTAGATTCAGTACTCCGAATGTCCAAAGCCAAACGTGGTTGACAGGGCATCTTCTTTAGATGGCATATGGTTAGAGTATGTTACTATTATTACGTGAATTCACTTTATAAGAGGTAAAATATCTCTCTATCTCTATCAAAATATATACATTATTAAGAGTTAAATACTGTCTATAGTTTACGCGAGTAGTACACATTTAAATAAAACACTTTTACGGTTTAAAACGCGATATATTAGTTAAACTTATTTGAAAATGATTTTTAACTTCGGCCCGACGTTTCCCCGTGACCACGGTGCCTGCAAAGCATCCGAAACGTCCCAAGAAAAATCATTTTCAAATAAGTTTAACTAAATCGGTTAAACAAATTTGTATTTAAATTATTAAGGTTAATAAGACTGTTAATATATAAAAGTAGTTTTTCCACTATAATTTTATCACGCTTATAATTACAGGTGTGGAAAAATAAAATTTAGGGCTAACTAACTAACCTTCTAGCGAACCAAAGTAACTTATTTTTAATACCTAACTTTAGTAACTATTTTTATTCACAATACTTTGTACTATAAAACCCAGCTTTTGTTGATTGGAAGTAGGTACCCGATTTTCAGTTATGCCCCACGCTTGACATAGCTATTAGGTATTTTATATTAAGAGGATCTAATTGGGATTTTATTATATTTTGAAATTCCTTTATACTCCTAACCAATATCCTTAAAATTAAACCGAAATAGAAATGAGAAATTTAATCCACAAAGTATTCTATCCTAAACCTCTTCATTTGATAGCTTACCGCCCACGCTTATAATTCTTCTGGACTTTGTTTGGACTCTAGGCAGGCTTTAAAAGATATATAATACTAGAGATTTTAATTTCACTAAGTCTTACTTTCTTTTCTTCTTATTCTATTTTTGTACTTGGATAATACATGATCGAAAGACGTATGCTGTAATAAATTTCTTTATTCTCTTTTACTAGATATATATAATTGACTTTAAACAAACACTTTTAACTCTATATACAATATTTTGGTTAAATGATTTTAACTACTTCCTATGATGTTCTTAATGTATTTAAAATGACCGCTGAAGCCCTTCTGTAAATGCTTAAATTGCCACATTTTTCATTCCAATTTTATGTTTTTGTGAATCAAAGTCGAAAATAAATATTAACGATTCTTGATGTTCTTGATCAATGTCCTTATTTCCTAGTGACGGATGTGCTCACAGACACACATTTTTGACGGAGTTGTTACGTTTATGTTGTTCAGCGAAATTAAAATGTAGGCTAATATAAAGAGGATCGAGGGTTCTATAACCACCGAATTATGTAAGTTCTCAATTTGGACCTTCGTCGATGGCCATAGCTCATTTAAATAAAACACTTTAACCGTTTAAAATGCGATACATATTGCTACACTTATTTGCGAATGATTTTAACTACGACCCGATGTTTTAGATGCTTTGCAGCAGCCGGGAACTTATACCGGGAAATTATATGAATGTACTGTTCGCGCAAACTACAGACAGTATTTGACAGTACCTCAATTAACTTACTATTTTAATTTCTCTCCTATATTAACTTAGGTATATGTAATTTAATGAAAACGATACACGAAATTAAGACGAGAGAAAGCTTGAACTCTTGTGATCTTTCAAATTCGCCAAGTCATCCGGCGTCGGGTGCCCAGTCACGACGGTTCTTCACGTGTTGAGTGTAGCTTGAAGACTCATCACGTTTATTTTGCAACTATTTATAATTTCTTGAATCTTTTATTAAGGCAATATGGCTTTGTACACATCAATATGTGCGTTTTATTTGCGCGTAATTTTTGCCTATCATATTCGGGTAGTAACAAAAATTTTGTGTATACATATAGTAGCTGTGCCATCGACTTCGTCTGCGAAGAATAGTTAGTTTGGGCATCGAAGAGTGGTTTTTGCAAACTTGCTACATAACTCTATAAATTTTATCTGTTACCCACGACGTCCACGTCCTGTTCTTCTTACAAGTTAACCCTAAAAGATAGACATATAGTGTTGCGGACATTTTTGTTTACATCATTCAAAGAGGAATCATTCTTTGGTACACATTTACCTACTATTAGTCGTATCGTGATGTTTTATAGCCTAAAGCCTTCCCCGATAAATGTTTTAACCAATACAAAATATTTTCAATACGAACTAGTAGTTTCTGATATTAGCGCGTTCAAACAAATAAACAAGGTTGTCTGCTTTATAGATTAGTATAGATAGAGTATTATTAGTTTGGGTTTTTCTATTTAAGTGTACATAGAATATCTAAATGATTTGAATAATTTTGGCGACACGGGTGGGACTTTGGCATGCTACAGCGTCTGGTGTTGTTGCTCTATCCATCCATATCTATTTTCTTAATAAAAAAACGATCTCTAATGTATATAATGTCATTTTGTGCAATTTTGCCGTTAAATCTAAGGTCTACCTATCAGTAAATAAAGATTAGGGGAATTTATTGATTGTGTTAGTATCTTAGATTACGTGCGAATTTCCCACATATCTCAAACCTCTATTCGCTCTTCCAGACGGGTACAATTCACATGCCACAGGCCGTGCTGCAAAAGGTTGGTGCAGCAGGAGTCCCGCAGCTCCTGCTGAGCGCCGCCCCACGGATCGCCAACACCTTAAATAACAATAAGCTCTCCATCAAAGTCACATCCTCGGGGTCTTCAGGTAGGCCCTTTAAAATAATATTTTACAAGTAAGATCAAGATCAAGATTAGAAAAGATGTAGAAAGATGAAATGAATCAAAATCTTTTTAGGTACTATAACTACTACTAAACTTGCCTAGAAGAGATCGCTGCTTAGCGATAAGGCCGTCTATTATTTATAAGTTGGTTAAAAAATTTTTATAATATGTAAACCATTTCTGTGGTATTTATAATAAAGTTTCATAAATAAGGTAATTTATAATTATTTAGCGCTCTCAAAAATTGCTCTAAATTTTGATTCATATCAAATGAAAATTTATAACATTATTTTGTTTAAAAGGATTTGTGAATTAATCTTTGCAAGGGTTACTGATAATATTTATGTAACCTTTTCATAAATAAACAATAATCATTCTTATTCTCATGACTACAGGATTCAATCTTCCACCAACGCCGCCGTCGTCCCTCTCATCATCAGACAGCGAAGGTGCGCTGTCGCCGGCGCACGAGACCTCTCCCCCCGCGGCGGCTGCAGCCCCCACTCGCAGGAACCATCTATACGTGTCACACCACTCCAGACAACCTATCAATACGCCGCTGATTAGCAGCCAACCGGTATGTGGGGTCTTAAACTAGAGCTAACTCAACAAAACCCTCAACGGTTTGAAACGCGAAATTATTTTGCTTAACTTTCTTACAATTCATTTAACTACGGCCCGACGTTTCGGATGCTTTGCAGCAACCTGGGGTCGTAATTAATAAAAATAAAAGTATGTTTAACGAATACTTTTTAAACCGTTAAGTGTTACATTCAAAAGAGAGACCTCAGATACGCAACTTCACCCAAGTTGCGTATCTGAGGTCGTAGGGCAGACATTTCTACATATCACTGATATTTATCATTTGATTATTAACAAGCAAATAGTTGGTTAGACTTCTGTGCCCTGCTCGTTCGAAACTAATGATCCTTTAGCGGAAGTCAAACCCTCAAGAAGAGATGAGTCTGAATCTAGACATGCCACAAAATTTAAGTCTCAATTATTACGTTTAAGATCGTCTGTTTATTGTGGTATTGTGGTTTATTTTTGTGGTATTAAAATATCTTTTCTTTCATGTTCATTTCATTTCGAACGCTTCGAAAACGTTTTAATATTTTTCACATGTGATTTCACATGATTGCACTGTATAAATTAAAAATCGATTATAAATTTAAAAAAAAATACGACTCTGGCAGGACTTGAACCGGCATTCACAGCGTTACGTGCTGTTGCTATAACCAATTGAGCTACCGAGCCCTATGCGTCATCGTCGATTTTTGTTACCTATTGTATATGTATTGTGTAATTTCCTTAACACTGTGCCTTAAGCTTCAAAGCCTTATATTAAGTTTTTTTTTATTTATAAAACAATTGTTATCTTACAGAAAGGTTCAACGGGCACATTAGTGTTAACGGAAGAAGAGAAGCGCACATTGCTAGCGGAGGGATACCCGGTGCCCACGCGCCTTCCCCTCACCAAGGCTGAGGAGAAATCTCTCAAGAAAATTAGGAGGAAAATTAAAAATAAGGTTGGAGAACTTTTCTTTAAGATCATCTTATGGTACGGGCTCGTTGATGTAATGGTAGAAATGTATGGCTAATAATCACCGGGTCACGAGTTCGATCCCCCCCGGGCCCAACATGTCATTCTAATTTTTTTTTCTGAAACTGGTTATTCAGTGTGTACTTTCTTAGATTCTGACGTGTAATTTAAATAGATGAATGCAATGAACTGACTGTATTCGTTTTTAAATAAAAAAAATTAAGAACAATTTAAAAGAAAATTACATTAATTATTATGAACATAATTAATTCCTTAGTATTCACTAAGGAAGACGTTAAAAACACGAGGAAGAGAAAGGAAAATAAAATTTTCTTAGTGCACCGTTTGCTTATGTTTTCTTACAAAAGTATTGTCTTCTTTCAGATATCTGCACAAGAGAGCAGACGCAAAAAGAAGGAATACATGGACCAACTAGAACGGAAAGTGGAGATACTTCTATCAGAGAACTCAGACTATAGGAAAAAGGTGGACAATCTAGAACAGAAGAACGCTAGCCTTATGAGTCAGTTAGCGGCTTTGCAGGCTCTGGTCAACCGGGGTGGTCGCAAGTGACGTCATCACCGGATTCTTAAAACAGTCTGTACACCACTTCAAGATAATCAAATGACGTCAGGTAACGGCGCGGTTGATTGTTGAACGGCAAATTTCATTTTCATGAATATAAACTACATTTGTTGATTTCGAAGCGATTTCTCTATGTTCTTTTATCTTTCTAAATTTATCTTTAAAACGGTCATATAGTCTAGAATGTTCTATAAATTGATTGTTATCTTATTAGAATTGTACAGCTCTCGCTTCCCAACGTTTATAAACACAAAGCAGTATTATTGCCAGTTCGGAATATTACAACAACGCGCGGTCGGTAAAACAGACAACCTATGGCTGTGAGAAGTATGGCAACGGTGTAATTCTCACAGTTCGCTTTTGTATGACAACGACACTGTCCCCTAATTGAATGTATATTTATAAGGATGTATATTTTGGATGTAATTTACATTTTATCGAACGTTATTTAGGTATCCAAAGTTATGGACTGTTAGTTTGAATGGTTGCTCACTATTTTGATAGTAATAGGTATTTTTGTGGTGCTGGCCGAAGCCCGCGACGTCGTATTTACGTCAGCGCCATCTGTCGAGTTGGCGGCGAAACAGGGAACATTGGGCTCTAGATGAATGTTAATAGTTATATACGTGTGTTGTTTGAAATCTCGTAATATTTTAAGGTCAAATACGCAAATATTTTATAAGATTTTGCGTTTTTTAAAGATTTTAAGGGGTTTGTTGTTACCCGTGCGTACGTTTTGTATGGCGTTATTTCAATATTTGCTACCGACACTTGGCCTAGGAGTATGGAAATATAAGAATCAAATTAAATATATTTATATAAAATAAAATTTATTATACACTAATTATGATATTAAACATCCAAATGAAAATTTGTGTTACCACGTCTTAATATAGGCCGCTTGCGAGCCGATGTTTTGTAATTCTTTAGTGATTATTTATTTGCGGTATAGTAAAGCGATAATGGATATTATCGAAGAAATTAGCATAATAGGTAAGGTCTCACCTTACCGTATAACACTGAATTCCATGAATTTGCATTTATAGCGGAATGTATCGTCCTAGAGATTTAACGCGTATTTTAGAATTAGATTTACTAAAGGACCTATTTGAAGACAGATTTGTAAACATGTTTTCGGTTGTCTAGTCTCTCGTAGAAGCAGTAGAATTCTTTTTAGAAGAGCCTTGATTTTCTTCGCTCTGTTTATCGATAAGTACAAAACGGCATGCCTTCGACGAAAATTATGTTAGCCATGTTGACTTTATTTTTATATGTGGTGCCACTTTCACTTAAACTAGACGTGCTTCCGTATGTGTATAAGCACTGTGGGTTTTAGTTTGTGTGTTATTGCCACCATTGTGAACTAACTTTGCTAATGGAATCGATGTTGCCAACTTTTCTCACCTCCTTGTGTAATACAATAAAGCAAACTATAGAATATTTTTTCTAACTTGGCAAACGATCGCAATAAACATGGCCGATTTCAAACCATGAATGGCGACTTTTTACGGAGTCAAGTCGTTGCTACAGATGACACAGGGATAATGAGACTTCGATTAAATATGGAAACAATCTCAATATTAAAACAAAACACTTTTAACACGACATTTAAACAGTTTTATCTAACTGAATCTGAAGTTTCAATCCGTCTATTTACTATTTGAGGTAATATCATCAAATTGTGTGTCTGTTTAACAAAAAGCCACATTAGAAAAAATACACTACTAGTTTTTAAATGATTTATTATCGAAATATCTACATCCATAATGGAATGAAATGATTGTCTCTTCTCTTGCTCTGGATCTATTTCTAGTTGGCAACACTGAATTTACAAATTACACTTATGCTTTCACTTGATGGAACTCGCCGAGTTTTCGTCACGGTCTTGCCAACATTCATGAATGCGAACGTTCTTGACAGCAAGTATTTAACATTCCATTTCTTACGAGTGACTTATAGTGAGCTGTAGTACTTATTATGATTTAACAAATCGACATTTCTGTACAAAACGATTTTAGTATAAACGTATCACTTAATATCGAGCATAATCAATTATATTCAATCATTCTCAATTGATCGGGCATATTCATTTTAGTGTATCAATTATGTGCAATTACCATAAATTAGACCTTCCTAATTAGTATAAGCAAATATATTATATTTATACCGCGCTGTATACACCCCGCTCGGGTTTGAAAGAATTTATTGAGATATATTTTAAGAGATTTTTTCTATGGAGATATGTATTAACAATGTGTCTGTCGCTATACATGTTAGATTTGTAGATTAAAAATGTATTTAACGGATATTATTGTGGATCGCGCGCCTGAGCTATCGACTACCATAAGTTAGGCATAGAAGGTATCCTCTGTGAAGCTAAAGTAATATAATGTATTTAATATTTAGGTAAAATATTTAATTCCTAATATGGCATTTACCGTCTACAGCAGAGTGATTTGAAAGATTTATATGAATTTATGAGAGTTGATATTTTAACTTATCGAAAGGTACTTCCGCGTATAGTTTTGGTCGAGTCGACGATTCGATGCGAGTTTTTTAAATAAATGCCAAACTTGTTACAACGCACCTTTGGGCGACGAAGCAATTGCTTCATTGGATAATATATCTACACACGTTGCAGCCGCGTGCGCATCTATGAGACGTAACATGTAATGTAACAATGTGTGTAATATCTTGCTGTATCGTGGCTAGAGGAATATCTTCTCTAATTATACAACATATAGAATTGTATCTACAGAACAGTAGTCATGCGTATATGCGCGTAGGCATAACGGCGAATATCATGATTACTTTACATGTTATGTTATATAGATCTGTACACGCCATAGAATATTTTAATGAACGTTTTTAAAAACGCCTTTCACGACCTTGTCGAAGCGATGTTGTTAAACGTCGCATGTAATTTTAAAAATGGTTTTCTCTGTTAAAACTGTTCTCTGTTACCTTGAGTCATGACTTGTTGAATCGTTTGTTTTATTATTATTTTTCAATGCCCTTGAGCTAATAAAGCGTCGGATATCGTAATTAGTTGTTTTATTTCTGCTTAATAATGGAAGAATATATTTAATAATTGCGACGAGGTTGGTGTTGGGTTGGATTTGGTCTGGTAAGCTGGATATTAAACGGATTTAACCTGGACTTTTGTAGAACAACGACGTGTATTGAAAATTGATAAAATAGTTCGTTATTATGTTAAATCCATTGAAATTTCGTCACCACGTAACATATTTTGTCTTTTAGTCCCGCTTAACATCTTATCAATGAGTGGAGCTCAGTTCGACCGATACTGTATCCTCGCGAATTTATCAAAGGAATTCATTATCTCAGTGAAGAGATCTGTCGATCATTACATAAACATTAAAGAATGCCGAATTTTTATCTTTCATGAGTTTCTATGGAAAATTAGTTTTTTTTTTAACCAGCACTATTATTCTAAGGAAATGTATGTTGCAAGAATAGCACATTATTATAACCATTAGCCAAAAATATTGCTTTGTTACCTGGGAGAACTTACAGACACTTTTTCACTGACCGGTGTTATTTTCAGTATATACTTGATCTGTTGCATTTTAATTTTTTTTTTTAATAGAGGAAACAAACAGCAATATCACGTTAACATATAAGGAATAGAAAAAACAAATTGCCCGAAATGTGCATGTATCAATGGGTCGAAAAAATTCGACGATGACCTGTAGGACTCGGTAGCTCAATTGGTTACAGCAACAACAATGCCGGTTTAATTCCTGCCCTCCTGTACATTTTATTTTTCAATTTATAATTGATCGATAAAAAATACAGATATTTTCTTGAATAGTTACACAGATAAAATCGAGGTTTAGAATTACTTACTTACTACTACTAGACCGTGAAAAATGTCAGGGATTAAAATTATATATTATAACATTATAGTAGTAAGTCAGCCTGCCTGAAACAGTCTATTATGTTTAACCGTAATTCAAACCTAGTACGTAGCATTTAATCATTAGGTACGCTACAGCGACTTAAAAAAATTGGAACTCATGCAAAATCCAAAACAAGAAATTTACACATATATTACCAGCATTCGATAAGCGAGATGAAGTTTATCATGTCCATATTTATCTCGAATATTGTATCAAATTCCGCACATTGAAGGTGACACCCAAAGTTATTGCTCTCGTGTCTTTTACATGGCTTAAAATGGCCTTTTTAGCCTTAATAGTTATTTTTAGTTTAGTCAGTTGCGTGTATAGTGCTGAAATACGTGTCGATCCCTTAGTTTTGATCGAGCAAGGTCTCGTGAGGGGCTTAAAATCTCGGGACGGAAGCTACTCAAGTTTCCTTGGAATACCATATGCAAAGGTGGACTCGAACAATCCTTTTGGGGTAAGGTTATTCCTGAGGCATCTTAATATCTCATGATATTTTCTAAAACCGTAACACAGGGATAGGAAACCATATACTATAATTGTCTGCAGAAATTGTCGTGCGATTTGTGTCTTACTTTATGTGCATATTTATCCGCACAGATAGGTGATATAAAATTAACAATTTCTTTAAATCTATAATTACTTTTCCAGGCAGCACAACCTCACCCCGGTTTTGGAGATGAAGTTTACCTCGCATACATCGGTAATAAATTATGCCCACAAAGCATAAAGACATCCGAGCCAATCAAAGCAGATGCAAATGCGGAAGAAATATTGGACTGTCTGCGATTAAACGTCTATGTACCAACAGTAGCCAGTTCGCAAAATCCTCTCCCAGTGCTTATATGGATTCACGGCGGCATCTACGCTGAAGGCAGCGCCGGCAACTATGGTCCAGAGAATTTGGTCAAGGAAGGCATCGTTGTGGTAACTATTAACTATCGCTTGGGGCCCTATGGTTTTATGTGCCTCGATGTCCCCAATGTCCCCGGCAACCAGGGACTGAAAGATCAATATCTGGCTCTTCGCTGGGTCAGAAACCATATTAGAGCTTTCGGAGGTAACCCATACAACGTTACGATTGCTGGACAAAGCGCTGGCGCTGGATCCGTCCTGTACCATCTATACTCGAAGAAGGAAAAGTTGTATTCGAAAGTGATTGTTCAAAGCGGAACACCACAAAAACCTGTATCTTTTGCACAAGCTGATGAGAGAGCTGCTGTTAAAATAGCTTCTCATTTGGGCTTTGATACCAATAATACTGTCCAGGCTTTGGACTTCCTAGCAAATTCCTCTCATGTATTGGTTGCACGAGCGGCTGCGGATCTTAATTTGAAACTTAGACCGTGCAAAGAAAGGGCATTTGACGGCGTTGAAAATTTTGTTGACGCTAATCCATTTACACTGTCTAATGAGAGGAAAGTCCAGAACACGCCAATTCTAATTGGACAGACAAGCAAAGAGCATTATGGCTCGCAAGCAAAAAATAACGATGAGTATTATAAGACTGATCCCTTCCTAGATACAATAAGAGATAATTTTATTATAGATGAAGACCAATTAGTTAAAGCCGCTAAATTAGTGAGACACTTTTATATTGGAGACAGAGCTGTATCGAAGGATGTAGTTTCAGAGCTAGAAACGTTTACATCTGATTTCTTATACAATCATCCACTAGAACGAACATTAGTGAAGTTGATGGATGAGAAGGCCAATCCTGTTTATGAATACGAGTTTCGTTATCTTGGCGAACGAGATATAGATGGAGCGCCGCATTGTGAAGAACTAAAGTACCTATTTCAATTTTACGATGTTGTTATAGAACCCACAAAAGAAAATCAATTGGTTATCAACAGGATGACAAAACTGTGGTCAAATTTCGTTAAATATGGGTAAGGACGTTTTTAGTTAAAGCTATTGAATGTCTTTGACAAACTGGATGAGTTGTTAAAATATAGAAATTCCATGAATCAGTGCTTATACGGAAAAGCCATGCAGTGTATATTTGCATCCTGGTTTCAGTCTACGAATTTCCGAATATCCAAAGTCAAAATAAGTCATCAGCATTTCTTGTTTCACTTACATCAAGTAAACTCCTCCTCCTCTGTAGTGAAAAATCGGAGCAGAGACCACAGCGTTCTGTTTTAAAACTTAGTTTTATTTTTCAGAAATCCAACACCAGTCATTGACGATTTAATACCAGTCAAATGGACAACTGTAACGAGTGATAAACGTCCCTACATGATTATTGATAAGGAACTCAAAATTGAGAACAGAATCCACAATCAGAGGATGGCTTTTTGGGACTTATTTTATGCAACATATGGACAATTTAACAGATATACACACCAAAATTAAAATATTGATTTGATTGTATGTATCTGTGCCGATTTCTTTGTTCTTACTACGTGGACGACGGTAGGTACACTCCTGTAAAGCATCCGAAACATTAGGTCCTAGTTATAATAAATTAATATTAATGAGGTAATAAATTCCGCGTTTTAAACCATTGTTTTATTCAAATATTGTGTTCTTCTTCAGTATGACTAGAAACCTAAATATATATATATATATCTACAACAAGAGACCTCACTTGGAGAAGTAACTTACTGTGCTTCTTAAATTTTGTTTGTTGGCCGCGAAAGCCTTATATGGATTACTTGTTTGAGCGGGAAAAGTCCTCCAACCTAAGTTTTTAATACTGGCTGTTTACATCTGCTTTTTTTTGTAGTATGACAATATGTTGTTTCTTTTATGAAAGGTAAAGTAAACAGGCAATATAACATATAAACAAGATACCGCCTGTGGACCTATTTTAGCTTCATTTATACTAATGAATAAAGCTAAGGTATATAATAAAGGTTTTTATCATTTTATTACATCATATATTTTCTCACTGGTTATCTGGTTACTTGGGTAATGATTAGCAGACATCCAAATTATCAAAATATCCAGGTTTTCTTAAAACATTTATTTCCAAGCTTACAATATTTTAATACAAAAACCGTTGCAAACAATTTCCAAATCAGACTAGACTCTCATAAAACCTCTCTAAAATTTTTAAAACATTCAGTCTTAAAAGTACGTATTAGTTTTAAAACGCTCAACGCGAAGTAACATTCTAGAACTTTTGTTCTAGACTTAATTCTAATAAGGCGTATATTTCCTCGTCTATTCATATAAAAGGATCGTTTTTCGAAAATAGGGTAAAGTTATATCGTAAGCTGTTCGTTCCCATATTTAATGCAATTAGGGTAAATCTACCATATTGTATCTGTCATGTGTCATCGTTGTTATCACAAAGGGTGTTTCAAAGACCATTAGAATAATTCAACTATATTCACACGATTACGTAACAAGAATCCCATCTAATTCCCGAAACAATGTCCTGTGGAAGAACAAGGCGCGGTAATAATTGAACTTTATCACCTTAATAGTCAAACACGTCATATACTTCGTTTGACAGCTGTCGTCAAAAGTGACATTGGAACAGTATGGAAGTATTCGTATTCGTACGAATAATATGTTATGTAATTTGGATATAAAAGAAAATGATATGAATTATGATATGGGGGTTGGACCCCCTCTTCTATACGCTACTGCACGCTTATTAACAATCAATTTGACAATAAACCATCAGCGGTTAAGACGTATGTCTTGCATTTCACTCGAAGACCTCCAGAATCATTACAGAGTAACGAATACTTTTTTCTTCGCCATAACGTGAGCTATGATTACCCAGAGCGCTGTCCCCCAAACTGCTTCGACCAGCCGTATTGCGTGTGTTCTCATAACTGGGATTTTCCAGTGGAAGGGGAAGAGATGAGCGCAAATCGAATGTCCGACGTATAGGGCTATTGCGTTGAGCCCCGGAGCCCTAAACGGTCCACCAGCCCAGAGCCTCCAAGCGTCCGTGAAAGTGTAGCAGATGCTGAGTATGGCGAGGGATACGGCTGATGTCGCTAGCACGAATGATATTGACCTGAAACCAGAAATAAAAAATGGAGAACAAAGATGGATGGGACGGAGATTTGAAGTAACTGAGACACTTTTCTTGTTATAAAAATACGAGTAATAAGATAGTGGAAGTCTCGCGCTGTTATGGTTGGGTATAATTTTTTAAAAAGCTGCGTTTTTCAACGATATACTTATTAATTGTCATATATAACAAATATATTGAACGTTTAAATATTCTTTATATAATTGTTAGCGCCTGTTGTTTCTTCTATCTTCTCCTGTTTTCTGTTCCATGAGCTAGACGTATGGTGCTAGAGTATAGACGTACAAACGCTGATGTTAGTTTTAATAGCATACAGTGATTCATTACAGCAAAAGTGCGACAATTTTTTACTCCCTTTAACTAGTCAAAACTGTATACACGATAGCATCTGTATGAATTAATGTTAGTTACACTTAAATATTTTAATTTTTAACTAGTGACACATAAAAATTCGACAATGATCGGTCAGAGCAACAGCACGGAGCGCTGTGAATGCCGGTTCAAAGCCTGACCGTAAATTTTTTTCAATGTATTATTTTGATGTTTATTTTATAGCCATCACGTGTATAATATAAAATTTTCTCAAATGTTTATATAGAACTTCATATTTATGAAGCTGAACGTGATATGAAAAAAAACTTTTATATAAGGAGGATCTTGCTGAAACAGCTTCTTGGACAATAATACGTACCACAAATTCTTGTTAATCGGCACGACTCCATGGTCTCGCGAAAAGCCAGCCAGCAAAGCAGCTGCAAGTGCGAAGACCAGCGCCCAAGCTAGCCAACGCGATACGCGAGCCTTATGCGATCGTTGTAATAATACTGTTGCACCAGCTTGCACACCCAATAAAGCCTGCACCGCTGATGTCAAGCAACCTGGACACACAAAGTCACGGAAACAACCGTCTTTAATTGTCAGCAATCATCTTAACCCAATTGAAAAAATATTCTATAGAGAATGGATTCTAGATATAAACTTTTTCCCTTAGTTTTCAGAGGTTTCGGAATCAACACAAGTTTTTGCAGTACCTATATCACATTTCTTGAAAGAAATATTACCTAGTAAACCCTCTGGGTCAGTAACAGAACCGCCATAAACGGTCCTAGCATCACTGTTTTGGTACAGATGAGAACTTCCAAGTAACAGACGGTCTATGTAACCGGCAGCACCCCCGCTGCATTCTGGTGCATACCAGTCGTCGTGTTTGCCCCCCGGACCAAGATAACCTCTGAAATTATATAATAATTATAAAACTAATATAGCATAAAAAAAGCACGGATACAAGTCTGTGGAATTTGTTCTTACAAAAAACTTACGAAGGACAATTAGGATCGTGAAGAATGAAAGTGATAGCACTGTGCAATGCTATTAGAACTCCAGCCAGGATCCAGCACCAGACACAGGATAGCACATCTTTGAGAGCCTGGCCGCAGGCCCCCTGCAATTAGGAAATTTCACCTTAAATAAGCAAACTAAGACTTCCGAAATAAGACAAATAAAGCCTTTTAAAAGATATAGTAATTATGTAGTAATTTTCAGTAGCATTCTTTTTATCTATTTCCAATATAAAGAAATATTCAACGTTTTTATCATATACTAGCTATACCCGTGACATATTTCGCGTCCTGTCGTTCTTGCAAGTTAATCTTAAAAGATAGACATCGCGGACGCTGTTTCAGATAATTTTAAAGAGGAATCATTCTTTAATACGTATTTTTGTATTTATTGAATCATTTTCGCACGCATCGGAAACCCTTGTTTTCTCCACATTTCCATCTGATTCTTCGCTTCTATTCGTCGCAGCCTGATGTTTTATAGCCTATAGCCCTTGCTCGATGAATGGGCCAATCACCACAAAAATAGTTATTAAATTCGACCTAGTACTCCTTCATTAGCGCAATCAGAGAAACAAACTCTTCACCTCTATAATATTAGTATAAATTGTTACATACATATTATTATATACTTCTCTTATACTTATTTTATAATGCTATTATTTACTTTATGTGCATCTGAAATGAATTTTCATATTTTATATTATATTTAAGTGGAAGAGGGGGGGGGGGACTTACCCTGGGAGGTGTGTAGTACTTTGGAGCGGTAAGAGCATAAAATCCTGCTGATACTAGATAAGCGAAGGCCAGACGCTGGAGAACCCCGAAAACCCTTAATTCACTCAGCATGTTGGATCCGTAAATAGTGTTTAGTGATATGCCCAGGAGAAACATGACAAAGGAACGCTGAAAACAAAAAAAAAATGTCTGTAAGTATTACTATTCCATTAATTCGGATGTTGACTATTTTTGAGAAAGTGTTTTAAATTCTAGCAGTAATTTGGTTAAGAACAATATTTGCTATTTCACTCCAATACCCCGTGAAAATGTTTGGTGTACAATATTAACCACTCGTATTGTTGCGTGATGAGCGCCCTGGTCATCAAGTTGGAATGCGCGAAAGGCACAACCAGCAACGGTGGAAGTTAAAAATAATTTTCAAATAAGTTTAACTAATAGAAATGGCGTTTTAAACAGTTAAAGTGTTTTATTTAAATGTGTACTACTCGCTTAAACTACGGACAGTATATTCCTATTGTCAAAAGTAAATTGTATTTCATATCCTTATCGGAAATAAAATCTTTATATTTACATATCGTCTGTCATATTGCAAATCCGGTTCACAAGATTTATCGCACAGCGTACGCGCCGTTAAAATCATTTGAAGCTGAACTAGGTCGGTGTCCTGTCTTCGGGTCAAGCCAATTACAACTGAAGTCGGTATGTGGCTTAATATTGTTAGTGAAAGAGGAATATAGCTTCAAAGGGCGTACATAATTAATGGCACATACTGAACTGGTTTAAAATGTAATATATATTTAAAACAAAACACTTTTAACGGTTAAAACATGAAATATATTACATAGTTAATTATGCCTAATTCATTTTTAATACGCATGCTTTGAACGCCGTTTTAAACCGTTAAAAGTATTTTATTATTTTTGTAAACCAAACAAGAAGAATGATAAAAAAAGCGCAGCAACCGAGTCAAAAAATGTAATCCTGTTTCTTTAGCACTGCTCAATTCGTTTACGGGCAGGTAGTTCTCCACTTCCGAGCGAAATCTATTTTTTCCCCGGGATTCGAACCCAGGACGCAATGCTAGGTAACTAGTCTTTAGTGAGAGGCAAACGTTAAAAGCGGTAAAAAAGGTAAGCTTTTTAAAATAAACAAACACAAAATAACAGAAAAGACTCCCGATAATATTACCGATGTAATTATGTCGGTCGGTATCAGCTCAAAGACCTAATCTCCTAACTAGAGAGTCACGCAAGATTGGAATCCACAATGAACTATCTCGAACAAAAAACCGCATACTTTGTCCATCTTTATATCTCTCGCACGTATAGGTGATGTAACCGAAGAAAGTCTTAAATAATTTAACGGACGAAATTCCGTCAAGATTAACTGTCCTTGACGAAGAAATTTCAATAAACGTCACTTGGAACTGGTACATTATGATAATAGATTTTATGTAATAGTTGCGACTAATTTGGACTCGTGTGTGTGATATAGAGTTAGACTATTTTTTGAATTATGATTGAATATGTAAGCAACACAGGCGGTATTCGAACAGACAGCTTATTACAATTTAGAGCGAGTAAAAATCAACGAATCGTGGAAACTTTTTTACTTAGAGTTTTTTTATGAACAGGAGGGTTTACTTAATGGAAGCTGAAATACCCCAAACATATTATAACATCTAAAAAAAATGCGCTGTCGTCCTATTTAGGCTTTGTGTATTCGGAAACCATAGACTGAAACCGAAACGTGATTAAACTTCACGGCTTTTTCATGTCGTAGTCAAACATGTTTCAGAAAAATTATATATTGTTTTGAAAAATGTTAGACCCGGTGAGGATCGAACCCACGACCCGATGTTAGCCATACGTTGCTACCATTACACCAACGAGACGAACGAACTTAAACATACTTTGAAAACTTTATTATTTTTTACATGTTATTGCACATGAAGGCACTTACTGACTCGGTAACTCAATTGGTAGAGCGACAGCACGGAACGCTGACGATGTCGGTTTAAGTCCAGCCCGAGTGGAATTTTTTTTTCAATTTATTTTCGATTTTCAAATTAAACATACTTCATAAACTCTAGCCTAATTTTGCCAGTACGAAACTCGGTGATATGAAATACGAGCTCGTTGCTGACCATACAATGGCAGTTGTTGGCTATAGTCAACTTGACATAACAATGCCTTTTTAAAGGTTAAACTAACCGTCCGTGGCTCTCCCGAGAAAAGAGGAATAAACATGAACTGGTTTCGAGGCTATTATGTAATTTCCATTGATGCTCAGCTATCGGACCACTGAGTTTGATAATAATAAATACTTTATAAGAACGTACGTATTGGGCTACATAATTTAATTGTAAAAATGGTATTGTTTAATTGTAAAATTATTGTGTTAAAATTGTGTCTTGTAAAAAACGTTTTTACAATTTTCATCGCGAAATATATCTGTGCTTGTGACTTGGTCTGAATATAGAATTGTTATTTTCGACATCAAAATTTGTTTTTGCAAACCCCTTTATCGTTATAAACTTAACGACGTCGGTCGCGTCCCTTCCCGTCGTTCTTACAAGTTGATCTCAAAACATAGACATTCGTCGTGACAAGTGTCGTGGATTTTATGATATTTAACGATAAAATGTTCTAACCAACACAAAGAGAATTTATCAATTCGTACTAGTGGTTCCTGAGATTAGCGTGTTTAAACAAACGAACTCTCAGCTTTATAATATTAGTATAGATTAATTTTAGTTACGACTTCATGTTTCTAATGATTAACCATAATCGTTGTCACATGGAATTTTATCAGATACATTACAAATACATTTCACGTTTTAAACAGTTTTAAATGTTAAATGTATTTAAATAACGATTTAAAACGCGACATTTTAGTTAAACTTATTTGAAAATGATTTTTATATCGGCTCGACGTTTCGGATGCTTTGTAGCAGCCGTGGTTACGCGGAGACGGTATGTTACGGTATAGACAATATGTTAAATGTAACTATACTTTTGGTAGCTTTTCCAAAACTATAGCAAAAATGTAATATAATGAAGTAATCACTTATAGACTTATGTAAGCATTATAATCTGCGCTTGCAGTTGATGTACGTTTTCCGACATTTTTATCAAAGGAATGTAGATATTATTCATGACATCAAAATAGCATTTTTAGCTCTATTATATCGAAAGAAAGTTACTTAATTCCTATAATAATGTAGAAACATAATATTAATTGGCTTCTCGCTCTAGCGTATCATGCTTTCATGCTCAATCACCCATCTGTAACTTTAAGATATATTGCCCATTTACTATTACATAGTAATAAATCTGTATTACATATTTACTCAATTAAAAAAAATCGAAAATAAATTGAAAAATTTCACGACTCGGGCACGACTTGAACCGGGATCGTCAGTCCTACACGTCGTCGTCGAATCTATTCAACCTGTCGATGCGAACAATTGGTTAGAGCAACAGCACGGAACACTGAGGATGCCGGTTCAAGTCCTGGCCGAGTCATTAATTTTTTTAATTTATTTCCGATTTTTAATTTATTTAGCATCATGGGGCTATACGTGCGAGAAATATTAAAGTTTTCAAACAATTAGGAAGAATTTTTATGCAGAGGTGACCAGACATAAATAGGGTTCATTCTATAGACGATAAAAATGCCCCAAGCGTACGATTCTTTGGTTTAGAACTACAGAAATGAAGCCGAATTGCGAAAATGTGTTAAAAGTGTTAAATAAATTGAATGAATGTAATTATTTACATTGTTTTCCGAATTTCCACCTGTTTACTATATACAACTTACAATTGCCAATAAATATAAAATGAAAGAAGGATGCAGTAGGTATAAAAAAACCACCTGATGCTTTCCAAAATTATTCTAAAAAAAATCCGTTATAAACCGTTAAAATTGCGCTACTCGTGTAAACTAGACATGACATGACGAGATAATATATTATTGGTCGGTAAAGATTTGCAATACAACTTATAATCATTTCTTCGTTGTAAGGTAGGTAGGTAGGTAACCAGGTTTTTTAAGAAGAGATTAAATTGGTATAATATTGTACACTTACCCGCACTATATGAATTAGAATCTTCCATCTAGGAATGCCCTTGGCGAAGGCACTTTTGATGGACAAAGGTACGCAGACTCCCATGATCCACAGAAAAGCTGGAAACACCAGATCTCCAGCGGCTAGACCATTCCAAGTGGCGTGTTCGAGCCACCAATATCCTCCGGCACCGTCGTTCACGAAGATCATAAAAACTATTGCCATTCTGAAAAAAAAGACCGATAAAGAACTAAATAAATATAGACTGTAATTACGTCCTGCGATAAAACCCTGCTGTTCACTGGGGGTAAAAAAAACTTTACAATAAGAAAAACATAATTAAATATATAATATACAATGTTTTTTAGAGTCCAAGTAGTTTTAATAAAAAACATACTTAAACTACCCTCTTAAAATGCATTTTTAGAACCAAAATGTAGTATTTTGTTTTTATAGCATTATGCTTTACAAACACGTTTTAATTACTGATATTTTAAATATATTCTTATGAAATGTGTCAGTTACCACCTCTGTATATGATCACTTCCAACTTTTTCGATTTTCCCATAGGGGTTACCGTAATCGTGGCTGACATTAGCCAAATGCTGTGTTATTTACGTACACATTCAAATAAAACACTTTAAGCGGTTTAAAACGCAAAATTTACGCGTTTAAAACCGTTAAAAATGTTTTATTTAAATCCTCTTCCATTAATAAAAGTTAAAACCTATTGGGCTTTCAAGTCTTCCAACCCTTTATTGCTACTTCCAACCCTAAAGACGCAAATATTCTATATGATGCTTTATCATCACTTGCATATGAATCAAGAAACATACCGCCCCTGATTGCTTCTAACTATAAATACTTAAGTTTAATTGCAACGATCACTTACTATGTTATAACGCGAAACAACCAGTTCTGAAAGCGAAGCAGTTAGAAACAACTTGTCTATGCCGTGGGAACGCAAAAAGAAAAATATTCTCCACGGACAGTTTATGCTTATTATGGATATATTTGTATGTAGGTTGGATAATTGTTGCTCTTATGGACATAAACGTCTGACGGGCTTCTTAGTCTAATGGGTCGTGGGACCTGTCCAAATCGGGCCAATTTATAATTTTTCGGCAACATTTTTGATTTGTCTAGAAATTGGTCGGTAGGAATATCAAAATTCCAATCGAACGAACAACCACAGATGAAAAGGCCGTTTAATCGCGTTTCGATTTCAGGATTTCCGAACATCCAAAGCTAAAATAAGTTCACAGAGCAGCTTCTTTAGATTTTAGGGTACCACCCAGATATTTAATGGCGGGGATAGTTCACCTACCATCAAGTTAATCCCAAGCCTGTCTGTCTTCTTCAGTCATAAAAAAAAAAATATTCTAGAAATTTTTAGTTAAATACTGTCTATAGTTTACGCGAGTAGTACACATTGAAATAAAACAATTTAACGGTTTAAAACGCGATATATTAGTTAAAATTATTTGAAAGTGATTTTTACTTCGGCCCGACGTTTCGGATGCTTTGCAGCAGCCGTGGTCACGGGGAGCATCGTGACCACGGCTATCACGGAGAAACGTCGGGCCGAAGTTAAAATCATTTTCAAATAAGTTTAACTAATATATCGCGTTTTAAACCGTTCAATTGTTTTATTTAAATTCTTGGTTGTTTGTTGGTTCTGAAGTGTTAAGAGTGTTTTATTTAAATTGCTACGACTTTCTTACCCTCTGAAAGTATCCAGTGCGCGCAGCCTTTGTTGAATAGCCAGTTCTTTGTCTCCGTAGCGAAGCTTGGCTGATCTTCTCACTCTTGACATTATCAACTTCAGAATACCGTATACGATCCATACTCCTAATAAGGCGCCCAGCATCAGCAATAGAGCTACAAAGACAAAATATCAATAACGTACTATTATTTCTAATCAGATCGTCCTGTTGGCACAGATCTGACTTTTAAGGAACCTTACTTACTTCCTTCCCTTTAAAGATGGGAACCACCACACTGTTAAGGGAGCGCGATTTTGATAACTACCGCCAATAATTTAGTGATAAGAACCAGAACCGGCGGCTTAAGGTTTCTTTAAAAGTAACACGCACATTACATATACATTGGTTACGGCTTAACAAAGTAAACCATAAGATCCATGTTATTTTTGTATGATATAGCAGACTTTTTTATTCGACTTTTTTGTTCAAACAACAAGTAAAAAATTGTATTTTTTACTCGCGTATTTTTTATTGCATTTATATACTTCTTACGCTATTGTCAATGAAATTTTAAAATGTAACGGACAACCAAACTATCAGTAGCGATAGGCCGTGAAATTGATAAGCTACGGAAAGTACAGTATCAACTAAAGATCATATTTATCTCAAAGTTTCTATCTGGCATTGCTTAGTAGACCGCCAAATCTCTCGCTTCTACATTTTTAATGGCGGTCTGACAAGATGGACTTTTTATACTCAGTGATATTAGTTCATAGTTTTATATTACCCAGTTTGAGTTCTGAAGTAAGAATTGATCCATTAGTGTTGATCGAGCAAGGCCTTGTAAGAGGTCTGATTTCTAACGACGGAAGTTATTCCAGTTTTCTCGGAATTCCTTACGCGCAAGTGAATCTAAGCGATCCGTTTGGAGTAAGTTATCTCTACAACATATTATTATAATATATGAGTTGACCTTCAACATGGAACTGAAATACTAATGTCAAGAAATGGTTTTAAATTCTCTTATTATATTATATCTGTTAAATAAGGAATTAAATATACGAATTATAATATACTGAAATCACTAAACAATTCATATAATTGTTGTGAGATCATAAGATAGACATTTAAAATTGTTTAATCTGCTCAGGGTCTAAAGGGTTTTACTATATAAAAAAAAACGCATAAAACAAAAGATGGTCGAGCTACGACCGATACGAATTTCAGCTGACGTTGGATTTACCTAGCTTACATAATAAATAATATCGTTTTTCTAGGAACCATATCCACATCCTGGATTCGACGAAGTAGTATACAACGCCTATGACGGTACAAAACAATGTCCGCAAAGTGATAAGAAAGCGGAAAAAACGCGATGCAGCCCAACATCTCTAAAATCGGGGGAAGAGATACTAGACTGCCTTCGACTGAACATCTATGTCCCCACCGTTGCAAGCTCACAAAACCCTCTCCCCGTTCTAGTATGGATACACGGTGGCATCTATGCTGTTGGAAGTGCTGGCAATTACGATCCGGATAAACTAGTCAGACAAGGCATAGTCGTGGTCACGATCAACTATCGTTTGGGACCGTACGGTTTTATGTGTCTCGATGTCCCCAATGTCCCCGGCAACCAGGGTTTGAAAGATCAATTCGTAGCTCTACGTTGGATAAGAAACCACATCCGTGCATTTGGTGGTAATCCGTACAATGTAACGATCGCGGGACAAAGTGCTGGCGCAGGATCGGTTCTCTTCCATCTGTATTCTAAGAAAGAGAAGTTATATAACAACGTGATAGTACAGAGTGGTGTTCCCCAAAATCTACTATCATTTGTTGATGCTGATGTAGACGCTGCAATAAAAATAGCTCTACATTTAGGATTCAATACAACCGACACACTACAGGCATTAGATTTTCTTTCTAATACATCTCATGTATTGGTTAGTAGAGCTGCTGCTGATTTAGACTTAAAGCTAAGGCCTTGTAAGGAAAGATCGTTTAGTGGAATAGAAAGCTTCATTGACACGGCCCCATATTACTTCTCTAATGACATAAAAGTAAAAAATACAGCGATTATGATCGGTCAAACGAGTAAAGAACATTTGGGATCTCAAGCTAAGAACGGGGATGGCTATTACGAAACTGATCCATTCTACGATAACATTAAAGAATATTTTAACTTAGACGAAAACGAATTAAAGGAAGCTGCGCAAACGGTGCGACAATTTTATATAGGAGATGAATCAATATCCAGAAATATGATTTCTGAGTTAGAAACTTTTACATCAGATTTTATTTATAACCATCCAGTAGATAGGACTGTGGTCAGTCTATTAAAAGAAATGCCAAAAGCAGTCTATGAATATGAGTTTCGGTATGTCACCGATCAAGGTCTGGAAGGAGCACCACACTGTGAAGAGTTGAAATATCTGTTTAATTTTTACGATGAAAAAGTCGAATATACGGAACAAAATCAAATAATAATTAATCGTCTCACGAAGATGTGGTCGAATTTCGTAAAATACGGGTAAGACTTTATTTAAATATCTATAAATTTGATTCTTAGATTTGACTAACCTAACGTTTAAACCCATATTGTTGAGTATTGTAATTGTCGAAATAAACACAATTATTAACGAATCAAAACGGGAAATATATATTAATTTAGAGTAACAACAAGGAAACGGATGGTGGTAGTGGATTTGATTTAGGTTTAACGACACCTACTATCTTTAATCCTTCCGTGTCCGTGAGCGATGCAAAGTTATACGGGTGTAGTTAATAATAAATTAAATATGATTTAAAATATTTGAATTGTTTTAAACCTGTTTATTTTTCCAGGAATCCCACACCAGAAGTTGACGAGCTGTTACCAATAAGATGGTCAGCTGTTACGAACAATTCCAGACCATACATGATCATCGACTCTGAACTCAAAATAGAAAATAGAATAAATAAGGAGAGAATGGCATTTTGGGATCTCTTTTATAAGGCGTATGGAAAGTACAATAAATTTTCGACACGATGCCATGATTAATGGATTTTTGGACTAAAATTGAATTGTACAATATATTAAAATAAATGCTTGGATAGTTTTAATTCTCACACTTTGCATTGATTTTTTGTAAATATTTGAAACCAGAAGTAAGTATATTGTAGATGTTTTTATTCAAGTTTTCTATGTGTATGTTATCGAAAAATTTTATCATTCAACAAAAAAATATATTTAAAAAAATAAGATATGCGTCGTTGAACTCTGTTGAATTCTAGACGCTGTGATGCACGCCCACCAGTGCTTGGCTTATTCTGTTCTGCATTGTATACGATTACTATTAAAAAATATGTAACTGTATTATATACATTTATCAAATAAATCTTAATTATTATATGATAGTAGAATTTTCTTGCTGTTTCAATGTAAGTGTCAAATAAATAATAATGTTATTTACTGACTTAAAGGAAGGAAGTTCTCGTTCCATTTGCATACATGCTTGTAGATTGACAAACTCGATATATACTTACTGATTTCGTGATGTTCTTGTCATTTTTTAATTTAAAATAGATTTTGAATGTTGTTCACATAATTTATTAGGCATTATATAAATTCAAGACCCGCGCGTGTCTTTTTTTTTTAGTTTAAAATAGACTTTTAATTTAGATTTTCAATGTAAAACTAGCAACGGCCTTAATGTGTTAATGATATAATTCGTTACATTTGCGTTTGGCTCGTGATATAAGTAGTATAAAAATAGAGATATTTTTCAAAGAATCATTAATCGATACAAATAAAGGACTATATGATACATTAAAGGGTTTAAAGTAAAATATAAATTTCATGTTTGAATTAATGTCATTGCATAATAATGTCTATTCTCAATCAAACATTATTATAAAATTACATATTTTTATTGTAGTAAATTTACTAGAAACATTCAATCTCTTTTATATAAGGAAGTTTAAGACAATCCTAACTTTCAAAGTGAAACATTGATTATTATCTATAAGACTCTCCATAATAACAAACAATTGATTCTATAAACCACAACTTTCGTATACGTGCTCTGGTTCAGCTGGATTTTCTAATTTTCTTAATTTTCTCTGTAGCCAAGAGAGTGAAAAGTAAATATAATTAATTTTCAACACAATTCGTCGTTATTATTATGTAATTTATATTGTGCCTCGGGCAGTACACTAAGACGTCGGTCGCCGTTATTGTCAGTAATTTAGAGGCGGTAGTGATTAAAACGTGGTTTTGAGTTCTTAAACCTTATTTCCTGTATAAGACAGACCTGTGACCAGCAATAGGACTATAGCCAGACTAGCCAGAACCAGAATAGCAATGTTATGAAAATAACCTTTTGTATTTTTTGTTATAAACTCAATACATATATATAATATTTGTATGATATAGTGAGAAATAAAAATATAGTAATTAATTTAATTTAATCGAAACTTTTAAATGACAGACAAGTATGGGGTTCAATTTTTGTCAATTACCCCCTCCCCCCCTCTTTTAATATCCAGATTTCCAGACGGAATTTAACATGTTTGTAAAGCATTATAAACTGATTAGACACTAGTTAGACCCGGGGATTCGGGATTCAATCCACGACCCGATAAACGCATAATTATTAATATTAAGTTTCAATAATAAATATGAATGTGAATTCCTGTAAAGAATAATAAACATTATACTTGATATAAAATTTTCCAATTTTATATTTTACAATTCAAAATAATGTGCTACTATTTGGCATTGAAACGATAAAATAAAGATGATACATTCCGTTATATTTGGAAGTAACGACCTCCACAATTTGCATTTATATATATTATTATCCAATACATATTAACAAGCTGACACTGTCCTACTGATCTTGAACCAGATTCGCTTCATATCTTTATCAGTTGAAATCCTTCGATATTATACAATATTGCTTCTTTGACTGTTTTAAGATATTATGCATGTATGTAATTTAAAAATCGAAAAAAATTTGAAAAAACTTTCGACTCGGGCAGGACTTGAACCGGCGTCGTCAGCGTTCCGTGCTGTTGCTCCACCAATTGAGCTACCGAGTTTCAAACGTTAAATGCATATTTTTGCTGTGGACGGTAGTTTGTGACTCGGGCGATATTTTGTTATTTCTACAGTCCATTCTAGACGAAGTCTAATGCACTTGAACCGTTGTGAATAAATATGCTCTTCGCGTTTAAAACCGTTAAAAGTAATTATATATAAACCGAAAATTCACCCCGATAACTCCATAGAGTTGTTTGTCTTTGGCTGGATTCCAGGACGAAATATTGAAAATACTGATTGCATGATCACCAACCATCAAATCAGTTGAAAAGAGGCCAAGATCGGAGATAAAACTCTTCAGATATCGTGTTGAATGGCTCTGAGAGCGAAATTTAATATTTCTGTGTCAAGGCTACGCGTAAAAGGATAATATGGCAATTTTATTATTGAATACGTCTGCATCTCTCGCCAGAGGAAATTTTGAGGATGTTAAAAATAACGCTTCAAAGGTTACGGATGAAGGAGAAGACAACCTACCTAAAACAGAGATTAGATGTTTTAGCTTTCTGGTCCTCTTTCTTTTGTGTTTTTTTTTTTTTTTTTGGGAAACCTTTTTGTTTTTTTTTTTTTTTTTTTAAGGGGGGGGGGGGGCCCTTTTTTGTTTGTGGGACCCCCCCCTTTTTTTTCCTTTTGGGGGGTTTTTTTTTTTCTTTTTTTTTTTTTTTTTTTTTTAAAAAAATCCAACAGACGGAGTCCAACACGTGGGTAGTGACCCGGACGGATTTTTGTTTTTGTTTACCCCCCCTCCAATCCCCGATTTCCCGGGGGGGTCCTTTTGTAGCAGAAAAATTATAAATTGATTAGAAAAATGTTGGACCCGGCGGGGATCGAAGCCACGACCCGTTGATTACTACGAGGCCGTCAAATATCAAACCATAAAGACCAGTGATGACCTTTGTGAAGTTGATGCCACAGATTACACACAGATACTAAATTTATATTGTTTTGGACATAAGCGAGAGATCTTGAGTCCTATATATATTGTTTTCAAAACTATATAGCCCTATCAATAAAGTTTACAACTCACGCATATAAATGTCCACAGGATCCCTTGAGGTCTGTACATCGCAACCATCTCCTGTGATATTGAGAGAGTACACTCCAAATTCACCCAAATTCGGTCGCAGCTGACATATTAGATTCCTGAGGAGAAAAAAACAAATATTTGTACTTGCTTGTGCGCTATCGTAAATATATTTTTAAAGATTGGCTACAGACAGCATTAACCTTAAGTATTAACCTTATTTAGTATTGTCTGTAGTTAACGTGGGTAGACATTTAATATTGGTCACGGGTGCGAACCACAACAATATTTCTTAAAACAGAATTACTCGTATGTTATTTTGTATTTATTAAGAAAGTAGTTCTAGACTTAATAATTACACGGTAACTGGCCAAACGCAAAAATAAAGAAATAACCTTTAAAAAAAGTGCTAAACTCATGACAAAAGTAAAAGACACTTAACGACTTATTCACAAAGCAGATGATAATATGTAAAAGGCAATTTTTCAAGCACAAAGTCATTACATAACTTACTGCTGTGTTCAAGTAGCAAATAAATATTCCAAATGCACGCTACTGATTTCTCTAAAGCCTTTCGCTCTAAACTTGTCTAATTTACGTTCAAGGCATAACATTAATTAATTAGAAAACCTAAGTAAAATATTAATTGAGCAGTTTAGAGTGATTGGGTATTTGTTGCATAAACACATTCAGTTTTAATTTTAATTATAATGAGCCAGTCAGTAACAATTTTCGCGTCATTTTAACATAAAGGCACATCGCAAATAGGTTTTTTGTTTAGCAAATTAAAGTTAAAAAATAAAACTTAAATATTAAACAGTAGTTACACAGATTTCAACGCCATCTTGTAAACAAAAAAAAAGATCGAATATTTATTCATTAATTTTTTGTACTACATAGATGAGAACCGAAAGTTATCTAAAACTGGTTCTGTTTATGTATATTTATATATATATTATGTATGTTTATGTATATATATTGAAGTCGGGGTCTCCTATAGTCGTGCATCGTGAAGAAATGAACACTTTTCAGAATTAAACAAAACTTACACGAAATACTTACGTAGTATTCCTTAGACTTATGTATTTATCTGAAGTGTCCGTATATACTCTCCATGTAGACCGTCTGGCTGTGTCCACAACCCACCAGGTCTCGAAATCAGCTGTTAGTGTCTTCTGAAGCTCGAACGGACACTAGAAGATATTAAATTCATTAATAAAAAAAACTAATACATAGAATGAGTATATAAATCAGGAAAAATATGTTAATTTTATTATTTTTTCCCGCTATAATTGGCACAGATACAATAAAACAGATACAACGGTATTCGTTATTAATAAGGTAACGAATACTAATCTAAGTAAAAATATATATATAATGTACTAACACGTGTTAGATGATCCTGTAGAAGAGCAACAAAAATAAAATATACAATTGTACAAAAAATAGTATAAGTAAGTCGTAGTTACATTAAATTAAAAATTAGATAAACCATAAATATTGCGTTTTAAACAAACATTAGTCACAAACAACACTTGTTTTAATATTGTAGGCGGTTGAAACACGATATGAAATTTCTAATAAGTAACATACACAAGTTTTTTTTTATTTGTTATATGTTTTTATACTTCTTAAAAGGTCATAAATACCAAATATGTGATTGTAGCTATATATATACGTTCATTAAACTATAACTTTACGTAAAAGTTACGTGTTTTGGCATTTGTATCGAGAAGAAAGGCATAATTACGCAACCGACAGCATTCTAAAAAGGAGAGGAATTCTTGACCACACGAAACGAGTTATAAACCGCACTGGGTACCTACGTACCGCAAAAAATATGCTCAAAAAGGAGAAAAGTTCGCAAAACCTGTATTTTCATAAAATCATTTTTATTATTAAAATTCCCATATCAGTTACTGTGGATAATTCCTGTTTTGTACCTGTTATAACGAAAAATAGTATTGTAGTTTACAATAGTTTTAGACATGAAAACACGTTTACTACTTTCTCCGTAGTAGTAATCCGTTAAAGTGTGATTTAATAATAATAGTTATAAGATACCATTTTGAACTTAATTGATAAGATTTTTTGGTAAATATTTTAGGTTTTTTTTTATGGACAAAGAAAGTCAGACAACCGTGGGTTCAGTTGATGGCGGGTGATATACCTTATCCTATAACATCTAAGCAAGATAGGCTGTCGACTTATTTTTGTTTTGGTTGTTCGTAAATCCACAGACTGAAACCAAAACGCGATTGAGCTTCACGGCTTTTCATCTGTGGATGGTGGTTCGTGACCGGGACGGAATGTCTATATTCCTACCGCCCTTTTAATATCCAGATTTACAGACGAAGTCCAATATATTTCAGAATTATAAATTTCAAAATTTGAAATAGGTTGACACTTGATTTTTAGCCATACATGGCTACAATTACTTCAACGAGCCGGTCGAAGCGTACAATATTATCTATCCTAGTTATTACCTACTTGTGGTAGTAATTTCTCTACATCGTTCGCGTGTTCACAATATTTGACACACATACCTATTACTTTTAATTGCATCTCTTACACATGCGCGACCGCATCAAAAGAATTGGAACAGTAAAAAGTATACACATTGAGTGAATTAGATATTTTTATGCGCAATTTGAACGTTTATTGGTTAATTAAATTATGTCTATAGTGTACGCGAGTAGTACACATTTAATTAAAACACTTTAACGGTTTAAAACGCGACATATTAGTCAAACTTATTTGAAAATTATTTTTATCTTCGGCCCGACGTTTCGGATGCTTTGCAGCAGCCTTGGTAACGTTAGTCTCCCCATCCTCCTGTCCCACTCGATTTTTTTTTCAATTTATTTCGATTTCGCCTTCATGTACGAACATAACATATAAAAAATAATAAAGTTTTCTGAGCATGAATCAAAACAATAATTAAATTTGTTTAAAATCAAAGTTTATGTTTGAAATCTCTATACACCAAATTGCCACTTCGCAGAGAACGTACGAAGATTTTGTAACCAAAAAATTTATAAACTAATTTTCATTCATATTTTATTTTTCATTTCCAATTACATAGGGTATATGTACTACCCTTTTGTTTTCTGGTAAATTCCATGACGTCATCAACAATTAGAGGTCAATGCACTCGCATCGAAAGCGCATTCTTCAATGTCCATCAAGAATTTTGCATTCGTTAAAAAACCGCATCGGGTTTTTGATTAATTGAAGATGGCTATCAGAGATCTTATTAAGATAACAGATTTTTTTATATCTCTCACATTACAACTTATCACAAAGTAAATACTTTTTTATATCTATACTAATATAAGCGGAAGAGTTTGTGTGAACACGCTAAATTCGAAACTACTAATTTAAATTGAAAAATTATTTCAGCGTTAGTTAGACCATTCATTAAGAAATGTTTTAGGCTAACAAAGCTACGAATAGTTAATCTTTGAGGGCTTTCGTTGCGTGTGCTGCGACGGCTCAAGAAACTAGAAATAATTCAACTTCGTCTTTAGGATTACGTAGTATCGCGCATTTAAACTAAATGATGTCTATCATAATATACATTACATAATTATATGTAACTAACGCTTATGGCAGCGCACGCCAAAATAGCTCGCAGGAAGGTAGGTGTTTTCCTAGTTACTTGAAACTTAATGTCATATCTTGGACAGCTCACACAATATTTTTATAAATTGTAGCCTATATGTTATTCTGATGTATAAGATATATTATTGGAAAGTTTAATTGAAATCCATTCAGTAGTTTTTGCGTGAAAGAGTAACAAACATCCATCCACACAAACAAACTTTTATGTTTATAATATTTGTAGGATAGGTATTGTATATAAAAAACACACTTCTCGTTGTTCACATATATCGTTATAAAAATTTAATTTTAAAATAGTAATATGTTGGAAAGCGTACTTTTTGAGCGACCGCACTAGTGTCTTATTTGCGAAACATTTAAATAAATGCTATTAATAAAAGTATTCAATTTTTTAAGGTATATTTTATTTAGCAAGCTTAAAGCGAATATATAATTAGTATTTCGTTCTAAGTAATTCATTAGTAGATAATCTATCTAGCGTTAGCAACCCGTTAGCAACTCTCTGAAACAAGTTCTTCAAGATCTGCTTGGTTGTCAATCCGGTCTGTTACAAAATTTAATTTATTTAAATTAATTAATTGTCAATTTACTTGCATTTTGCTCCCATTAAAGGCCAGATGTAAAGATACATATTATCTAATGCTAATACGTGCACAGTCTGCATTTCAATATTATTAAAAATCTATTGATTAAAAACATTTACGACAGGGGAAGGACTAAAACCGGCATTTATTTATTACGATCTCAAACGATGACTTAACCCAATCAAAGCAAACTTATTTCTGTCAGGCAAGATTAGGCTCTGCTCTGCCCGACCGAAACAATTATTTTCCTGGATCCGAACTTAGGACATTCTACTTAACGCGAATCTAAGTAACGCGTTTAACAATTGAACAACGAAGGTGGTAAATATTTTTAACAGACGGGACTCGAAGTCGTGACTATTTGTGTCTATCGTGATACTTTATAAGTATTTATATTTTGCATGTATGTCTGTCATAAGGCTTCTTGGTAAGCAAGTTGATACAGACAAGCTCTACGTTTTCATTAGAGGTAACTATTCAAATATTCTCAAATGTTATGTACCTTACGAAAGAACACACGAAGGTCAATTTGTGAAATCGTATGTTTAATATACAATCGTTCCTAACAGGACGTTGTTTTCAATTTCACAAGCAAATGAGCGTGCGTGTTATTTTAGTCCAGACAAGGCGTGGTAGACAAACAAACAGACAAATTCGATCTCTGAATACTTTAAATAGTCAAGTTAGTGATTTAAACTATTTCGTCAATCAACACTTTTTTAAACTACACATATTACAATGAATCTTGCCTGAACATTATTTTTCTAGTTTACTAGATAATTTAAAAGTATTTTATATGTGGTAGTTTGATTGATAGATTTATATATTGAATAGTCATTAAATAAATAAAGCTAAAAGATTGCTTTATTTGCGTCTGTAGTTACGAGAGTAGAAGATTTAAGTAAAACATTTTTAACGGTTTAAAGCGATGCAATTCAAATGCTTTGCAGCCGCGGCCAAGGAGGAAACGTCGGGCCGTAGTAACATTAAATGAAAATAACATTACCTAACATATTTCGCGTTTTAAACAGTGTTTTATATAATATGTTCTAATTTTTAAATACAGACAATGCGTATTGTTAAGTGTGTTATTTAAAAATCTACGTAATTTTTTTTAGTTAAAAAAAAAACAAAACAAAATTTCGCAAACATTTTATTTTGAACTAATGTTTTGCTACAAGAAATAGAAAGGTATAACGCGACCGAATAATTTATTGACAGAAATGGCTACTAATATTGACAACAAGGAAACGGTGCACATTCCAAACATTCGATTATTGCCTTTGATAATTAACAAAATAAAAAATTTATTAAACAAGTTTTATTCAATTATTGTTAAAAACTGATTATAATTTTACTGTACTATTATCAATCAATAATAAAATATTTAAAACACTCGGAGTTATCAGTTAAATATTAGTCTAGTGTTTACATTTATTTTCAAGCGAAGGACGCAGGTTCATAAACCTATCAATAGATTGTTGATACAGTACTAACGTTTGTTTACTAATGGAGTACTTATGTGCGGTTATGTCCCATTACCTAATTTTTATTATACCAATAAAATCAAGCTTTATTTATCACTAGCTGTGCCTGCGGCTTGTGCGTCCCGTCGTTCTTGCGAGTTAATATTAAAAGGACTTTTTTTAGGTTTGTTAAAGTAGAATAATTCTTTTTAAAATGTTACGTTATCGCCGCGCACGCAACGGAATCCCTCAAAGAAGAATATTTTTTCCCGCCTTTTCCACATTGCCCTCTGTTTCTTTGTTCTTATTAGACGAACCCTGATGTTTTGTTAGTCTAAGCCTTCGCTGATAAATGGTATTCCAATACAAAATACTTTTTTAATTCGAACCAATCGTTCCTGAGATAAGCGCATTCAAACAAATATTTATAATATTTGTATAGATATAGTTACGAATAAAATTATGTTTGCTGTATTACAAAACAATCTTTCAAAAATATTTTGCTTTGACGTGTTACGGTTTTAGTAAACTCAACTATAGTATAAATATTAAGTATATCTTGAATAAAACATTAAAAAGATTTCTTTTCTTGTCTTAGGTCTTTCAATTTAATTATGTTTCTGTTAGTTTGTAGTTAAAACGTATAATTAATAATTAATTTTATTTGTTTGTCAACTCTTATATAAAATTTGTCTAATTTCCTGTAATTTTTATCGGCGTTTTGTTTTTTCTTATTGAATATAACATTTAACTTCATACCTTATTTTTATTGTTATTCCTTAGCTACTTATGTAATGTATCTGTTGGTTTCCTTTTGCTAAATAAATAAATAATAGTTTTAAAGTCTACCTTAAACTCATTGCGATAATATTATGTATGACAAAATTCTAAGTACACAAGTAATTAACTACTCGTTAGAACTGCAAAACAGGGACCAGTTACCAACTAAACAAACCACAAACCAGTACTCACTCTGAAGCAATCATCAGAAACACTGTACACAGCCACATTTCTATCTGCCTCCGCCACAACAAACGCCTCATCCATCATCAGCGAGCTGATATTGAGACCCTGGTGCTCCTCGACCCCAGGGTCCTCCAGCCACGACATCACCACATTCCTGTACCACTGCCAAGTGTTATTTGCCGTAGTATTCATCGTTACACACGCGATATCATAACGTCTAAACTTAGTGACTCGCGAACCCGTACTGCCGGCAGGACCGATCTGCCGGTTTGTATTAGAATGACTCAAGTCGGGGCTTTCTACGCGACCGGAAAAATATCCGCGACTCGTGTGTTGATCGAGTTTACTCGTGCGTCGACGAATAGAAATCTTATTCAAGTTCGAGATGACGTTTTTGCTGACTGCGCCTGCGTTCGGTTTTCCGCGTACTTTGTATGCAAATCGCATAACACCATCACAAATAAATTTGCATACAATAATCGTATTTGAAGAGTAACTTATGTTATTCATATGCTTTTAATTGTCTAAATTTAACTTATTAAGTTTTGAATTACACGTTTAAATAAATAATGTAATAATTATTAGTTACTGAAATATTTATTTTGCGGCCTTAATTGTTGTTAAAAGTAGTGTACAATATATTAATAAACCGTTCCTAATCACTCCTGTTAACCCATTTGTTGGTCAATAATATTATAAACATTAATTTTTTATAAAAGGCGCCTGAAATTAAAATGAACTGTTAGGCCAATTTAAAATATTGTATAGTTAGTAAATAAATATCTTATTTAGGCACTGTTATAAAAAAAACACGATTATTTATATCGTATTTGTAAAAATTAGGTAAATAAAATTTCATTATACTTTTCTAGAAGATATTTTCGAATAGCAAATATGGCAATACCCAATTTTTGCCTTCCGATTTTAAATATGGTAGATATGTACTCGTATTAATAAATTAAGGGGTTTTTGGTTGGGATTATATAGTGACCCCATAGGTCACTATATAATCCCATTCTTTTTTTCTTAATCATGTTACTTTCTATAAAATCAGGTTGGAACAGAAATTCTGGAATAACACTTCTAACGGTTTGAAACGCAAAATATATTAGTTAATTTATTTTTTATCAATTTAACGCCTGCTGCAAAGCATTCGATTCGTTGCTTTATTTAATATAAATTACAAGTAACTATAGTTAATTAAGTGACAAGTAAACTAAAATATTTCGCCTTTTGAACCGTTATAAGTGTTATAGTTAAATTATATGGCCGGGTTAATTTAATTTAATTTAATTCACTATCCATCTAGGATATCAAATGTTTGTCTATCCTCAGTCATAAAACATTTTTTAAAGCAAACTATGACATTTATAAAACCAATACTCGGTAGTTCGAAACATTTCTTTAAAGCTAAATCTCGTTTCCCCCCTTGTGGGGCATGGGGCTAACACATTTTTGTGTCGGTTTCATTGATCCGCTCTTTAACAGGCAAGTAGGTGATCAGACTTCTGTGCCCTGCCCGACCGAAACAATGTTTTTTTTCTTGAGATTCGAACCCAGGACCCTTTGCGCATAGCGCAATGCTAGGCAATACGTTTTACCATTTGGCTACAGAGGCGGTCACATTCTTAAATGTCATTAAAATGCCATAAAAACAACATGTCATAAAAAGTAAAGACTGACGTAAATGTAAGCCCAAATTAAACATTGCACATATTAAACCGTTTACCGTGTTTTATTAAAATATGTGTAATAGTTATTTAAAGAAATCTTTCGACCCAATGCGTTATTGTAAAATTTTGTTTAAGATTTTTTTCAATGATTTATCTTTACTTTAAATTAAACTTCGCATTTAAAACAGTTGAAAATGTTTTATTTAAAAAGATCTTCTACATTGTACGTTACGCGAGTTGTACATGAATAAATAAAACTCTTTAACAGTTTAAAAAGTGATTTATATTAAAACGTCCAGCCGCAGTTAAAATAATTTTCAAATTAGTATTACTAATATAAATCGCGTTTTAAACCGTTAAAGTGTTTTATTTAAAGAGATCTTAATTACGGACGTTGTACTCGTATTACGTTTAAACAATCCACGCATTAACACCTCGTACGTAAAAATGTTCGCATGCCGCTGACCCGCAAACCCTTATAACAAGCTGGCCTTAACAATTATCAGCCGACCTTCTATATTTAAGAAACTTCATCAGTAGGCCAGCTGTATGCTTATTTGAGCGTCGTCTATTTGGTTCAAGAATGTGGATTCTGTTAGTGCTGGGTGTGCCTCTCGTCGCTGCGGTTAAGGATGGACCTCCAGACGGCTTCATGTCCGAATGTAAGTAGAAATGCCTGGTAAAAATGGGGGCAAAATAGGCAAAGCTTTATATTTCCTAATTTTTTAAATTTTGGGGCAAAAAGGGCTCATGTTATATCCGTATCGATAGTACTTAATATTTAAAGCTGAAGAATTTATATAAACGGTTGTAATTTAACGGTTTATATTACAACCGTTTATATAATATAATATTATTCTACCTACGGTTGCTGCAAAGCACCCGAAATGCGGATATTTCGTAGGTAGGTTTAAGTTTTTGTAGGGAAAAATAAATCCGATTTCCTAAAACAGCTTTTATGTTAATATTTTTGCGCTTATACTTTTTTATAAAGTTTTTAAATTATTACGCGATAAAAAACTTATAATATTTTGTTGTGAGTTTAACATAAATATGGTAAGACGCGAGAAGCCATAAATCATATTTTTTGTTTCATTGTCCCATACTTGGTAAATGCAATAAACGAGATGATATTTTGTTGCGATTTTCGATCACAATGTCATTTATGTCATTTGGTATTTTAGGACATTTATTATACATAGTTTGCTATGAACATAGTTTTTATTTGACTTTTAAAAATGCATAAAATATTGACTTTGTTCATGTTTCCTTAAGCTTTAACGCCTATATTTCCTAAATACGGACTCTGTAGCCCAAGGTTTAATTTATTGCCTGGGATTGCGCGAGAGGTGCTGGGTTCGAATTTCGTTAAAACATATACTTATATTGTTTCGGACGAACAGGGCAAAAAATTCTGATCAACTATTCATTTTTGTCAAATTTACCCCATGCGCCACGGGGGAAACAGGTTTTTACGTTTAAATAAAACACTTTAACGGTCTAAAACGCGATATATTATTATTCATTTCGCGTTTTAAACCGTTAAAGTGTTTTCTTTAAGTGTGTACTACTCGTGTGTGGGAGACAGTATGGGATTTCACGTTTTATGTTTTCGAAGAAGGTTAAGCTAGCTGGCAAAAATTTAGGTACATAACGACGTATCGTTTAAAAAGGCATTTGTTTATATAAAACACTGTTAACGGTTTAGAACGCGAAATGTATTAGTTAACTTATTTACAATTTATTTTAAGTACGGCCGTGGTTTAGGGTGCTATGCAGCAGCCGTGTTCAAGGGAAGTTGTAGTTAAAATAAATTATCAATAAGTTTAACTAATACATTGCGTATTTTAAGCCGTTAAAGGTGTTTTATTTAAATGTGTACTCACGTAAACTAAAATCTAAGTTACACCACAGCTAAATAAAGATGTTTTTATAGGTCCGGGAATGACCCGCAACACGTCAATGTCTGAAGAGACGAAGAATTCCTTAAGTGTCCTTGTAATGTGGCCAAGTGACAGCTGGTTCGGACATGAAGATGTGAGCTGCAAGCTTAGTATTTCTGGTGCTGGCTGCGTGGCCAAGCACATCGATTTGAAGAAGGATGTTGTGGTAATTATTTACGTAAAAAACAAATCAAATCATTTATTCCACATGCAAAAAAATAACATAGCTGTACGTAGGAGAGACACCACTCACCCTTCGTTGTACCTGGACGTAACCCGAAAGCCGATTTTCAGTGATGCTCCAGGGTGTGTGAACGATTGCCGAGGTTATTATTAACTCAAATATATACCGAGTTTTAATCCGTTATAGTTGTTTAATGTAAATGTAGTTCTATATGACGAATTAATTAAATTCTCAAACTAAGGTATATTAAATCGCCTCGTTTTGCAGGTGATTATAAGCGGTTACTTGGACGCAACCTTTTCTCCGATCGTCCAAACCCTGGTGAAGCCCTACCTAGATAGGGGGAAAAATGTGATAGCTGTGGAAATATTCCCGGTGCTCGTGCGTACATACCCATTGTAAGAAGTTATATACTAATAGTTTCTCTTCAAATGAAAAAGCTTGAATTTAAGTATCATACACTATGTATAATGTGTATGTAATTTACATACATATTATACCAATGAAGCTACTAGTTCATATATCTGTATGTATGTATTTTTTTAACTGTACAATCTGGCTCACCACTAAAGGTCTTTTAAATTTTTACAAGTATGATAGGGGTTTCAAATATTTTGGGTTTAATTATCCGTAAGTGATTTTCATGGTGTTTCCAAAGGAAATATTGTTTTTACGAGAGCAATAACACAAATCTTATGTAAACAAACCAGAAAGTATCTACAACGATTATATAAAACCTTAACCTAACCAATTATTAAAAGGCCAAAGTACTTTACATCAACCAATAATTATAAAACCGTTCACAGAGCGGCGCGTCTAACCAAACCACTGGGTTTGGTTCTTGGAGATTTTCTAGCTGAATTGACGAGGAGGGGGTTGCAGCCTGATAAATTGGAAATGCTTGGTGGTAGTCTGGGAGCTCATATAGCATATTACGCAGCGATAAGATACCAAGAGCTCACGAATTTGAAGCCAGCTAGAGTAACTGGTTAGTTAATTTCTTACACATAAAACGTTTAGCGAAGTAAGTCTTCTCTTCTTGTTCTACCCCAAGCACTGTTATCATTTAAATATTAATTTATGTTATAATAACCCTTTCTAGCAGTTTTTGTGTATCACGCGATTATGTATTAGCATATTTTTTGATTCTAAACGCTGAATCATCATTCCAGGTCTAGATCCAGCAGGTCCTTGCTTCCGTCATCTTCCGCGCGAGGAGCGTTTCAACTCGGACGCAGCCCATCGCGTTGATGCCCTTCACACAAACATAGATGGTTTTGGGATAGCAGACGCAGATGCGCACATCGACTTTTACGCGAATGGAGGTATTATAGGAGATATTCAGCAGATTTTTTGGACGTGATATCGTTTTATAATTCCTCGCTCATAAGTTACCTCGCTCTGAGGCATCCAATTTAAGGCTTGAAGTGCAAGCAGAGCACGGAACGAGCGATGAAGGCATAATCGGCCTCCGCGTTCGGCAACCTTCGACATCTTTTCGTACCTTCTTCAATACAAAATAACTTCAAACAAATTAATTAAAATTTTCTTTTTAGAAATGTAACCATTCCGTCACTGTTTTCTTATGACGTTGTCACGTCCAACTATCGTTAGTAAACCGACTATACAGACCAATTTTTTGTCTACCTACTAGAAGCCTTGCTTCAAGAAAGCAGCATAAACCTTTGTATATTATAGCTATATACTATAGCGGTCTTTTTCTAAATCATTTTTTATATTCTTTAGTTTCATCAAATTTGTTAAAATTTTCCATGTTAGACACATTAAGCAACCAATAAAAAACCGTGTCAACGGTTTAAAAAATGTGTTTGATAAGCGCTGTGTATTAGTATTATTATTTGTCCAAATAAAAGCCAAAGTCCAAGTTAAAACCATTTATTCACTTTTGAACGTTACATCAACTAAAATCTAAAATCAAGTACGTAGAACGAACGAGAACTGGCAAGAAACTTGCCGCCATTCCTTTTATCGCCAAGTTTAATTTTACAGTCTTCACGTGTTTTAAGGGCACTACACATTTTTATTTTTTTTGTTCTCCCTTCACTTCAGGGTCTGGAAGAGATCTGTTTAGTGTGTAAGGCCGCCTTTTAGTTAAAAACTAGTACATAAGTATTTATTCTGATAAACCATTCGTGTGGTGTTTATAATCGATAAAGTTTAATAAATAAACATTTTTTTCTCAGGAGAATACCAACCATACATGACAGGAACGTTCATCATGCCATGCTTCCTCTTCTGCAGCCACGTCAGAGCTGCCCTTTACTGGATAGTAGCGAGCGAGAACCCGGACAAATTCTTAGCAGTGCAATGCGAGTCTCTCCACCACGCAAGGCACGGGAATTGCTACGACAAAAAAACACGCAGTAACGTACTAGGTCCCAACACCAATTTCAGCCGCCCAGGCATATTCTACTTGCCGACAACCGAAACGCCACCTTATTACCTTGGCGATAAAGGCTTGACGAGGAGAAAGTACGCCGTTAACTCTTATTTATTAAAAACAGCGCCGGATAAGGATCTCGTCCTTTGATATAAAAATGACGTTTTATTTCTCGTTTCCCTTGCATTTAATTGTTACATAAGAACAATAAACATTGGCCTCCGTTTCAAGGGCACTGCACTCAAGATCAGCGAAACAGGATCATAAATATTTCGCTACATGCATACTGGAGAGATATTATTCTCTTATATTGTCGTGAAACAGATTTAACGTACTCGTTAGTTCATTGGTGATAATTCGGTTCGGTAACGTTTCGATTTCCAGATGCAGATAGCGTGATTGTAAATCGTTTTATAATATTTTTGACGTCTGCTAAATCTGGATGTTAAATGGATGGTAGGAGTATCGAAATTCGCTCCTGGTCACGAACCGCCGTCTACAGGTGACATGGTGGTGGTAAATTTGCGTTTAGGTTATAATCTGTGGATTTATCAGCCAAAGAAGTCGATAGTACATCTTAATAATAATATATGGTCACTGGTATTCCACCTTCCATCAAATGATTTTAAGTTTGTCTGTCCTCGTCATAACATAAAATGTTGATATGTAAAAGAATTTAAACGTACTGCATATTAACTGCTAACCACGATTGGAACGTTTCTATAGAAACCTAACAATAATATATTTTAATAGAAAATGTGTTTAAGCGCAACACAAAACTCATGGACGAGTTTCAAACTCCACTATGTTACTCAATTTAATTCTATAAGTATAACAAAACGTTTAACGGTCTAAAACGCGAAATACATTAGTCAACTTATTTTTAATTTATATTAACTACGGCCCGGCGTTTACCCCCTTGACCACGGCTGCTGTAAAGCATCCAAAACATCGGGCTGTTAAAGTTACCTTATATATTTCATGATTTTAACCGTTTTAACGGTTTTATTGAAAAGTACAAAAATGACTAAAACACATAGAGTTAGCTGAAACTTGACTACAGAGCAAGTCGTACGAGTTTTCATCGTATTTGCAGACAATTGAAAATTCTTTATCTTTGTCTCATCTATTTTTCTGTTAAAATTATCCGTTTTGTCTTGTTTTTTTTTTTCTATTGCTGAAGTCGGATCAAAAGGGGATTCTTGACATTTTATTTGTAACGAAGTATTTTATATTTGGCAATTTTCAGCTTTGCGGGACTTATTAATATTTGATTTAATTTTACCTTTTAATATCTGGATTTTAGTACTTTTTCGCAAGCATATTATCATATTTGAAAATAAATCACTTATACTACTTCAGGCTTCTTAAGATTTTAGTTAACTCTTAAGCATACAGAAATTCTAGTCGAGACAAATGTTGAATTAAAAGAACAAAATCACATCGCAGCTGTTTATTAAATAAAAACGCAACAGAAAATGTTATTATGCCTGCACAGCGACCTTGCGGAGCAACGGTACAAAATCTACCTAAATATGTACAGGTACAGTACAGTGTACAGTGGTCAGTCAGAGCTCTCATCGGTATCCACAATTTGAGCAAATACAGGAAGCATAGGAAATAACAAACTTGGAATAATTAATTTAAAAAATTTATATCCTTATTAGACAATGATCGCCTACATATTAAGTATTTTCTGTAGTTTTCGCGAGCGTTACACATTTAAATAAAACACTTTAACGGTTTAAAACGCAAAACATACAAGTTAACCGACCGCCTCTGTAGCCAAAATTTATTTAGAAGTCTGATCCACTACTTGCCAGTTAAAAGAACGGATCAGATAAACGGACACAGAAATGTGTTCGCCCCATGCACTACGAGGGGAAACCGGATTTCACACACACTTTTTATATAAACAAGATACTTTTAACGGTTTAAAACGCGTATTAATTGTTAACTACGGTCTGAAGTTTCAGATGCTTGCAACAGCCGTAGTCACCAGAAGAAAATAAAACTAGTATATTACAAATTATAAACCGTTGAAAGCGTTTAGTTGAGTACTACTCGCGTCAACAATAAAAAAACATTCATGTTGTCATTTGTGTGTACTATTACAAATTATCATTCCAAGCTCGTTCAGAAACGCGTAAAGCAAGAATACTGTTGAATATTGACACATTTTGTTAAAAAATCAAAATTGTTGCGATTTGATATCTTCACAATAAATAATCCTCTAAAAATAGTTTTATATACGCGTAACATACTTAGGCTAAGCTACAAAAGAACATACATCCCCGCGCATCCCTCAGATCTCGAGACATTTTCACGAAGCGCATGGGCAGCTGCCTATATTATGCAAAATAGATTAACAAAAAAAATGCCCATAGAAAAACATATTTGATTTATCTAATTCATTTTCTAGTATTGTCTGTTCACTAGAATGTACATTTAAATAAAACACTTTTACCGCTTTTAAACACAAAATATATAAGTGTCGGGCGGTAGTTAGGAATATTTTTTTTATTTTTCACATTTTAAACCATTAAAAGTAAGGGTTGCCTGGAAGAGATCGCTCTATAGCGATAAGGCCGCCCATTGCACTCAATAACTGGTGAGAATAATGTATCTTTAAAAATTGTATTATTAAGAATATTTTAAGGAATCATGTATATATACTTTGTGTTTGTGTGTGTTGCAATGAGAATTAAATAAATAAAAGTGTTTTATTTAAATGTGTACTGTAAACAATAATGAATTAGATTATATTTCATGATCGATAAAGATATAATTATTTCAATAAAAATCCAGCACCAATAAACAATTGAAAATGATCGAATTTCAGGAATGCAGTTTGATCTATTTAAATGATCGATATGCGATATGTGTATATATTATACTAGCCACATATTGTAAAGGCTTCTGGTAATTTTTGCATGAAGGTATGTAAGTAAAGATTTTTTTTAACAAAACAAAAACTAATATTCGTAATGTATTAGTTTATATTAAAAAATCAATTTCAACAATAAAAACGCGAAACATTCGTAAACTTATTATTGACAACGACCTAACGTTTTGTAATACAAGTTGAATTAAAATTTTTCGAGTTTTGAACAATAAAGACTATACAGAAATAAACCTCGAACATAAATTACCAGAAACCAAGATTAACAGCGAGAAACGACCATAATATATTGGCATGTTTGTTTACATCACAATCTACAGATGAGAAAGCTTTAGCGATTATAGTGGTGCGCTTGAGCACAATTATTTCATATCTTTCATTTATTATATACATTCAAATAGTTTCAATACATGATTCATAAAAAAAAACCGACATACATATACAACTATGTCAATTTTATTACATTATTATTTATTAGCTATCTACAGGTATGAAATACATTCTGGAAGTGTAAAGCTAGAGAGAAGAAGTATTTAGAATAAAAAATATATATTAAACATTGTATGTTGTTTACGCCGGTACATTAAGCTAACGCAATTTAACGGTTTAAAACGCGAATTGTTCTAGTTAACTCATTTACAATATGATTTAACTACGGCTCGACATTTCGCAAGCTTTGCAGCATCTATAGTCACAGGGGTGACTGAACATGAGGGGCGTCCCTAATGTCAAAGTCAAATCCGATACCCTAGCACCATCTGTTACTTTGTAATTTGATAATAATAATTATTGAAAATACTAGATCCCAAAAAACAGCATACCGATAAACGATAGGACACCATGAGACAGTTCTATGGACCCAGCTAGTCATTTGAGTTTAACATTATGGACACCCTCCAGTCCGCTCCTTGACCATGGCTAATTAAAGCAACGAAACGTCGGACTGTACTTAAAATAGATTAATAATAATATTTCGCGTTATAAACCGTTAAAAGTGTTTTATTAGATAAATAGAAGTGGAGGTGGTTTTGTAACAAAGTGACAATACGGCTCATATACACTTCCATAACATATAGTTTCGTAGATTTGTTGACAATAATTTATACAGTTCACAGCTTATAAATTCCATAGCTATCTAAAGTCTGTGCTCCACATAGCGGAGCGAGCGAGCACTAGCTACCGAGGTATATACTCCAGGGGGTACCACGCCACCGTCTCCTGGCGCAAGGGCAAAGACCCTAATGGTATCACCACCCCACCCAGAAACGTGTTCTCTTGCAGGGAGTCGTAGTGCCACACGGTCGCCTGGAGACTTCTATTCTTGATCACGTCCAGGGGAAGCCGATATTCCAGCATCTCCATGAAGGATGGGTGCGAGTTTCGTTTGAGCACGCGGGTCTTGCGTTTAGTCTCTTTGGTGGGGTCTGGGACTAGGTATACCTGGAATCGAGACAACATAATATAATTGACTACTACTTATTTGAACAATACTAGTCTTATCGCCTTGCATGTAGCTTCATTTTAGGTACGGAATGTAACCCCAGTTTCAAAGTCCTATAAGACATTTATATAAAAGTAGAACTATTTGTAGTTATGCGTTTAGTACAAATAAAACACTTTTAACGATTTAAAACACGAAATATTAATAGGTAACTTATTTTTAATTTTATTTAACAACGGCCTGAAATTTCGGACGCTTTGCAGTAGCCGTGGTCAATGTGGGGTAAAACAGGGTAACTAATATAATTCGCGTGTTAAAAGTGTTTCACTTATAAGTAAACATTTTCTTTTTATCATTATTAGACCTGAATAATCTTGACTGACAATAAAGACTGATAGGGTTCACTTAGAAACATGCTTCGGATATTCGGAAATCCACAGATTGAACGATACGCGATTACACTTCACGGCTTTTTCACCGTGATCCGGACGGAGTTATTACATTCTAAAGACCCATTTAATGACCTGATTGCCAGAGTATATATACATAACTTAACAGACATTACTGCCATGAGACCAAGCAGCACGCCAAACTCTAAAATAAGTAAATAACCACGAGTAATGCAAACACAATGTCTGCCTATTCTACAATGTGTTAGTTATACACAATAAGGCTGAAGGCAAACTGATAGACAAACCTTGACATAGGGGTTAGGTGGGAGGCCTTGTGGTGTAACAGCTAGTGACTGGGCGTGGAGTATCAGCACAGACAGCACGCCACCCGCGTACTGGACCGATAGCTTCAGTGATCCGGAGCCAGTGTTCTCTACCTCTGTACTTTCGCCTTAAGGAAGAGAAACCCACGTAAATTTAAAATTCAACGGACACATTTCTGAGTCCGTTTCAGTGATCGGTTATATTTAAAGATAAATCGTTAATAAGTTGATCAGACTTCTTCTCCCTTATACAAATCAATCTGTTGCTACCCCAGGATTCGAACCCAGGACCTTTCGCGTTTAAAGGTATGATTAATGTTCATTTTGTTTAACATGAAACAAATAGTGATATAAGATCGTTACAATTTTTCTATTTGTACTAATGTGTAATTCGATGCAACAGTCGCAATTTTTATCAATGAAATTTATTATCGAATCGTTATCGAAGTAATTTTATTACAAGAAATATCCAATTAATAAAATTGTGTCTCGAAGAATGTCGAAGAATAAGTAATAGGAATTAAATGTTAGCGTTTTATGTTTAATATAACGATTGAAGATGAATTTAAGTAATGCCATTATTTAAAATAACATATTAGAAATGTTAGTTTTAAAATTTAATAGAATGAAAAATATTAAAACGGCTTAAATTTCTTTTAATTAGTCTCCTTTGCCTTTCTTATTTAGCGATCTACGTACCCCTCCTCATCCTCTGCGGCTCCACATCCTGTTGATCCCTCAAGAGTGGATGGAAGAACGTGTAAACTAGATCTGAATGAGCTATCTCATCCGCGAGACTGAAGAGAGAGGTCAGAAACGCTTGCACGTCGCCGAACCGCCTCTCAGCGACTTGTCTGATATTCGAACGGCCGACGTGAAGCCCAGATGGTAAGCTGGAAGCATGAAGGAGTAGAGTTGGGTTATCTGCATGTACCCATTTTGTTTAATTTTTCTTGACTAGCTAACACTATTTAATACTAATCAAGTCACACACGGAAGTGCAGTATTTTTCGCATCACATTTGTAAGCGAAATTTCGTTCAGACATTACACACGAACTAAGTGAAAACTAACATTAATACATATTTAAAAAAAACATAGAAATTAAAAATCTTGATTGATCAAAAATCCGACAGGGCGGCACTGAACTAACATCCTTAAGTCCGGTCTATAACAGCGTTCCGTGCTGTTGCTATAACCAATTGAGTTACCGAGTCCTACACGTCATCGTCGAATTTTTTCAGCACGTTGATACATACACCTCTCGCGCAATGTAATTTCGACCCTAACACTTACGCGTTGAAGAAGAAAAACAATTCCAGCCCGTGTCGTCATTTGGCTTTTATTTTTATTGAAATAGCAAAAAATATAAACGACGCCACACAGTCACTAGTCACCTAGTGTATTTATGTTATTTCGATTTTGATATCCTATTTGTTAGTGAAGAGTTTTTTTTATTGCTTAAAGTATTGTTTACGCGATAAAGAATTCTTTAGATTAATTAATTAAATTACGATCCACTAAAAGGTATTTATGTTTAAACCGATTTCTCAAAAGTCATACGATAAGGCAGCGATATCACAAATTGCCAGCGCCCATTATCATTATATCTAATCGTATTAACAAGTGTCGCTTTTAATAGTAAATACATGTTATTTGTAAGTGCCCACCTTATTTGCAGAAGCCAAACAAAAATGTGCATAGACAATATCTATAATTATTTTTAGACGATAAAGTTTATTATAAAGATAAGATTTTGTTAAATTCAGCAAGTAGCAAACGACGTGTGAAATATGTTTAAATTTCGGGGGTTCAGAGCCTCCTTCGATTTTATTACGGGAAAGCAAAGAGGCTTCGATTGTGACTTGACACCTGTGTCAATAAATGGATCGTATAGGACATGCAGGGATGAAAATAATGGTAAGAAAATAATTAAATACTGTCTGTAGTTTACGCGAGTAGTACACATTTAAATAAAACACTTAAATGCTTTAAAACGCGATATATAATAATTAACCTTAATTTAAAAAAATATGATCGTCTCCCTGTGGCCACGGCTACTGCAAAGCATCCGAAACGTCAGGCCGTAGTTAAAAATAATTTTCAAACAATTTTAACTAAAATATATCGCGTTTAAAACCGTTTAAGTGTTTTATTTAAAAGAAAATAATTATAGGCTTCATAGACTGAATATAAAACAAATAAAACATAACTCACACATTATATGTACCTATCCTAAAACTACATAGTTGTTTAATGTAAGGGGATACCCTGAGTTTTATTTAAGTTTAAAGACAGTTTGTAACTATAAGTAATAAGTAATCTTTTTACAGTCTTTGAAGACACTTTCAAACCACATAGAACAATTGTTCCGTCAATGGTACAACTGCCTCCCAGTCAATCCACTACACCTATGAAACAATCGAAAAGTTCCGAAGACCTACTAACGCTAGAACCAGCACAAAACGTAAGAAAGAGTGCCCCTGATCTTTCCTTTCCTGAACAAACCAACAATACCTCAATTAAAGAACAAAAGAGATTAGATAAGCAACGAATGATCGAACAAAAGAACCAAGAAAAATTGGCCGCTAAGGAAAAGCAAAAGCAAGAGAAACTAGCTAAAGAAAAACTAAAACAAGAGAAGATATCCAGGTCAAAAAAGAAAAACGCTCCTACACCCCCGCAACCTCCGAACCAAAATGTTCCACCTAGCCAACTATCTCCTATCAACCAACAAACGCTGCAAAATCAAAATTACTCTAAAACCCAACAGGAAACACCAAAGCAAAACGCACCACCAGTACCGAATACCAATATCAGACCGCTCGCAGAAGACACTTCTCTTAGTCAACCCCCTCCACCACCTTACGGTGAGTTCCCGGAAATCAAAGTAGACGATGCAAGAAGCAACATAACTTTTGGAAAACCAGTAAATGACAGTAGCTGGGAATTAATATCGGAACACCGAGAACAGATGAGTAAGCCTACATCTTCCGCTCCAATCGCACCAAAGAGAAGAAAAGACATGGAATACAATGTTGGGAGTTTACGACTTGGTGGCAATAGTGAGGCTAGATAGAGTTATAAGAAAATGTTTTTGAATCTGGTTAATGACATAGTAACTGTAGTAAAGTGGTACCAATACATATAAATTTTATTTATAACTTTCGCGGTTTTTCCCTTATGTTACTAAGCAATAAATAAATAAAATCATTATTTGTTTCTTTTATCGATACCGACACATTTATACCTCAATATAAATTTTGGGTTATCAGTAGGACAATGAAATAGTGATTATACATTTTGTTCATTAATAGAGTACAGCGACAGTGAAAGTCCAAGCAGAGACCTTTACCCCACTCAGGGCACCCTCTACCCGTAAAAACGGCTAGAGCTAGAACACTCGTCCAAACGTCCAACGTTAAGGCTATTTAGCTAACACGAATCTGTCTTTTAAAAAAACCGGCTAATTTTGGATTTTTATTTATTTATTTAAAACTTATAGAGTAAAGATAGAAGAAAGATAAAATCAGAGTTTCTTTCAATACTTTTATACTGCTTATTTGAACTTAACGACATCTATTGTCATTATTGAGAAAGCTGCTTGCCAACCATTGAGCTTAGGAAGCAGCTTTCTCGAATAGTATTATTATTATTTTGTAATTAATAGTACAAGATTTCTTACCTGTGCACCTTTGCTAGTGGGAAATGCAGGCATATTTTTTGATAGAGCTCCGTGAAGTGTTTATAGCTGCGGTAAAGTATAGAGGGCGTGGCCTGGCCTTGTCTGTACACTCGTAACGCGTACACGTAATGCTTTTCAGGGTCATAGCGTTTCTCATAGCTTAAGCACTCTACGCGGACTATGCGACCTTCTTGAGCCATACTGTGTAGGAAAAAAGGTAATATTACAAACTAGCTGAAGATCTAATTTCTAGTACGTACAATTCACAGCATTACTTAAATTTACATTACTTAAATTCCACTATTAAATATACTTACGTATAAGTTCTAGGCATAAAAGATAGTAGTTCCGAAGTGTTACTGCCCTGATCTCCACTCGCGCGCAGCTGAGCCAAGTTGTGTAGGAAGAAATTGATTGGTGTAAATCTATAATTTAAAAGTAATAAAAAATCAATTATAACATAATTTAAAAATAAAAAAAATATACTTTATTCTCTATAAAATTATACAAATTATTTAAATTCATAAAAAAAAATATGTTTGTCTGTCCGTTCGTCGTGATTCTACAGATTCAAAAGAACAACATTACCGAGAAGAATACCCAAGAAACTCAGTTTGCCTTTTTTCAACATGTATAGACATAACGATCAACATACAGAAAAAAGCCATATAACTGGCTAATTTTCTATATTAATTTAAAATTCTTCTTGATCTTATAAAAATAATATGACTATGACTATAAATGAACGCACTTGCTCTTAAGTGAAGAGTGTATTAGCCTGGCGAACGCGGCTGCTGCCTCCGCATTAGTTGCAGCAGGCAAAAGAGCGCTGCGCACGTAGTTGACAGCGGTGCTGGTGACACCAGCAACACCTGACATTGCCATCTAAAAAACATTGAATTTTAATTCATTTTCAAATATGTACAATTAAAAAATAACATAAAGTAACCGACGATTCAGTTAATAGTTTGCATTAAACGTTAAAGTTTGGTAGCTTTAAAAGGAGAAATTAACTATATTAATAAATATCTGGTCTTTTCACTGTCAATCAAACGAAATTTGCATTATTAGTTGTATCCTCCTGTTTAAATAAAACACTTTTACGGTTTAAAACGCGATATATATATTAGTTTCACTTATATTTCATTTACTTTGACCTAGCTAGTTTCTCCAATTACCCAAAAAGGCATACCAAACTTCACTTTGACATTAGGGAGACAAGACACTATCCCCATACCACGGCTACAACTCGGATACGTTGAGTCGTTAGTTAACTTACTTCTCGTTTTAAACATTTGAAAACTATTTTATTCAAATGTTAACTACTCGCGTAAACTACAGACAACACCTCTGTAGACGTTTCGGTAATCACTTACCAATGCAAACAGATCAAGTATATGGTCGTGATGCGCGCGCACAACGTTGAACGCCATGCAGCAGAGCTCTACGAAGTGCTGGAAGCGCTGCGTGGGTCTTTCACCACCGTTGATGACGTATGCCATATCGTGAGTCAGGACAAATGGTGCTCGATCACTAGAAACAAATATTGTTGAAATAAAAATGATCGTATACTATGCAGTCACTTTACAAACAACGCGTATGCACTGCTCACTATTATATTTAAGTAAATTAAATAAAACACTTTAACGGCTTAAGACGCGAAATATATTAGTTAAACTTATATAAAAAATATTTTACATTGACATTAGGGGCACCCTCCATCTTTAGTCTCCCCGTGACCACGGCTGCTGCAAAGCATCCGAAACATCAGACCGTAATTAAAATAATTCTAAAATAAGTTTAAATAATATTTAATATTTCGCGTTTTAAATCGTTAAAGTGTTTTATTTAAATGTGGACTACTTACGCAAACTACAGACAGTATTTATATTTAAGCCAGATTATAAATTTACTCAAAATATATTACACAAACGTACAAAAGTCTTTCAACACGGTCTACTGCTTACCGCTTAAAATTGCCAAACATCTGCGCATCGCCGAGGAACTTCCCAAAGTCGATATGGAAGAGATGTCCAGATGTCTTGAGCATGATATTGTCGTTGTGTCGGTCGCAGATTCCTAGCAGGTACGTTGCTACACTGTAGCCCGCACAGGAAGCTGTAAAAATATTAAGAAAAGACCTCAAATTAATTTAATACGAAGAAGTGCTGCTATGAAGCAAATTGTGTTAAAAACCACAAAATAAAAAGACACTGAATCAATTAAATAAGACAGTTTAATCAAGTTGGAAACACGATTATTTAAAAATCGAAAATAAATTGAAAAAAATTTCGACTCGGGCAGGACTTGAACCGGCATCGTCAGCTTTCCGTGCTGTTGCTCTACCAATTGAGCTACCGAGTCCTACACCTCGTCGTCGAATTTTTTCAACTTATTGATACATGCACCTCTCGCGCAATGTAATTTCAACTTTAAAGTAAATAAAAAATTCAATTTATTTTTGATTTTTAAATTATATTATAGTGCCTTCATGTGCAATACCATGTAAAAAATAAGTTTTCAAACGTTATATACAAATTAGATTTTTGAAAAGCCTTACAATCCATGCTATAAACTCTTTGTAAAGAAAAATGTTATTTATTAACAAGGCGTAGCGAACCAGTAAAATTGTCCCTCGCACGCTGGTACTCGAGCTCTGAAGGGTTGTGCTTGGCGAGCCACTCAGCTATGGGCTTGTCCTTGAACGATCCAGTTAGACCCCATTCAGTCTGTATCGCGCGTAGTGTCTCCGCTTCTGACACGATTTCGATCATACCTAAAGGAAAACAATCATATTGAAATAACATGTTTGATAACTTTACACACGATGCCACTATGTAAATTAAAAAAAATGTTTAGATTTAAAAAAGTAATAGATGAATGGGTTCGAGCAGCAGCACGGAACGCTGTGGATACCGTTTCAAGTCGTGACCGTGTCGTAAATTTCATTTAACCTAAATAGATTTTTAATTAATACAACATGTCTCACTCGTCGGTAAACTATTAAAACATCTAGCTTAGGTATTTTTATAGTTTACCGTGTAAGGTTGCTTCGCGTTACGTGCAAACGTCTGGCTTTAGAACTCGAAGAAAGATATTAGCGCCGTAACCGACGGGACACTAGAGTTAAATACTAAATGCTCGTTTTTAGTTGAAATCTATTAGATGAATAAAAGGGTCTATTGACAGCACCCCATAAGGGAAATTCACCTGATCCTATGCATTTGTTTATTGGAATCGATAGTAGAGTTAAAACTAAAGTGAACAGTAAAAACAATTACGTCATCTATCCTCACAGTTTTAATATTATACACTAATAATAATAAGCTTTGAGTTGGAGTAACGAACTTACCTCTTTTATTGCTAGTGGGCAGAGCCTGGAATGTGACAATCCTGAGGTCTAAGCCAGCGTTTAACCATAGACTATCCATCACCTTGATAACTTGCAACACCAGCGCGTCTTGTCTAAGATCATCGCCCACCTGTTTAACATTTTAAGTTAAGATACATAAAGAAGCAGCATTTTTAATATACATTTATTTATATTTATATAATAACTAGCAGACAACAAATTATATAATAACAACAGAAGTTATTGTTTTATTACATTGTGGTATACAATTTACGAGGAACAGTAGGAGAACATCAGTCACGGGGACCATCATGTTTTTTACATAGATGGATAGCAGTGCCATCTATTGAATTGTAGCTTATATGACACGTTTGTCGGTTTACCATAGCAGTGCCACCTATCGATTACTTACTCAATCCATTGTAACTGTCAATTATTTATAGACAAATAATTTGCAATAAAATAAAATTGCGACTATAATTAAAGATCTAAACTATCCTATGTCTCAAGTAGGACCAGACTGCTCACGGTGTGCCAATTTAATTTAAAATCGGTTCAGTAGTTTAGGAGTCCATAGCGGACAAACATCGTGACAGGATATTTATATATATAAAGATAGAAGCTGATGAAAATAAAGTAATGATAACTAACCTTAAACATAGCCGGTACTACCGCCTGGTCTACTCCAATGAAATTGATCTTCAACGGCAGTGTGTTTGAGGAAAAGTACGAACATGATCTGAAGAACAATTAATAACAATGGCATTACATTTAAATATAAATATGACTTAATATGTTGAAATTTAAATATTGCTATAGGCTCCATCTTTTGGCTTGACTGAGTACTATTTGTCTTGTCTGACACGTTGACAGATTTACAACAGACAGTGAATCAACTGTGGACATTGGCAGAATAAATTGAGAATAGGAAAGCCATCAAATTTAGAAGAAGAAGAATCGACTGTCAGATGTAAATCATATTTTTATAAAAACGGGTAGATGGTGATTGTACCTTCTAATTCATACTTAAACATGCCTAACATACAGAACTCCAAAAACTTACTTGATATCAATATCGTGAACATATCGGTGCAGCGCGAATGGCAGAGCAGCTGACTCCTGTCTAAGAAATGTTGCCAGTTTCTCACCGCCCATATAGAGAGCGCGCTGGCGCAAATTTTCCTTCGCGCACTTCACAGACATGGCGACTTCCGAAACGTTCTAAAATTAAAATACAGTTTTAATGTATTAAGGAATGTGAGGATATTATTTGTTGTAAATGTAGTTTGTAGAACGAAAACCCAATGACAATGACTCAGGCATATATAGTATATGTCATTGTCATTCGTCTAAACGAGATAATAGTGTCAAAGTAGTCAAAATAAGTTGACAGGACCTATTTTGACTACTTTGACACTATTATTAATTTTACTGCGATATAGCGATAATGTTGCATTTATAGTACTAGCAAATATTATAAGATGAAATGTACGTCTCTTTTTTTTCACTATTAAATAATAATAATATATAATAGAGTTGTTCGTTACTTTAGTTATGTAGTTGATAAGCCTGTTACATAACTTCATATTTTATCAAAACTTAGTTAATGAAGTGTGCTTCCGTATAACTTACTAGTTACAAAGTTTCAGATATATGTATGTACCTTAACGAGCATCTGTTGCCTAAGCAGCGTATCCCTCAAGGCTTCGCCGCATATAGCAAGAAGTGCCTTCAGCATAATTCTATACCGCCATACGCCTGCCATGCTCCCGTCGGCCGAATCGCTCTCTGCGCCGTTCTCTTCTAGACTAATGCCAAGGAATTCTTCATTAGGCGCCTGTAAGCAGTTGAATTTGAAATTAATAAATAGTTTAAAAGAGTGTATGATGCTATTTTTTATGGTTGAGGAGGATATGGTTCACTTGATGGTAGGTGTAACAACCCTATATAACATCTAAACAAGATGTGTTTTGGACCTATTTCGGCTTCGGATATTCAGAAATCCACAGACTGAAACCGGAACGCCATTAAACTTAACGGCCTTTTTATCTGTGGACGAGGGTTCGTGAGACAGACGGCATTTCATCCTACCACTCATTTAATATCCAAATTACCAGACGATGTCCAACATTTTTCAGAAAATGTTTAACTTCCTTAGAAAAATGTTAGACCCGGGGGGGGGGGGGCGTATCCACGACCATACGTTGCTACCATTACATTTACTTTCAAATAATGAACGTCTATGAAGAAGAAAATAATAAACAAAAAGTGTGGAAATTTTAATTTGCAAGTTACATTAACTTAAAAAATACTTTTTGTTAAATTACCTGCGCCACATTTGGTAACGAGTGCACTAGTAGCCAGAAGAGCTTGTGGGCTACAGCCGGCGCTGAGAGAGCTCGAGACAACAAAACCTCTGAAAGTAAATTATAAAAAGATAAATTAGAGGCAAGTGTGACATTGATACTCTTACGTGTGAGACAGGGTCTCTTTGGCTTTAATAAGGTGCAATACTCAATTCCCACATTTACTTTTTAGTGTATCCTTTCTGTCATGCAATATACTACTACAGATATAGCGAACTCGGCATCAAACCGACCTGTGACTTCCGCTATGATTTATAGAAAATAAATTCCCCCCATGGGGAAAACATTTCTGTGTCCGTTACACTGATTGGTTCTTTTAGGCAAGTATTTGATCAGACTTCTGTACCCTGCCCGATTGAAACAAGCTATTGATTGCGGGATTCAAACCCGTACTGGTAAATGCTAAACTCAATTCCGGGCAACACATTAACCGTTTGGCTAGAGAGGCGGTGCTTCTGTAGCCAAGTGGTTAAAAATAGCGGAATAATAGCTAACATATATTTATTAACAATATTAAAGTATAATAAAGAAATGGTCACCTGCTAAAGTGCTACATTCGTAGGTTTCGTAGCGCAACGCTTGCGCAAGCTGTGGTAACACACGCATAAACTCGTCGTCCGACATCCCTTGAATCAATTCTCCGGCTAGTTTTCGAACGTCTAAATCGGGGAAACTGTTGAATAAAGAAGATTTTTCTTATTATTATCATTTATGTCTAGAACTCCTCGAATAAAAAATGCGATACACGATGTTTGGAACCCTTCCAAGCAAAACTACTGAATCAAAACAAAGATGAAAACAAATTTGAATTCTGTAATTCACGCCAGTAGTACACATTTAATTAGAACACTATTAACAGTTTAAAACGTGAAACTTAATAGATTACACTTATTTACAATTCATTTTAACTGCGACCCGATGTTTTGGATGCTTGATGATAAATTGTAAGTAAGTTAAACTAATTGATACTGCATTGTTTTAAACCGTTAAAGTTGTTTTATTAAAATTTGAACATTTATTTTTTTCTCCTTTATCGGAAAGGCCTTTAAACTAAGGAGGTGGTAAAATAATGTAATATTAAACAAAAGTACCAGGGCAGCAAAAGATGCATAGCGTTTAGTGGAGACGGTTTCTCCCACAGATGAAGTAAAGCGATCAGTTGAGCTCGTTGTTCGCCGGACCAGTTGGTTGCTGCTAGTAGAACTAACGGCATGGCTGCCGGCAGCTCTACTAAGTATTGCCGCTTTTCCCACATTATCTAGCGAAGTTAATACGATGTTAACTTGTGATAGTACACATAGGTATTGATATTTTTATACTAACTTCAAAATTAAAAATAAAATAAATCAATAAGTTACTTAATTTTTAATAGGATAAATTCAACCTTAGCAAGCAAATGTTAAGGTTCAAATTACATTGCGCGAGAGTGGCTTGTATCAATAGGGTGAAAAATTCGACGAGCGTGTAGGACACTATCAATTACTGGAAGCTTGGATTAGGTTCAATATCGATTGTGTCGTAAGTTTGTTTAAAACTTTAAAATTTAGAACAATTATATAATTTAAAATCTTTTGGATTACCTCTCTGCATTCAATTGGCATCCTCTGATATGCTCCTTGCTCAATGAGATGGAGTAGTTGTGACTGCGTGTGACCATCCAAGGAATCGAAGGACGGAAGATCTTCTACCGAAATTGACTTCTCCTCGGCTTCAACCCACTTCACACCGAGACGATTGTATGATGGGATTTCTAAGGAATATAAGAATTATAAAATAAAGACAGTTAAATTGTAATAAATCAATACTTATATTATAAACATGAAGAGATTTCTTGTTTGTTTATAAAATATTTTTTCTTTTGGTTAGAAAATTTATCAGTAAAAAACATGTAAAATTGACTTGATTGAAACTGACACAGCTATGCACCAACAAACACTGTTCATTGTTTGCGCAAGTAGTGCCTATTTAAAATAAATGACTTTCAACGGTTTAAAACGTGACAAATACAAAATAACTTATTTTAAATTACGATTAAATGTTTCGTATGTTTATCTCCTCGTAACCATGGCTGGGTCGAAGCATTCGGATACGTAGGGTCACATTTAAAATTTGTTGTATAGTACATATGTGTTATATATACTAGATATATTGTACTTACCATTAATATGTTTTACTGACCTATATTGACTAGAGGATAGGGTGAGGGTGGTACGGCAGAAGGATGCGGCGCTGGTCCTATCCGCCGATCGCAGTAACTCGGCCACAATGGTACTACGTAACTTCCTGATACGAGCATTCTGAAATTATATCAAGGTAGATGTCGTAACTAAACAACGTTTGGAAACTTTATTATTTTTTACATGCATTTATTGCACATGAAGGCATTATATATTTTTTAAATTGAAATTTTTTTGCGAATTTTGCAGTACTTGAACCGGCATTGTCAGCGTTGTGCTGTTGCGCTACCAATTGAGCTACCGAGTCCTACAAGTACAGTAGAATTTTTAATAGCAATTTTTTCAATTTATTTAAAATTTAAACAAAACCATCATACTGAAGATAGGAGATATAGAACTAGATAAGTTTTAAGGTTACCCTTCTTAATTATAGGATCGTCATTCTGAATTTGTCTCCAAATATAATGTTTTACTGCAAGGCTTAAATTAAATAAAATACACGCTTTAACCCGTTAAGTGTTTTATTTAAAACAAAATATGATGTTTTTTAACTATACCCGACATTTGTTATTCTTGTGAAATAAGTTATTTATTTATTTATTTGAATCAAACGGTCTTACATAGCACACAAAATAAAATTTATAAAATAAACGAGGCAAGGCCTTACAGATTGCTTACATCGCTATGACGGGTTAATTTACCGAAGGAAAAAAAAGGAAATAAAGATAAAAAAGTTATGATATTATTTTTGCTTAAATGTGTTTTATTCAATTATATTCAAATATGGCTACACTTAAATTATATAGCTACACTTACCCATCAAAATCGAACAACTGTATTGCGGCCCATCCAAGTTCGATCTGTTCAAATTGCACATCGCCGACTGCGCTTCCGTCTTGAGCGTTTGAGTCCGACTCATGGGCATCCGTTCGCTGCGTGCGTCCGTATAGTGTTAGGACGAGTCGTGATTCTCTCGGCAACGTATGTATGGGTATATCTTCCATATTCATCCTGACAGAGATACAAACATAATATACAGATCACTTTTTTAGAGCAAGTAAAAACCTCTATAATATAAAATTTCAGGTCGTTTGGTCTTAGCAATGCCAGACTGTAGTCAACCGTCGTCAACCCCCACAGGGTCCAGCATATTCCAATAACTTTAAAACATTACTGAAACATATTAGACTCTGGATATTAAATGGATGGTTGGAATATCGAAAATTATTTTGTTTAGGTTCCGAACATATAAAGCTAATATAGGACGACAGTCCATCTTATTGAAATGTTATAAGGCTGGGTATTACATCCTACATCAAGTGAACTAAATGCTTGTCTGTCGTCCTCTATCAGCATCGTCAACTTCTGGTCCCGGCTCTTTTATACCTATATTACAAAGCTACTTACTACAGCTACTTAGGTTATCGATCAGTTTGTAAAATGGCCGCTAGCTCTTTCACAATCTTTTAAGATTATAATCATATAATTTAACTTGCATATCGCATCAAAAAATCTAAATAACATATGTACCATATATCAAATATTATCCTCGGATAGAAGCCTCCGTTTTCAATTCCAGATGTGTGAGTTAAATGAAGGGTCTTCAGAGCTCTTGTGCCGTAGTATATTTGTGCGTGGAAAAGGAACTCGTCGTGGTTCCAGCAAAGTGGCAAACAATGGACCGCTTCAATGCAGAATAGCATCGTTTCTGTTATCGTGTGTGACGGTACCGCTTCTGTTAATGAGAAAAAAGCATTAAGTTATAAATTGCAATGGTTTTAGGGTGAAATCCGGTCACCTGTGGGGCAAGGGGCGAACACATTTCTGTATTCGTTTCACTTATTTGTTTTTTATTGGTAAGTAGTTGATCAGACTTCTGTGCCCTGCCCGACCAAAACAATCTAAGCCCAATATCAATACTTTCCATGGGATTCGAAACCACATAAATAAATACTTGACCACAACTGTAATTCAATTATTTTGATGCGTGTTTTTATGTGTTAAATTTGTTAGATGTCCGAAAAGAAATATTTATGACCTCAATAAGTTACATTAAGATGAATTTTTAAGCAGTATATCAATAAAGAAACTGTAATATAAAAACACATAAAAACTTAAAGCAACTTTTAGTTTGTTACATTCGTCATAATTTAACTTCTTCCAAATCCCCATAAAAATTAAATCTAAAGGATTACAATACTGGGAATGAGGGTAGTTATAAAAAATCAGGTTATTCAAACTCGAAAAATTGCAGTAAATCAATTATATGTACTAACTTGCTGGATCATGCGATAATATGGGCGAGTCTGGCAATCTGAAGTCCAATAGACTCGTTCTGGTATAAAGGGCTAATAAGCCTCGCACAGCATCTCTCACACGAACGCATTGTTGAACGAGCGTTTCCCGCACGTTTGCCGCGCGTACTGATACGGAACAATACGGGCCATTGTCTGATTGGATTTCTGGTCTAACGGCACCTGTTACCTACAATCAAGACATTCAAATTGAAATCAGACAAGGAAATAATGGTATATTAATACATGAAATACCAAATAATGACGAGACAAGATAAGAATGATTTGCTGATTATTTAATCTTTAACATACAATTAAGGAAATTTCAAATAACAATATTGATTTACCTGTGCAGTACAAGCCTGCGCAAACGCATTTAGCGTATGTGTGACGTGTAGTGTTTCCAGATTACCAGCCAGAGCGCAAATCGCTTTGACCGCTTGAAAAACGCCGTTTGGAGAACAACATCCCTCAGCGCCCACTACCCCAATTGCCCGGGACAACTCGCCTTCGAGCGTTTCTGTAAATTATTACAACCTTTGTAAAGTCATTGTTCATTGTATTGAAAGAACTTATTAGTGTCAATGGTAAATAACGTTCCACTGATTAAATGTTTATGTTTAAAAATCTAACTTGCAATCTAAATCCGGCTCGAAGGATCAACAGAATTTTTCATATACATATATAAATTACTAATAAATATTATTGTTGCTTACCCAATAATATAGACAAGTTGTCGAACGTGAGCATTGGTGCAGTTCCTTGAACCGGTATCAAATCATCTAAAGTGAGATGTGAGTCTTTCGCGTCGTCTCTTTCCGTCCTAGCCAGCGACCTATCTCGTCCTTCACTTAGGCACAATCTTACATCCTTTTCTAAACGAACGCACTCTCGAATATAATCGTATTCACTTAGCGAGCTGCCTGCAGTTAAGTATTCCTTTGCACCCCACACCTAAGGTAGGAATTAGGTTAACAACATAGTAATGATAAAAACGGTTCTAAGAAACCAAAAGAAATTAAGTCTCACCCTTAGCATGTAACCCGACATATCATCTCTTATAACCTCGTCAAGGGAACAAACTACTGTTAGTATCACGTGCTCTACTGTGGACTCCACTGTAAGAAACAAATTTCATTTGTATACTACTAAACGAGATGTATCGAAATAAAAGTTAGACACCATATAAGTTTTAGTAGTAATTACCATCAGAAGTGAATGTGATGGGTTCGTCTGTATGCGTGTTGTAGACTAGGATCTTTATGCTAGTGTTGGGCGGGTATTTGCCACCAGACCGACCAGCTATCACGTGGCCGGGGTTCGACTTATCTTCAGTATAGGTAAACTTTCCTAAAAGAGACAATATTCATTAAATTGTACTTTTAGATATAAAATTAAACATACCTAAAGGTATGTTTAATTTTATATCAAAAATCTGTTTTTATTTGAAGCATAAAGTACAGTTTTATTATTGAACTGTTATTATTATTATATACAGCCAAGTAAGCTTTCTGTTAAGTACCTACTATAGTTTACGCGCCGTTTTACGTACACATTTAAATAAAGCACTTTGAGCGGTTTGAAACGCGAAATAAATATATATATTTATATATATATATATACATTTCGCGTTTTAAACCGTTAAAGGAGTTTTATTTAAAAACTTTCTGTTCTCTGTTTAAAGGATAATGATTTTTTGATTGGGGCCTTAAATGCTAATATTAAAGATAACATCAACAAGGGGAACGGACGGTTAAAAATTTTTTTTACATAGTAAATAACACTTACTTCTAACATCCAAAACCATTCTTAAGAAAGCTCTATGCTCGCTATCGTAGTTTCGCGTGTGTATTTTTTCTATGCAGTCGTAGAGTTTATTCTGGAACAAATTTTATGATAATAAAGTGCATCATTAAATAAAAGCCTTAACTCTATAGACATAAGGTACAATTTAACTTACAGTTGTCGGTCGTTTTACTACAGGGGGTACAGGAGGTATGGACTTGGGTGGTGGAGAAGGCAGTACAGGTGTTTCGCGTTTATTTACAGTTCCGTACACAGGTGCTTCTCGTAGTTCCGTTTCTCCGTACAGGAAGTCCAAGGGATCATAATCTTCATACACGCTCCGACCGCTGGATGCTTCACTACCTACTGCATACACTAAATGAAGAAAATACTGTCTGTAATATACGCGAGGAGTACATATTTAAATAAAACTCTTTAACAGTTTAAAACGCGATATATATAAGTTAAATTTATGTGGAGATTATTTTAACTACGGTCCGATGCCAGGGCGGCCTCAAGTTATCAAACCACTTGGGATCCTATATTAAACAAACGCGAAGACACGATACTCAATTCTGCAAGGACCCGACCAGTTTCGCCGAATACCAACTACGGCGGAGCTACGTAGCACGAACTGAACGTAGCAGTTTTTAATTTGACATTAAAGACACCCTCCATTTTTAATATCCCCGCGACCACGGCTGCTGCAAAGCATCCGAAACGTCGGGGCGTAGTTAAACTTATCTCCAAATAAGTTTGACTGATATATATCGAGTTCTAAACCGTTAGTGTTTTATTTAAATTGAAAAGACATTATTTTAGAAGAAAGGATTTAATATTTCCCGGCTAATGTAGTCAAAATGGTAGTCATAACTTAAACCCAATATATCGATTTTTTATAACAAAATGAGCATAAACACATTAAAAATAAATTATACGCTTGAGTTTCAGTTGCGTTAAAAGCAAATAAAAAAACATAAAAACCCCTCAATTATAACAAAATGAATGATGAAACTAAAATATCAGTATACAAAAACAAAACACATATTATTTACAATAAATGTTCCCACTCTAAGTCTAATGAAAGTGAAAATAAGGACTGCTACTGATTCTACTAAAACCAAAACAACACAATATACATGCTTAGCTCACCTAATAAGGATATCGGACTTTCCAGTGAGTGAATGAACGCAAACATTTTATTTCATTTGACTCAAAGAACTTATATAAGTACATTAAAAAACTATTTATATAGAAAAAAAATACAACACGGGCGGGATTTAGACTGGCATTCACAGCGTTCCGGGCTGCTCTAACCAATGAGCTACCGTCTCCGACACGTCTTAGTCGAATTTCTAAATCTTGCACCTTTCGCGTAATGTAACTTAGCTCAGCAGTAGAAGAGTGAAAAAATTCCCCTAGATAAGTAGGTAAAAAACCTTAAAAATATATTTTTATAAGATAATAGTACATTCAAAATGTTTGCGACCATAAACAAAATGATACATGAGACACATCCCACTCACCCGAATGACTTTGGTCAGTTAAAAGCGGATCAAAGGCCTCCAACACACTGACTCTTACGCTACCTTGGCCAATAGGCTTGAAGCCGAAGTCTATAAGATTGCTTGACTTTGGCAAACTGCCGACCGTGTCCGCTGCTTCGTTTGACTGAAAATATTTTTTAAATAAAACCATTTTAACTGATTCAAATGAGAAATACATCATTTACATCCATCAATTAACTTGTTATTACCTACAAACCGATGTTTAAATATGTATAATAGTTATAATGAATTCATAATAAAGATTTTAGATTCATTTAAGTAATCTAATGTTGCATTGAGCGCGAGAGATCCTGGATTCGAAGCCCGGGAAGACAAATAGTTTCTTTTGGGCAGGCCACAGAGGTCTGACCAACTACTTGCATGTAAAAACGATGCATAAGACGGACACAGAAATATGCTCGCCGCATGCGCCACGTAGAGGAAACGAGGTTTCAATAGAATATTTTTACATTAATAAATCTTTTACATTTATCATATATACTATTCAAATAACTTACTTCAACACTAACTTCTGAGGTTTTCCGAGGTTTATCTCTTGGGTCTATATTAGGAATTTGCGTATTATTATTTTCCATTTCCTTTTTTTGTGCTATCATTTGAGGCATGGGGTAAGGGGGCATTTGATTAAGCTGCGGGTACAGGGTGACTGGTCTTGTTGGTCTAGAAATCATGTTAGTTGTGTTGTAATTGTACTGAGTTTGGGGATAGGGGGGCATGTATGGTGGAGCTGTCATTCTCGTCTGCGTGTATGGGACGTTGGTTGGAACATATACTGGAGTTTGAGGATTGGGAGGTGCATATGGAGGTGGAAGGTCCTGTGGTCCAGGAGGATAAGCTGGATATTGTGGGGGAGCAGGGGAAGGCATGCCATATGGCGAGGTGGTGGGATACGGTGGCGTTTGCATATAGGGCGGTGTGGTATAATTGAATGGGTATTGAACGAAATTGAACCCCGGCCGTGAGTTGAACTGGTTGTTCATTGTTGTTGGTTGTTCGGGTGTTGTTATCGTTAGCTCTTCAGTTTGTTGACCCAGTCTGTAACAGTCAGTAATTAATTAAGGTTCTATACAGCAGCATTATTCTGTTTATGAACATAAATACGTACTTTGATATCTGGTCGATATATTCTTTGAGATAAGCATGAGCGTCCTTTGGAGCACTTTTACTTGTGGGGCTGGTGAAGGAAATTAGGTCGTTACTACCGGAACGAGTGGGGCTTGTGCCTGTAGACCTGTACAATAATTTATAATTTAGACCAAAATAACTTAAATACTGTCTCTAGTTTACGCGAGTAGTATACATTTAAAAAAAACATTTTAACGGTTGTAAACGCGATATATTTTAGTTAAACTTGTATGAAAATTATTTTTAAGTACGTCCCGATGTTTCGGATGCTTTGCAGCAGCTTGGAGCGGGCAGCGGGGAGACATCAAAATAACTTAATTGTGCTCTAAGTATTAAGGTAAACCACAGTTTATGTTTTGTTTTTATTTTGGAACAACATCAATAATTATCACTTTCACCTCATTTTAAATCAATTTCCAATTCAAGATAACAGATAATTATGATAGTATTTTATTATATGCGAAGGAAGATTTTGTCATATTATAACAAAATTTTTATTAAAAGTCTATAGTTTACGCGAGTAGAACACATTTAAAAAGTTATGATCCTCTTGGCCACAGCTGTTGCAAAGCATCTGAAACGTAGTTAAAGTAACTACCTACTATATATTATATACTATATATATCGCGTAACCATAAACAGATTTTTTTCTATATTAATAATCATGTACACATATAATATATGTAATGTAAGGATGAGTATACCTTGAATAAATTTTTGTAGTTATATAATTAACAGTCATTAGTTAACCCAAATTGAATTCTGACCTTGAATTTTCTGTGCTAGAAGCTCGTCGTGGCGGTTTCTTCGGCGGTGGAGGCAATGCTGGCGGAGGTACATCACACTCCTCCTTACGGCGTATATTGGCACTACCCGTGTCTTGCACATTATCTACAACAAGATAACAATTTCCAATCACTTTCAACTGATATTGTGATTACATTATCAATATTTGTATATATCAAGAGATTAGTGAAAAAATACAATGTTATTTTATTTTAAAAGAAAAGTATAAAAATATATTTTTGTACTATATAACCATATATGCATAAACCTTTTTATTACTATCCTATCATTTAGGATTCAATCTAAAAAAATATTATTCGTTCAATTATAAATATATTTTAAATATAGTTGCGTTTTTGTTTTAATATTATCACATCTACTTTAAACCAAGCCCGAGCCAAGACATATAAGTTATAATATTTGTATGAACACAATACCATTAATAAAGACTCATTTCTCATTGATTAACACAACCCCTGTTGAATTAAACTCCCAGACAGTGCTGACAGGAAACATAAACATTTCCAAACAACACGCAACTTAAATCAACCAATTTAAACAATATTATTTATGCTTTTAATGGAACAATACAACAAACAAGTAGATGTTAGAGTCCATTCATTACTTCTATACTTTAATCATTATTAATATAAAGTTTAATATGTTTTAGAACGCACTATTAATAGTTAAAAAAGCATTGGGTTTCCTCACAACCGTGATTGCTGTAAAGCATGCTAGGCATTGGTCAACATTAAGTCATTAAAAATTAATTTACTAATATATTTGACATATTAAAAGGATTTGTAAAGTTTAATAATTTAAACATTAGTGGACATGATGGCATTAATATGTAATAAAAATGTGTACCTAATAAATATATAAAAATGTATAAATAATTACCAAACCACCTGGTGCGAAATGGTACCTTAATTACTTAGACATCCAAACAGCACAGATCACTGTGAATGATCGGGTTCAAGACCTTCTTTTTAATTTGTTTTTAATTAAATAGATTTTCAGTTTACGCTAAAAGAATTAATTTTAAAATTTCTTATTTAACTTACTAGCAATAATGTTTAAAGTATGGACTTGTTTGTTATATTGCATAAAAGCAAATTATGATGGATATTTTTTTAAACAGTTTTTTTTGTTTGTAAATCTTAATGATAGCAGGTTACTGAACTTGTTCCAGTTATACTTAAATTTTATTTAAAAAAGAGCGTTATATGGAGGTCAGTGATTGTAGCTTCCTCTTTGTTTTGATAGCCTTGTTATCAATTACTATAATATACCCAATTCACAACAACTCTCAACCAATATATATATACAGATATATCATAAATTTTAGATTGAAATTAAATTGTATTAACAACAAAAATTTGTTACAGACATAAGAATTATTGCAAATTTAATCTAGTTACTAGTAGTCTTAACTTAAGTAGTCAAAACTTATTATTTCTATGTAATAATATATGTGGCATCTACATATATAGTTTTCATCTTCTTATTTTCTTAGATAATTGTTGGATATATATGTATATATATATATATATACATATATATAGTTTCATAAGTCTGATGAAGATTAAATTTCATTTGCATTTTTATCTTTATAACTTTTACTTTTAGGAAATAAAAATGCAAATGAAATTTAATCTTCATCACACTTACGAAACTTGAAAGCAAGGCTGTGCCATCATCTAATCTGAAGGGATAAACAAAATTACGTCAGTTACCTGAATTCGCTAGCAGCTTCTGCCGTCGGAATTGTTCCAATGCTAGACTTTCTAGACTCAAAGCCTGCGCTTTCTCTAGATCCTCTTGAAACTGAAGATCGTAGTCTGACATTATCGATTCACGTTCATTTAGTATCCAAAGAGAACATTTCCAGCGTGAAAAATAGCGTGAGAAACCTCGTTAATTATCGCTTTAATTTACTTTATTAAACGAATGTTTTACACTGACTTCACGTTTAACACAAAGAGCTGGCACAGCTAGTGCTCGATTTGTGTTTGCTGTACAAACATCCTACCAAATATAACTTCGGTGTGTGTTTTACTTATTTTCAAGACATTATAATTTGCAAAATACAAAAAATACACAACAATTTAGTTTTGTTTCGAATTATTTGACATTGATATACCGCACAACGAAAGGCTGTCAATTTTGACAGTATCACTTAATTGTCAAACCCTTTGTTAGTTGTCACTATTTTTTTTACATAACGATAAACTGCATTATACAGGCTATAAAAAACAGAGTTCACATTAACATTATCTGTGCTTTCTAGGTAGATTCGGTACACGGTATAGGTACACTTCTAAAACGTTCTAGTTAAAACACATTGAGGGTGTTGAACCTAATTATATATTAAATTTAAAATATCGTATTTTTAAGTAATATTTATTTTGTGCATTTGAAGTAACTTCTTTGACGCCTTAGCTATAGGAATTGGTCGTGTTACTTTAACGATGCTCGTCAGTTTACCTGAAATAAGCAATCCATCTTCAATTTTTACTTCCATTTGTCTTAATATTTTATCTTATAAAAATTCTTCTGTTATATTTGGCCTTGCACAGTTAGGATTGGATTTATTACCTTTCTGCCTTGCTTTGTTCCTGACGAGTCTATGGTTTACTTGCCTGTCTTTCCTTACATTTTCCAATTGATGATCGTTACTTAGATTTGGTCTTGGTCTATAGTTAATAGATTGCCTTGTGGGTGTGTTATTTCCGGAAGATGGTAAATTTTCACGTCTACTGAAGTCGCCTTGACGCTCGGATGCTGATGTTTTCGGAGCAGTAGGCGTGGCTACTCTCGCAAATACACTCCTAGATTTCATAGTTTTTTTTTTCGCTTTGGGCTTAGGTTTTTTGATTTGAATGGTAGGTTCGGGCTCTCGCACCACCACGTCTTTGCCTTCGGCTGCCATCTGTGACATTAAGTACTTAGAATGTTATTATTATTATTATTTACTTATTTAAACCTTGTTTTACAATAAATTGGTTGGTTATTACCTGTTCATAAAATAAATCATCTGCGTCTTGACGATCACAGAAATCCAACAACTTGTTACAGACGGCTCGGAGATTTTTGAGACGTTGCTTCTTTTTCTTGCCAACCAGACATCGGTCTACCTCGTCGAGTCTCAACGTTCTGAAATAAACCTGTGTCATATATATTTATTGGCAGAGGACAGACAAACATGATAGTATGCGTTATTGACAATTTTTTTCGCTTTGGGCTTCAGTATTTTAAATAATTATGGTATAATTTATTATTTAAATATTCTACACTAACAGGACTTCCATCCTAGAGCAATAAAACTATTTTTTTTATTAAAAATATTATGTTTAATTAAGATAATGAAAAAGGAGACATTGAATGTATTGTCTTATTAGATAAAAGCAAATCGCGTTACAAAAAAAGGGAATGTTCAAAGTAGAATGTAAATATGCAAAATTCTATAATAAAGTACTCCCTACTTGATAACTTTGGGCTTGCTAACAACGTCATGCGCGTCTTTTTCGCCCAATGTCATGGCTGTATCCCAAATGTTCTTGAAGAGTTTCCTGCGATCCGCGTAACTTTCTTCTTGAGACATAACAGAATTCATTTTCACTTATTTTTCACGACATAATACCAAATGAAATGAATTTGACTGAATGAATGTTCTATCGTCCTGTATGTCATTTATTATTTTATTATTTCAATAACATAATGGTGTTTTAGTTGAATCTACATTTGTAAGTTTTGTATGGTTTTCATTGTGCATTTTGTACTGTCATATTTTTACTAGACACGGGCTCAACATTATACGCGCCAAATGACATAAGGTAATTATGATATACTAAAAAGATTGTATAATTAAAAAAATATATATTTATATTACATTTAAAAGAATGGATGGAATGTTTACAGAATTGTATATTTATATGTGCTGTTAGTCTCTGCCAGTATAATAAGTAACATTGAATCACTATTATGTTTAATTACCACCCACGCACTCGTATAAATGTTTCCAACATTAGTATATAACAAAACGCAGGCAATTATTTTAACCCCCACCAACCCCAAAAAAAATTGGAAAAAAATCCCCCCCCTAAACAACCAACCTGCCAAAAAACCCCCTAAAAAAAAAAATTTAAAAACCCCATCTCTATCAACCCCCCCCCCCCCCAAAAAAAAAAAAGGTTTTTACATGCGTGCGTATACAAAGCAACAAGTTAATAGAAGCTTGCGAATTCGTTTAGTGTTTTTTTTTTTATATAGGTTTTTACATGCGTGGTATAAAAGAAGTTAATGAAGCTTGGGAATCGTTTGAAGCAGTTCAGTTATCGCAAAGCCTTCCAACACATAACTACCCTTAACGTTTATGGGTTTGAAACTTTCGTTCTACTATGACCGAGGTCTTTTTTTAATTCCCGTTTAAAATGCCATGTTATAACCCTAACGCGTTATGGGTTGCGTTGAGTGAATATGGTGAAGGTAACCTCTTCAGCGTATATCCAAAACTCTTTGCAGAACTTCTTCTCCAAGAAGATGCAGCAAGACTCGAAGGTGACACAAGTGAAGCAGAGCGGCTGGTGCTGCCCAGTGATAGGGAATGGAGATTAACGCAATACTTCAACCTGGTGGCCATGCAGAAGATTCTTGATAGAAACGAGCAAGTATTGATGATAATTTTAACATTAAATTATAGTTTATATTATTATTTAACATTAAATAACATAAAATGTCAACATTAAAATAAAAAATGAAGTTGAAAACGTAGAAAATGAATAGACTGTTGTGTTTTGTTTTTAGTTTTTTTTTTGTAATTATGAAAAAATATGAATATAAAACTTCGTTAACACGATCCTCTCGAGATTAAATTAAGACACACAGCAAATATTTTAATTTAAACATTTCGTATGTACCATATATTTATACTAGCCAGCCAGCGACTTCGTTCGATAATAATATTTATTTTGGGCATCCAAATTCCTTCTTGCAAATGCCCTTTACTTTTATAAAGTTAAGCTGTTACCCACGACGTCGGCGACGTCCCTTCCCGTCGTTCTTACAGGTTAATCTTAAAAGATAGACATGTAGCCCCCAAAGACTTTTTTTAGATCATTTAAAGAGGAATCATTATTTCCCACGTATTTTTTGGGTATCTTGAACCGCTTGGTTACCGCAGCGTGCACCTCGGTAACCCATAATGATGAATAATTTTCCCAATTTTTGTTCATATTTCCCACTGTATCTTCGCTCGTATTAGCCACAGGGCGATGTTTTATATATATGCCGAATTTTTCAATTCGAACCCGTAGTTCCTGGGATTAGCGCGTTCAAACAAAAAACAAACTCTTCAGCTTTATATATTAGTACGGATATATATATATTTATAGTATATATGTAATATAGTATGTATAATTACAGAGCTATTTAAAATTCTTAAGGAAAAATATATGTTACCTTAAAAATACAATGGGCAAATGTTTCAAAGACATTCATTTTCTATGAGCTTACTTCATTGGAATGCCTCTATGCTAATTATTTATAGATGCGGCCATGACCGAAGGTATTTGTTCAACCCTCATGCGTGTTTTTAGCAAGTACTTACACCTATAGAATCAATATAGAGTCATTAATCAATATAGATATTCAATTACATACTAGGATCCATTGTCCATTACAGTTTTAATAGTGGGAATATTCTTCAAAAAAATATATTGTTTTATATTTGTTGAATTGTAGGATAGGACAGTTCCGTAGTAACTGATTTTAACAAATGTATCATTAACTTTTTTCACTCATTACAAAAAAAACACTAATAGTGACTCCTTCAGGCGACCAGTCTTATAGATATAAAAGACAAGAAAGTGCAAGATGTACGGAACACTTTGCTTAATATTCTATACAATTTAAAATCATCATTTTTTATGTTAAAATAATCAATATAAAAATAAATTTATAATACTAACACGATCTAATAACATGTATTAACTATTTATCTAATATAATTTTCATGAGTAGCTACGCGATAAATACAAGTTATAAGTAGTTGATATTAGAAAATATAGTATTGCATAGTACCTATTATACGTTGTAGATAGGAATCGGTAGTAATCTATCAGTCGATCAAAGTTACAACCTTGTGTTTTCTTGCATAATACAATATCTGTGGGAAATATAGGTGTAAAATAAGGTAACTGGTAACGTAAATGCATGCAACATTTCAAACTAGGCTAAATTCACGAGGTGTGAATTATTATTTATTTCATGTATGTATTGTAACATAAATAAATCTATGACTTTCAAAACTTTTTGTTAACACCCCTAAAGGTTTTAACAAAAAGTTTTGAAAATGAAGATATGAAATAAAGTAAATTTTTGATGTATTAACTTCTTTAGTAAAAAATGTGTAAAAATGAATTTTAATATGTCCTCAAGCCTCAAAATTAGTGCAGGTCTTATATGTAACAAAAACATATAAAACCACTTTAAACAAAACGTCAGATTACAAAGAAAAAAAAATGTATTTTGACATCATGTTTCGATAAAAAATCACATTAAAAAAATCGCGTTTGTAATTTTAACTTTTCAAATTATATTTAATTTAGTAAAATGCTGATGCATGTTTAAAATGTATTAAAATGACACACGAACTTGATATCCTAGTTCAGAAATGATTGTCCATGAATATAACACAAAGAGTCATTTTAGGTATGTTTTGTTAGGGATGATGAAACTGTGGAGGCAGGTTTGGGGTTAGGTCAAGAACTTGAAAGCTTTAAATTATTGGTATTACCTTTTTGCTGCTTTTAAAATATTGTTCTTTTAACAGCGTTCAACTTACGATATATGCAGACTAATTTATTATATGTAAGTTTAAGTGACATTTCGACAAGTGTGGACGGAGGTCTAAAAGGCTTCTTAAAAGTCGAAAATATTTGCGTTTACTAATGTATTTCCCGTTTTACCTTGGTGTTTTATTTGTGTACTCGTGTTAACGGCAGACTATATTGACTAGAAAACTAGTATTAGTTATTCTTATCGAGAAAAACCTTATTTAATAGAGAAAACAATGCCGTGAAAGACGATAATGAAGTGGCAGAGCCACCGGAAGAATGGGCACCTTGGAGCCTGGTGGTAGCCACGAAGAACCCTAACGCACCACCGCCAGTTGCTATAAAGACAGCTCCAGGGCCTGCATGGGATATTGGACAGGTTTGTTTATGAAAATTATAATATTTTTCACATGTTATTGCACATGATGCGTTATAAATCGAAAAACTCTACAAACGAATTTTTAAACCATAAACTTTGTAATTTCATCTTCAATGATTTTTTTTTAACTTGCAATACATATACGTTGAACCTCAATGCGCAAGTGTTAAGATTAAAATTACTTTGCGCACGGAACGCTGTGGTTGCCGGTTCATGTCCGTGTCGTAGATTTTTTCGATTTTTTATATACAAAGGTTTGTTTTTTGTTTTTTAACTATCGAGATACTAGGTGTGATTCTTAATTTTTTATGTTTAAAATTGTTATTTCTCAGGTACTAAAAGCAGCTCGCATTTTGTGTAAGCCTCCGATGGACGTAGACTTTATCGACGAACAGGAGATGAGATGCGTCTACTCTCTGATCTATGATGTGTTTCGTTGTAAGTCTAAAAAATGATTCAACAATTTCATCATTTTTCACCATACATTTTAAATTACATTACATACTCATCAAATGCAATACAGGATTATATAAATTTAAAACTACATTGAAAATCTATTTAGGTAGAAAATTTTAACGACAAGGTCGGGACTTGAACCGCTATCCACAGCGTTCCGTGCTGTTTTAACTAATTGAGCTAACGCTTGCCACACGTCATCGTCGAATTCCTTTCCTTAACAATTACGTATTTAGGTGGCTTATATAAATTATGCCATCATGTGAAAAATAATTGCTCAAATACTACAATTACTTTTCTTTCCTTTCTTATTATATTTACAAACTTTTGATTTTAGATTGAAAAAAATTGATAGGTCGGTTGGGAGTGTGTAAGATGGACGCTACCTTTTTAAGTCCTTTCTACGCACGCTTTTTTTGTAATATTTGGGTTATATTGATAATAAATAGTGGATAATTCCGGCAGTTGATAAAATATCAAATATTTTTTTAGCAATAACGTGTAAATCTTTATCACTTTCGTGACTAGGGGTTTATCAGTCGTAAATCACTGAACACGAAACTATAAACGTATCTTCTGTATTGAATGCCCACGGAAAATACCTGCGAATGTGTGATTTCACTTCCTAAGTTATTTGTCGAGGTGTCACGAAGGTGTTGGGGCGTGGATTGCCTAGTTATAAACTGAAATAACCTCATTAAAGTTTTTAATGATTATATATAAGGCCGCTAGAGGCAGAATAACTGCAATTTTATGACTAGACTTATTTATATTTTTATAGTATAAAAATGTTAATCTACAAGAGGCCAGTGCCCGAAAATTGTTACCAAAATTCTTACACAATGAATAGGAGAAATTCAATTAAATAAAACACTAACGGTTTTAAACCCCATATATTTTTAGTTAAGAGGACAGTCTGTCCGTGACCACGGCTGCTGCAAAGCATCCGAAACGTCGGGCCTTAGTTCAAAATAAAAATAAATTTCAAACCATTAAAGTGTTTTATTTAATTGTATACTACTCGCGTAAACTACAGACAGTAGGACAGTTCCATTATCGCCTAAGTTACCCTTATTAAAAATCATGTTTTTTGTTATTATGCCGCTCTGCCTCTAGCAGCCTCTTATATTTAGCTTATATAGCTTATCAATAGTCAAGAATTATTACTGGCTTTTTAATATACTATGTCGAAACCATTTTATATTCCACTGCCTTGAAATATGTGTCAAAAAGAGACCCACGCTGCATTAAAAAGTATTTCTTGCATCGGTCTCGTTTTAGTTACTCTGGCTATATTTATATGTAACCTTTATCTTAAATATTTAGTAACATGTTAGCGAGCGATCCGAGGCTAAATTAACCACTTCACGTTGATAAAGAAACAAGAATAAAGAAAAAATGAATACCGGGTTGGCTTTGATAACCACCGCCTCTAAATCAGTAACTTTTACCAAAACCGGCTTATAATGACGAATTAAATAATCGTATTTACTGTTAACGTTTTGCCTCACCCGGGAATCGAAACCTGGACGTCGTGATTTGTAGTCAAATTTAGGTAAACATTTTACAATAAATATCTATTACTCTTAAAATAAATTAAAGCAGTACATGTTGGAGCGAAATTCAACTTAAAAAAAAAATAGTTTAAGTCATGAAAAGTAACAATGCAGTATGGTAATGCAGTTTCTAATGAAATATTCATAATGGCAACATAAATGGTAGCATGACGTTTTCTTTTTTTCAGACAAGACCATATTGGATCAAGCAATTGAAGACATTGATTTCTTTGGGGACTATCCTGAGGTAAGTTTTTTTTAATTTATTTACATTTTTATTGACAACTTACAGCCAAAAAATCTAACTAACAGACTAGACAATAAAAAAAAGAGAGCCAATTACAAGTTTCCACAATTAGTAATTATTCGACCCATATTCAAACTATATACATATAAGTAAGTACGTAACTGCACATGACGTTTTAACAGAATCAAAGGCATGTACATATTTGATTCTATTAAAAACGTCATGTGCTAAAATATTTATTCTCAGCTTGTGGATTTATAGTAGTAGTTAAGTATTTGACGATGCACCAATTCCAATTTCAATATGATTAGTTAGTCCAACTTTAATCTTAACCACAGCTCGAGGTTTCGACGTATTTGTTTTGCAGCAGCCGTGATTGCGGGAAGACTACGTTCATATGACTTTGACTTAATATATTTCGCGTTGTAACCCGTTAAAGCGTTTTTTATTTATATGACGTGTACTACTCGCGTAAACTACAGACAGTATTTACGTCAGTTATTTATTCACGTTTTTGTATAATATTGGAATCATTCTTCTTATCTCGTGAAAATCTTATGCAATTTGAAAGCACTTGAACTTGTACGAAAGGTCGATTGTGTAACATCGTGTACCAAGGTTGCAGGCAATATCATTACCGTAAATAACGTTTCGACAAGATGTAAAAAAGGCTCATCTAACTCGCATTATATGATGTCGTGACTCCGGGCATTTCTTTCTGAAACGCTGAGGACGTTCACGAATAAGCTGTATATTTACGACGGTTTATTTGTAAAAAGGGGCCTTGATCAGATAAGTGGGTCGGATTAACAATGCCGGCGGCTTTCGTGTTTGATGGCTCGAGTAGGCGTTTAAACTGTAACTAGCTTGATGAGGTAGGGCTAAGTTTTAACGACAGTGTTCACGTGAGATAATTTTGAAGATAGTATAGACCGAACCAGATAACCACAATATAAAACCTATAAAATACAAATTAACAAGAAAGAACAAGGTACGTACCTATATTTTTCTGCAATACGTATGATAACTCATTATATTTTGTTCAAATTTCTTTATATGAACGACATCTACTTAAACGCAAACGAGGTTACATGACTATACCTAATAGCGGGACATTTTGAGTTGACTTTAAATTATAGCTACAGAATTGAATACATTTTTATTAAATTTAAAATCATCTACTCGTTGGTTTCATGGTAGCATATTGAAAATTGTTCATGGATTCGATTCCCAGCGTGCCAGAAAATATAAAAAGACAATGTGAATTTAAATATTCTATAAGATGACTCTCGAGAAGACTCTCCAGGGCTAGAGCATTTTACCTTTCATCAACGACACCACAAACTAGTCTGTTCTGCTCTGTCATAAAATCTCGAGTTTCATCAAATTTCTTTAGCTATAAAAATTACTCAAGATTACTACTATTGCAAAATCTTATTCCAGTTTGGAGAACATCGACATACAACATGGTTATTTCTAATGGAACTGGCGCGAAGGCGATGGGTCGCGAGGCCGAGAGGTGAAATGGAGAGGGCCAGAAACCTATTGAATGAAGCTGGTCAACCATTTAAAGCTGTCGAAAATGCAGTATGGGATGAAAGAGTCCACTTTGCAGCTGCAATAGCGAGGATACGAATAAAAAATAAGGCTTTTTCGTGAGTGCAAGAACCTCTTTTTTATAGAGTAGGATAGACAAGCATGAAGTTCACTTGACACTGGGGGAACCGCCTCCAGCAAATTACATCTAAGCAAGATACGTTGACCTGTTTTGGCTGGGGATAGTCGAAAATCCAGAGTTGTAAACCGAAATACCATTAAATTTGAAGGCGTTTTCATCTGTGGTCGGTGAGTCTTGACCCGGACGGAAGTACGGTATTCCTACCACACATTTAGTATCTCGATTTCCTGACGAAGGCTAACAACAGTGTTTTAGTAAAATTATTAATTGATTAGAAAAATGTTGCAGCCGTTGGGGATCGATCGCCCGATAGCCACACGTTGGTGCCAAATATTCGTCAAATTCTATTTGTTTATAGCACAAATATTGATCGATCCAAAGTTAAAGACACCCACCCGGTAATGTTATCGGTAATTTAAATAATTGTTATCTCTCTATTCACAGATTGTCCGAGCTTCTACCTCCACATTTGCGTGAAGAGAAGATTTCGGCTTGTGTCAACAAAGAATCTGTAACTGGTTGGGTCAATACGTTTAAAGCCAAGTGTGTACAAAATATAAATCTTTATATAAAATTGTACACCTTTTACGCGACTAGTATACTAATTTAAACACTTTTAACAGTTTACAACTCGAAATATATTAGTTAACTTGTATTTTATTTTTTAAAGCACGCCCACCTCGTAACTAACTCCTGCAAAGCATCCAAAACGTCAGGCCATAGTTAAAGTAAATAAAAAAACTAATATATTTCGCGTTTAAAACCCTGAATTTTGTATTTTAACGTATGTGTAAATTCGTAGCACACCGTAGCTTTATCTACGCGGCGCAGCTTTTTTACGTCTGTGTCCTTTATCAAATAAATTATTATGAATTTCAGAAAAGTCGCTCTACTTGTTAAGAAATTGCAAGAACTTGGCTATTCCTACAGCAACTCTCGTCAGCTTTGCGCAGGAGAGTACAGATTCGATCGCGTTTGTCCCAGGTCAGTACTAAATTACCGAATAAATTGAAATCGCTTACATTACAGTTGGTTCAAAGATTTATGCTTGAGGTAACGAACTTTTATAGGTATAAATTAAAAAAACCGCTTTTTGCCATATACTGTTAGCTCATACTATAACGCTTTTTTTTATATTTATAAAACGAGTAAGAATATTAATTTTTAGTTAATATTTTAGATTCATTACTCTACGTCCCCCTGGTAATATTAGCATTGGACAGACGGAATTGGTGAAGGAGGGAATTATTGTGTTGCAGGTATCTGTTTTAAATATATTGAAAATTAAAAATAAAGTATACATAAATAAGAGTCGAACCCAGGTGCACATCGTACCGTTCTATTTCCAATTGAGCTACCATGTTTCGTCAATATGCGACTCTAGCGCATGAACCTGGTTTAAAGTAAGCAATTATTTATTATTTGACACCGATTTCGCGCTACCACGCTGCGCCGCCGCCGCTGTAGCTAAATGGTTAAATGAGTTGCCGAGCTTTGCATAAGTCCAGGGTTCAAATCCCGGGGAAATAATAGATTATTTTGGGCGGGTAGGGTTTGTAAACAAGCTTAACTAATATATTCGCATTTTAAACCGTTTGTGTTTTATTTAAATTTGTCCTTAACGTGCTAGCAATGCCTTTCTCATAGGAACGAGAATTCTGCGAAGGTGCGTCCACATTATGTCGGGCATTACGAGCTAATTCTCTGCGAGGTGTCGTTGCGCAAACGCATGCCTCATCGCCCCGTTGCTCTGCCTACCTGGCGGCGCAGTTGAGGGAGCTCGCCGCGGTACTGAAAGCGCAGACTCCAGCTGCACCGGTCACACCTGAACTTGGCAAGCTGGTTGTTTTTGGAGCTGGTGATAAGTAAAATATTTCATTCATAATATAACAATTACGCGAATGCTATGAATCATAGAAACGGGTCTCGTTAATGGAAGCATATTGATGTAAACATAGATTGATTGTTTTTATATTATTAATGAATTACGTAAACTTGTAATTCGACTGTTCTTGTACAACGCAGGGTACGTAAAATCGAATTCGAACTGAAAAATACTCTTAAAGGATAGACTTATATTTTTAAGATTATTTAAAAAGAAATCATTTGTAAATATTCTTTCGTTATCAAGAACCATTTTCGCAACCCACGCAATGTAATCCCTCAAATCAATAAAATAAAGTTTCTGCTGATTCATTTTCCCCATTTTTTCCACATCGCCCACTGTTTTTTCGCTCCTATTGATCGCAGCAGGTTATCCTAAAACTTTTCTCGATAAATAAACAAAAATAACAATTCTAACCAAAACAAAAAAAAAATTCAACCTGAGATAGGCGCGTTCAAACAAACAAACAAATACTTCAGCTTTATATATTAGTATAAGTTCATAAAAGAAAATGTCACAGAGTGGAGAGCTACGTATGCGCGCTTCGGGAACTCGGCATTGACGCGTCAGAAGCACCACATTCCAGTTCACCTGTTTGCGTACTCGGAGACGCTGTCTATAGCGACACACCGATCGTTGTGAGTGCCCTTGATGGCGTGGTAGCGGCTCTAGCCACTCCGCCCAACTCATATTCAGCTGTCACAGACCCGATAGACCTGGTGTGTGGACGAGGCGGTGACTTGGCAATGCTTGAGGTACATTTTGGAAGATACCTACTTGATATATAACATCGGATATGGTGAAGTTATGACCGCTGTAATTTCAGATTCTAACGGAATCCGAAATCGATTCCAAAGGTAAAGCCAGGGTGCAGTCAATCTTGGAAGAACAGAAGAAGACGTTGAAATCTTTACTTTCTAAACCACAGGTATATCGCAATTATTCGTTTCGTAGTCTTAAAATATGGACGTAATAAGATAAATTAATTAATTTTTTCTGAAAACGTACTATTTTACATGCACATGACAGCATTAAAATATATGTAGATTCAAAAACTTCGATGACTCGGGCGGGACTTAAACTTATAGATACTCCTCTCGCGCAGTGTAAATTCAATCTTAATATTTAGAAACTGCGGTTCAATATCCCTTGTCATAGATTTGCTTATATAGAGTGGTTTTTAATTTAACGTTTTCTTTCTTATCAGATACAATTGATCCTTTACGAAACGCATTCGGCATTGGAAGCAGAAAACGAGGCGCAAGTGAGTCGTGCCGTGGCCGAAGCTAACAGGCTAGCGAGAGAGAGGCACGCTTTACTCAGGAGGAAACATAGAGACCATACGCATGTTAGTTTGTGCTCGATATCAACATTAGTGATTATCGATATTTTATTTCACGCCATCCCTAATTCCCAGACACCGAAATCAAAAGAAGGTGCTGAAACTATGGTCACCGATTCCTGTACGACCCTCGATCAAACGACAGCACGGACAGACATGGAAAAGTTGGATACATCTGACGATACCTCTTGCGATCAGTCACCGAAGAGACCGATGTCCTCGCCTCCGACCACAGCTAGAAATAGATCTGGAAGCAGGGAATTGTTGTTGAAGAAGCGGGCGGAAAGCGCTGATGTCAGTTTTCGCCCCGGTGTCAGTAAAGCCAGGCCTATACCAGAGATGGATGTGCCCGAAAACGACAACGTACCTAGAGATCCAGATAAAGATAGCCCAAATGTATTTGTACGTAATTTATCAAGTTTTTTTTCTTTTATTGATTTTTTTTTGTATTTAAGTGATTATATTGTTTAGGTGCCGAGCTGTGATCTATTTGAAATACAGGCCCTGCCTAACCTTGGAAACGGATTGGACATCAACTACATTCTAGACCGCGATGGTTGTTACCTTGGACTCATCCAAAGGAAGGTGAGATGATGCACCATAATAAAAGTTATCATATATGTAGGAAGGTTTAGGTTAGGCAACTTCTCTTACGTAGCTAGCTTCCACTTTTTAAACGTATAATATCCCGTTTTAACAACAAGTCGTTTTTATATGTGTACTGCGTAAACTATAGACAAAAGCTTGCTCTATTAATCTGTCTTTGTGAGAGTTAGTGCAGAGTACAGGATAGATCACGTGAACTGTAGGTGTCGCGCAGGAGATCACACGACTCGATGCTAAGTATATGATCCGGGTGGCGGAGGAGCGCGGTCTGTTTGGGCAGAACGCACCGAGCCAAGTCGTCAAGAAGAAGAAGAACGAACCAGCCACTGCCGCGCCCAAAAGGAGGAGAAGGAAGAACAGTTTTGAAGTGAGTGTGTCTGTAAAGCGAAATGTTATTTTTATATAGCAGTAGACAAGATTGGTGTTTGAAATTTGTGCCGTGTTTAACGAAAAATTAAGACAAAGTATAAAATCCAACCATTATTTCTATTTTCTTAATTTAATTTATGAGCTGTTTTTTTTTTATTTTAACGAGAGGCATCGCTTTTAATAAATGTTGACGGGTTGTCGTTGATCTATTTGTCGCAATGTAGGTATGTCTAATAAACGGGTTCTGGAATCGATCTCCACCGATCCAACATGTTTCTGAATTTATATTTTTTCTAAAACACGTTGGATTTTGTCTGAAATTTTAATCGCGTTTCGGTTTCAGCCTGAGGAGTTCCGAATACCCAAAGCTAAGATAGGTCGACAGGTGGTTTAGATGTTGTATGGCTGGAGTATTCCACCTTCTATCAAGTGCAATCGGTTGTCTATCCTCATCTATAAAAACGTATTAACTATATACAGGTGTCTAAATCTATGGATAGAACAGTCTGTATTTAATAGCTTAATTGGGACACAGGTTGATAGAGTAGCAGCACCAACGTACGCGTCCTTATCCCGATCACTCAGGCGAAGTAGTGCGCCGGCGCCGTTTTCGCCTGGCGTGATCCCTGCTCCAAGTGAGGAGCGGCGCGTGTGCTCAAGACACGAGCGGAGACACGCCGCTGCTGCCACTTACACGTCCACCGCTTGCTCTTGCGATGCCAAACACAGGTACGAAATACATTTTATATGTATATCTGTTTGAGTGAATTCTACCTACATAAAGATATAAAGGCATTGGGAATTCTAATAAACATAACATAAGACACCTGTGTCATCGATTTACTCACTCGCTCTCAGTCAACAAAGTAACAAGATATATATTAAACTTATTTGAAAATAATTTTTAATTTCGGCCCGTAACGTTTCGGATGCTTGGCAGCAGCTGTGGTCACGGGGAGACGTCGGGCCGAAGTTAAAAATAATGTTCAAATAAGTTTAACTAATATATCGCGTTTTAAACCGTTAGTGTTTTATTTAAATGTGTACTACTCGCGTATACTATAGACAGTATTTAACAAAATATAAATTAAAAAAATGGTTATTGGGACACGACTAGACAGGAAGCCTCGAAAGAAGTTTGCTCATTACTATTGAAATATTTTTTTGTATGACGTATATGAACTTTAATATTTTTCACACGTTATTGCACATGGCATTTTATAAATGAAAAATCGATTATAGATTAAAATAAATTTACGACACAAGCAGGACTTGAACCGACATTCAACACCGTTGACACGGTAGCTTAATTGTTTAGAGCACGGAACGCTGTGGATGCCGGTCAAGTCCTGTCCGTGTCGTAATTTTTTTTTCAATAATGATTCCTACAATTATAAAATGTATTTATAATTTCCAGACATGCGCAGACCCGCCGCGCATCTGCCGACGCCACACCAGCGGGTGTCATGCGCACAGGCATCCCTCCGTGTAGGCAACCCTTTCCCCTTGTGGTGCACGATTTGCGACTCAAAAGCATTGTGCATAAGGTCATCGTCTAACTACCTAAGCTTTAGAATTACCTTATGGTCTATTGCAAATTCGCAAGCATTAAGAATATTGAAAGGTGAATTTCACGATTAGAGGAAAAGGACAGGTATCTAGAGAAACCAAACTGCAGTTTTTGAAACAAAAATTGTAATTTCATTTTAAACAAAGCATTGTGATTCTCGCGCTTATTTACAACTGGCCTAGCGTCGATTTCCTATCCTTAGAAATGTAAAAAACTAGTTAAAACGTTAGCTCTAAAGTCAAATTGTTCAGCCTATTTATAATATTTTTGTAACAGTTTAAGAGTTTAATAAATACATTTATTTATTGTGGTGTATTTCAATGAAAGGCATTTATAAATAGTCAAGTTTTAGTTCAGCCGGCGCGTATAACAAGATTAAAGCATCCCGAAGCCTTTTGAGTAACTTATTGCCTTCATCAGTCTGTCTTGGAGTTTGTCCTTGTTCTCGTACTCCGGGAGCAGGAGGACGTTGAAGCAAGTGTGGGCGGTCGGTAGGCGATCACAGTCTGGTCCATTTCTGGCTATAACTAGTTTCAAGTGGCTCAGCCCGCCGACGGGGACGCGGTCTGAGCCGGTTGTGAACTGGAGCAACTTCCGTTTGTCCTCCAAGGACAGACTGTGGACGATGCTCCAGAAGTCTTTGATTGTCGTGGAGTCGGACGTGTAGCCTCCGTCGTACTCCGTCGATTTTTCTAGTTCGTTGAAGTCGAAATTCTGAAAATATTGTAACAGTATTATAACTATGTAGCATGAGTTTATTGCAGTAATTTTATTCGTATTAACTTAATGTCAGATATCAGGTTGATTATCTCTTTTCAATTACATTTCTTAAATACTTCGTAAGATCGTCATATTATGTGTCATGCCTAATAAACTCACCTTACTACCACAAACTAACGTCTCAACTTCTTCCGCCCTAAACAGAGTTGTGAGCTGGCTCTCATCTGTGACCATGACGAAACCTCGCCTAAATGCCTTGAACTGCGTTTCTACAGATTTATTTAGGAGGAACTCTGCGTATAACTCTACAAACTCCTGAAATTTGGGAAGTCAAGTAAAATTTGACCCAAAGCAAACTCAACTTAATAAATAGGAAAAGTGATGTTTGATAAAAATGTCTTGGAAAAAAGTTAAAGGTTATTTATATAACAAATTGAGCTACCGTGTCTCACTTAGGTATGGTACACAGTAGCTTAATTGGTTAAAAAAAAATTATTATTATCATACTACTCAGAAAACCAATACTTACATTTAAAACTTAAGATACATGATAAAATTGATATTATTTATGACGCACCTGTTTGTTCTCTTGCGTTACAAATAAACTGTCGCCATTTTCTTTGAGATCGTGAAATATGTTGTTTCCGAACACATCTGTATAGCATATCCTGAACGTCTGATAGTACACGTCCGTCAAATCAGCACCAGTGTAGTCCAGCATATCTTTTAGGCCATTATACAGAATCTAAAAAAGGGTAAGTTTTAAACTACATATTTTGGCTAAAATAGGAAGACAATAATTAGGCACAAATCCCTGGAGTTGCTATTTGATTACTGTTCTCTTATTTCAGTCGTTTAAAAATTATTTAAGTAGTGTGTGGACAACGCAATACCATCAATAAATGTATTAAGAGATAAACAAAAAAAGTATCAACATATATAAGTTAGACAATGAAACTACACATTAAAAAGAAGTCTCGAAGGCAGTCTTATTTTGTAAACTTACAGGATTCCAATCAGCTAAATCCTCAAATGACCCCTTTTTCCCCATGAGCTTTCTATACACGACCATGGGGAAATTAACAGCTAGTATAATATTATTGTATATAGCTAGGCCAAGAACGATGCCTATAAGGGTGAATTGGGCTTCCGTCTCAAAAGACGTGGGGTTGAACCTAAAGAAAAAAGTAAAATAAATCGTCTATGTCAGTATTTTTACAACTACCCGCTGATAAAACTTAAATATTCTTTGAATACTATCCAACAAAGTAGTGGAATATTATCAGTGTATATACGCATTCATAAATAAATATATCTTAAAAAGCTTGATCCGCCTCGAAGGACTATAATGTATATATGAAACTGAGAATAAATCCTTACCATACTGTATGAGAATCGACCTGCTGCGTGAACATGCCATAATCAGGGTTGAAGATCTCTTCGACAATGAGTTGAAAGAACTCCTTGCTGACACCGCCCTCATCCACACCTTGTTCGCCTTCAAACTCTACCACCAATTGCTTCTTCAGATCTAACGCGCGTTCCATTGCTATCATTTCCAACTAAAATTAATGATCGTTGTTTTAAGAGAACCCCAACTCATACGAAATTTTCAACTTAAAGAACTATTTGATCAACTATTGTAATTTACAATCGTTATCAAATTATATGTAACGAAATAATTATTTAAAAATATGTATGTAATTTAATGACTAAAGGTCCCTTGGTCCCTTTAGGTTAAGATATAAAAAAATTAAAAATATAAAAAACTCTGATCTTTAGCTTTTCTTAAGCAAATACGTAGTTTAGTTGACTTAAATATAGTTTTATTAAACTGCAGTTGTGATTGTAAGTGAAAACACCTTCATACCTCGACCAAAGCGTCATCAATGATATGTGACCTTCTCACTTTGAGTTTTAGGAATGGCATCGGGGGCGAGGCCCCAACCACTGCGTGCAACAAGGACACCCGTCGTTCCGAATACATTCTGATACGGTTCTCGTAATAAAGACCTAAGGACTTGGTCGCAGCGGTCAATATAAACGGATATTTCAGGAATGAGAACTTTTTACCTTGAACAATAAATGTTAGCAAGATTACTTAAAGGCTCTTCAGACTTTCCTAGAACCTTTTGTATTTCTCTTGGGTTCTTATCCCGAGGAAATTACAGATTGTTTCGGGCAGGCATGGCTGCGTCTGATCAGCTTGTAGCGCATAAATATAAACAATGAGTGTAACGAGCAATAGAACCGGTTCGCCCCGTGCCCCACACAAAAAATTAGATTTCAGTTTCAATTATATAAGCAATTAAATAAAAACGACGCTGTGTATTAGCCTAACATTGCTACAATTAGAACAAACAGAACAACGAGTCTATTAAAACACGACTAGAACAGGATATGGCAAATCGAAAAATACCCAAAATAGTTATAACACTTACCCCCACTAGTATCCGTTTTATAGTTGGCAAAGTCGACATCCATTTCAATAGTATCACTGAGTGGCTCATTGTAAAACTCTTCGAAAGGCAAATATGGTTTTCTAGCGTCTAGTACATTTACACCTAATTCAATAGCTGAAACCAAATTCGAAATAGATAATCTTTATTAATATTTGAAGCAGGAACAACTGGTTCGAATCGAAAAATTATTTTTCTGTTGGTTAGAGGTTAGAGATTTATCGGTGTTGTGACTAACAGGAACAGAACAATTTTTCCCCTTTTCCACAAATGTGGAAAACGCGAAAAATTATTCATCTTTGTGAGTTTTCCACCCGTAAGCTGCGAAACTGGTTCAAGATACCAAAAAAAATATGTATGAAAAATTATTAGTCTTCAAAGAATGTAAAAAAATGTCTGCGACACATTGTCTATCTTTTAAGATTATGTTTGCAAGAACGATGGGACGCGACCGACGTTGTGAATAACAGCTTAAATTCATAAAGATAAGGAGGAGGTTTGCAAAAAGAAATTTGGATGCCCAAAATAACTTTTTTACGCGCGTAAGTGGCTTACACAGCTAGGTAAGTAATATAGGAAATCCCTTACTATGGAGAAATTTTCAAAATTTTTACCTAAAGGATCTTTAGGCTGCGAGTGTTTTGAGTTTTTAATAGATGATAAGGGATAAAGATGATCCAAAGCGTCCCCAAGGGGGTCCAATTGGTTGGTAATAACGACTGGTTCCTCTCGTAACGTATTGGGTTCCATGACACCAGCTATCATGTTCGCATAGTAGACTATCTGGAAATAAAAATAATCCATAAAGAATTTTAATATCCAACATGGAAACTGTAGGCTCGGTCACATGATGGTAGGTGTAATACCCCAGCTATTATATAACATTGATAAGGTGTCGACGTATTTATTTTAGTTAAACATATTTTGAATTAAATATGGCCCGACGTTTCGGATGTTTTGCAGCAGCCGTGGTCATGGGGCAACCCTGACCCCCCTGACTGAATGTAACACAATTGTTGTTACATTATAGGTCATGAATAATATTCTTCTTTGTAAAAAATACCTTCATAAGTTTAGTAGCTTTTGTGACGCTTTCGTCATCTTGCACCTGGAAGGTTCTTGTGTAATGTGTCGAGATAACTCTCAGGGTGATTAACTGCTGCAACATTTCTAGTATGTGTCTCAGGCTTTCCTTGCACTCTTGACCCCAAATGCGTGCCAATTTCGCTTGGCCTGGAATCAAAAATGATAGCATTCACTTGATGGAAGGAATTTTTATCCCGGCCAAGTTTAGCTTGGTAAACGTGGTGGACAATTTAACATATATATATAACATATTTAACCTATGTATACCTTTTATTGGCAAATGTTCAGCAGCATCACAAAGAGCTGGTAAGGCAACTTCTAAATAGTCACTACAACCAAGGTCCTTCACTTCAAACGCAATCACAAAACAATTAATTATATCATCTATCGGCATCTTCCCTACGCGAATGTCCAATTGTATATATTCCGCTAATGTCGCTAGTATTAACACTAATGTAGAGTTATACTTCTCTGATGGCACCTGAAAATATAAATATAATAATTTTACTTTGTGGTCACTGGTCTTACCAGGTAAGATCTCATATTGTTGACCATTCCACCTAAAAATAGACATTATAGATTTAGTTTAATAAAACACTTAACGGTTTTAAACGCGACTTTTGCTACAGGCGTATTGTGAAATTTGAAGGCTAATGTTAAATCCTCTACTCTAGCGCCATCTGTTTCTTCGAAATTGGCATTTGGAGAAACTGGCTGGGCCTTTACAGACTGACTCACGTCCACTGCGTATCGTATATCGATGTACCGTTTTTTTATAAGTAAAAAGAAGTTAACTAATGCGTTATGCATTTTCGATCAAGTGTTAATATTTACATGTGTGAACTACAAACAATATTTAGTTTGAACTTAAACCAAGTCTGGTCGTATAATGCTTTTGCATAAGCCAAGTAGCGGTAAATACACTTGACTTCTAAAAAGTATTGCTTATAAAACTATTTCAATAACACATCACATCAATCACATACATATCAAAGTTCTAGGTCTGCCTAAAATAAATTTATTTAACAAACATATTTTACATATTCATAGTCATAGATTTAGTAAATTACAATTATTGTTAGCATTCTTACTTTAGAAAGGTACTCAAATGCTCTCCTACAAGAAGCTACATCTAGAGCAGGTTTTGAAGAGCAATCAATATCTTTATCTGGATCACTTGAACACATTGCTTTGGACTCTTTAGCTAAAACACAACACACAAAAATTGTATGTTATACTGTATGTAGATATCTCTTAAGAATGTTTTCCAAAATTGCTGTATTTTATAATATCTGCTTATATAAACTTTCACAATTAAAATACCTGTCTTTTCCTCTTTAGTACTTATGTGATCTGTATTCACTTTAGTTGCAAAACTTCTGGCTAAAATAGGCGGTTGCGTAAATGCTTCAGCGAGAGCCTTTATTAGAGATTGGGGAGATTTATTGTTAATGCAGTCGTCACATAATTGATACATTCTGTCTTCGGTTAGTGGTGCACCATCTTGAAACAGAACCACTTGAATTATTATTTAGAATATTGTATGGAAAAAAAGGTGTGGTAAAGTGGTTTTTCCTAAATATGCAGGATTATATAGAATACAATAAATGTACGTAAAATACTTTTATGATTTAAAATTCAAAATAATATTAGTTGAGGTTTGGACTACAGCCGTTGCAAAGTACCAAAAAATTGCTAGTTTAAAATAAGTTAATAATAAATTTGCCGTTTGAAACTGTTAAAAGTTACTCACATACATGGTAGACAATGCTTTGTGTAAGGCACAAAAGTCTAATCAACTAATTGTCTGTAAATACAACTGATCAGTTGATTGCACGCAAAAGTATGTTTGCCCCGTGGCCGCAGTAGCATTCTATACTCCAAATCATAGATTTATACACATTTTTACTTACTACTAAAACTTAGATTCTTATAAACAAATTGAGATAAACTTTGACTAGTTCCCGCCTTCATTTCTCCACTTTGACCTGATGCTGTACTAGATGATGGCGTGTTTAAATTCTTTTCATCTTTGTTTGTCTTTTCTTTTGTGTTTGTTGTATTGCTGGAAGCAAAATTCAGTCACTAAATAATACTGTTAAAAAAAATCAACACAGCACATATAAATGGGACCCACTGGCTAGTCCCACTTACCAATGGATGTCCTTTTATAGGCTTTCTAAGTGTGGTCTTTGATTTAATCATAAAATGATGGAAAAATATAATACACTTAATAAGAATTGAAGTGACATCCTATCCTATGCTTATTAGACATGGATTGCTACTATTACATTAACAAGACCTTTTACCTAGTACTAGATTCACAGCATGCAGCTTCAATACGTGGTACTTTATTAGGCAAGCTATCACAAAGACGAGCTTCTTTGTAAAACAATTTTATTGCTTCGGCCGCTGCTTCATTTGGTGTCAAATTTCTTGCCTGAAATGTAAACAATGTTTTGATAATTGCTTGGTAAACATGGTACTTTGGATATTTTGGAAGACAGGTTTTTATATATACCTCGCCACTTGAAGCACAATATTTATTGTCGCAATTAGGATTGCCGCACCCATCCACCAACTGATAGAAATATCTTTCAATCAACTGTTTTGCAGCAGCCCGTTTCATTATGTCCTGAGTATTATCTGAATGTGAATCTGAACATAAACTAGGTGATGAATCCTCTTTTGAACTGTCTGGGGTTGGATCAGAATTTGACGATGATGCTTCGCTCCCCCTAAAAATAAATAAGAACAAGTCATGATGAAGTAAACAAAACAAAGGACAAAAACTCGCACTAAATAACCTTACTGAGATTGAGAGTAACTGCGTAGTTAGGTATTAAGGAAAAGTCGCAAAAAAATTATAGAAAATAAATTTTATTAAGTAAATTACAAAGAAAATTAGTGAATTTACCTTGAAGCTTCGTCAGTTTCGCTTTTAGAGTTCATAGAAATTAATTAGCAACAAACCTAATACCATCTAATCGTTGTACATTTAGGAAATAAAAAATGAATGAAATAAATCATGTATCCAAATTTTAAGGATTTAAAAACAAAGTGTTTTAACAGAAAATAGGTACGACTGCACTTATTTTACAATCTGTCATCCATTTTGATTTTTGAATAAAATATTATTTTTTTTATAATTTAATTACAAGACTTGGTACTTAGTCAATTGGCTGAAGGATAACTTTAAAATAAATTGTATATGTTGAATACGATACTATTTTAAATAAACAAACCGAGTTTGTAAAATAAAGTGTATCTATAAAAGTTTATAAAAAAATATCATAAGTTTTAGACTATAGTGAAATTTGTATAAACATTACAATTTGCAGATTTGCTTAAAACGAAACAATGTAAAATGTAAGTTGTCAATCTGTCAGTGAACAAAGATTATTAAAACTTTTCAAGTTTGTTTTTGTTATTTGCTTTATGTTCATAGTTTTCTTATTAAATAAAAGAATTAAAGAAAGTGTATATTGCCTTTGTGTTATTTGGCGTAATTAAAAACTAGTTAACTTTTCAAAGCCACAATGACTGAAGTTCTTCCAGCAGAAGAAGCTAAACAAGATCGTATCATTACTATTTTAAGTGGTTTTCAAATGTATCCTTTTAATAAATAGTGTCTCATAATTTAAACTCGTTGTTTATCTATTAAATTTAGGTGATCATGTATTTTCACATTTATTATCCATATATGCTCTGCTTAAATTGACAGGTTGTTTTGTTGTTACCTGATGATGTCACCTTTTGCTTCTTTCTCTTATTTAAGTTATAACTAATGTACTGTTCGTAATATTTATTGCATAGTTATTATTATATTGATGTAAGTATACTATTAAATTAAAACATTAAATTTCCTTAATCCAAAACAGTAATTGGATGAACCTCCGTGATGCAGATACAGGTAAAAAAATATAAATTTTATATGGATCTGATCCCTCCTTGAGCTTGGTTTAAATACATTTTTACTTTTGTGTTAAGATTTTGGATTTGTCTTAACAAATTACAATTTCGAAGCAATTTACACCTTTAGTAAAATGGTTAATCTCTATTTTCCAGGGAAAATCCTTTGGCAGCACAACGAAGATATGTCTAACCCTGATATTGAACATGAAGCCAGAGTACCTAAGCGAATCCTTAAGTGCAGAGTTGTTTCCCGTGAGATGAACTTTAGTTCCGTTGAATCCATGGAGAGATTTAGGCTTGAACAAGTTAGTAAATTATTAGATAACAGTTACACTTAGTGTTTATAATATAACCTATACCAAGGCTAAAAAATTGATAAGAAAAAGTATTCATACATGGATTTAAGACACCCATGGTTGCAATATGTTATTCTTATTTCAGAAAGTATTATTCAAAGGACGTTGTCTAGAGGAGTGGTTCTTTGAATTTGGGTATGTGATACCAAACTCGACTAATACATGGCAGTCTATAATAGAATCGGCTCCAGAATCTCAGATGATGCCAGCAAATGTATTGAAGTAAGTTGAAGACAGTGACAGTTGATGAGAAAAACTATTCTATTACAAACATTAACAAAAATATATATGTGACACAACTACCTGTCATTAAAAATGAAAACTTACTAATGTATTTAAAGTTTAAATAAAACACTTTGATGGTCACAAGGAGACCATTGATGCTGCGATGCATCCAAAACATCTGGCCTTGGTTAAAAATAATTTTGAAATAAGTTTAACTAATATATATCATGTTTTAAATAGTTAGTGTTTTATTTAAATATGTACTGCTTGTGTAAACTAAAGACAATATTTAAAATGTATATTAATAATTTTAATGTTTCTATTATTACTTGAAGCTACCGTTAGTATTTTCCAATCAAATAATCAACTTTTTCCTCAAATTAACATGAACTTGCTCACATGTGGACGTTTTCCCCTACCTTGTGTTAAAATGGGTTTAAATCCCACACAGTTTAAAAAGTTTCAGTTGGAAGCTACGAGTATCAAGCATTTTGCCTGTAAGTAAATGACCGGGCAATTAGGTTATACATAATACAAACATACATTCCATACATAACTAACATAAAGAAGATATCAAACAATACAAGGAGAAGTATCAATTATAAATTAATATTTTATTTACTTTCAGTGGAAATGTGGTGATAGAAACAAAGTTCTTTGATGGAGATCTGCTGATTACTACGTCAAGAGTGAGATTGTTTTATGTGTAATGTGACAAGTACTACGTAGCATTTACATATGATAACTATCAGCATTTGAATGCGCATTTTATAGGCCTTATTTACATACATTTTTATTTATTAATAAATATATTTTCTTTGCATTGATTTTCACTCCATTCAGCTTTACTATCCGAAATATTTGAAGTCTACGACTAAGACTAGAATTTACTGGATTGAAAATAATCTTTGAGCGCATGTGAGTTAAAGAAACTGAATGATGACGTGTAAATCACGGTAGATCTAGAATTGATTAGAGCTACACCATGGACCGCTGTGGATCCCGGTTTAATACCAGACCATGTTGTTGATTTTTTCAATCTAAATAGATTTTAATGTTTCTTTACTCTTTCTTTAGTTCATTTTGTATAAGAAAAATCTATTTCTCTGGCGCCTACTCTTGCATACAAAACTAAACATAAAATAATTATTTAAAGATTTTTTTGTAAATAAGGCCTTCAAGAATACAAAATTGTAGCATTTAAGATAAATAATACAATGTGCATGCCTAATCTAGTCAAGATTCAAACACTTTGTAAAGCACAGGCTAGGGATAGATGATTAGAAATAAATCATTTTTAACGTTTTAAAATGTACATTAGTTAGTTTTAACTATGTTACCTCCTATATTGACTCCAGGTCATTACTTAATTTGGTTCTAGTTGCTGACTAATATAATTCTCCTAAAGTACTCCGCGCATAAACAAGATATAAAACTTAGATTTATTGAGATTACACAGTTTTTTTATTCCCAATTATGTCTTAAGGATAATATTTATAGGTACAATAATTGCGTCCCTTAGATCTATTCGTTACTTAGATTCATTGTCAATTGCTAACTTTAATAGGATCTTTATGTAAAGTTAACTAAATGAGAACTAGGGGATTGTACAATGATCAAATTAAAATATCAAGTCTCAAAATTTTAGTAAGAACTAAGAACAAAAAAAAATCTGGTTTTATGATTGCATATTGAATAATAATGTAGAATCATTTATTTCAATATTTTAAAATGAAGAAAAAACATGTTGATAATTATGATATTTTTTACCGGTACTAAAAGACAGTGTGTTATGTCATTATATTGAAGCACTAATAAATGTACTTTCAAATAAATAAAATCTTATTAATAAAAATTATAAATAAAGATTATTTAAAACACTTTCAGATTATTTGGCCGATCCCCTATTGGTTACATAAGGACTATGTAGTTGGATTAAAAATTCGTATGACTAAGAATTCTACTATAGATAATTTGTACTTGTTATTGAAAGGTTAGGATATAATTCTATACATAATATATTGTTACTTCACATATTACACACACTCCCCACAACACACACATCTCATAAATTTCACAACCAAAGAAATGTTAATTGGTTAAAAGTAATATATTATAGGTAACTAGCAATGTAAGTATTGTATGACGCAATGAATCAGTTATTGATGCTTTTAGGAAAAAAAATGTTTGTTTAAATAAAACACTTTAACGGTTTAAAACGCGATACATTAGTTAAACTTATTTGAAAATGATTTTTAACTTCGGCCCAACGTTTCGGATGCTTTGCAGCAGCCGTGGTCACGTAGTCTCCCCGTGATGATTTTTAACGTCGGGCCGAAGTTAAAAATAATTTTCAAATAAGTTTACCTAAAATATCGCGTTTCAAACCGTTAAATTGTTCTATTTAAATGTATACTACCCGCGTAAACTATAGACAGTATTTAAAATGTTTGTTTTATGATTAATAAAACCTTTTAAATATCTCCTGTGCAGTATGTTTTTTTACAAATGATGCATTCTATAAGATTTATTAGTAATGTTTGTTGTCTAAGATGAATTCGCAAATACATGGAATTATTGCTTTATCTGTTTTTGTCTTATTAATTTTGAAAATATCACAGTATTAAAAAGTAGACATTAGATTCTTGTTTTTTATTAAAACTTCTAAATCTATTGGTATAGCATATATGGTTCTTAGTGAATGGGTCGTGGGTTCGACATGTTTCTTATCTTATACATTTTCTGAAACATGTTGGATTTCGTTTGGAAGACTGGATATTAATTGGGTAGTATGAAATATCCAAATCCTGTCCGGGTCACGAAACACAGCACAGATGAAAAATTCGTAGCTAGAAATGACTTCACTTCACTTTATTCTTATTACTTAAATTCAGTATTAAGTATTTTTAATTTCATTCATTAATTTTCAAATTCAAATTGTTAAATCCAACGGAAAGTACGAAACGATTTGAAATCAAGTCTTGTCAATTTTTTCAGATTTAGAGTCAGTTGTATGCTGCACGAAATCTTATTTCTTATTTATCGCGTTTTGAAACGGTTAAAAATGTTTTCTTTTTCTGTTTATAACTATAGGTACTACTCAACTCCTACTGCAGACTATATCGTTATATTTAATATAATTTTATATTCTTATGACTCGCTTTTAATAAAATATTCGTGTCCAAAACATGTCGCAATGATTGATTACCTATAGCCATATAGCCGAGTGATTCACACATATCGTTGCATCGCGGTTCACCTGACAGGTATTAAAGACAGACAATGGCGTATGATCAGATTCTTATTCATGTTAATGACGTGTCACTCTGATGACTCGGTAAGTACTAAGCTTTGCATACGAACGAGAAAATAATTTAAGTATTCGCTCAAGACGTTGTCGCTGGTCGTCTGCTGGCCTCCCGGTTGCTGTAAAGCATCCGAACCGTCCAGTCGTAGTTTACGTTAATGAAAAATAAGTTTATCTAATATACTTTGCGTTTTCAACCGTTAAAAGTGTTTCATTACACTGGAGACCACATATCACAGTATAAAGAAGATAATTAGTGGCAGGATTGAGATTCGAGTCTCGTTTTATATTATTACTAGCTGTGCCCGCGACGTCGTTCGCGTGGAATAGTGACTTGTGGTAGAATTTTTAATTATTTAGACTGTTTATTAATTTATGTGATTGTGCATTATCGCAGCCAATCTATATTGTAAGTGTACCTACTTTGCCGCAACACTCTCACCTCACATCACTACTACTCTTACTCCCACTCTCACTAGCACTTCCACTTCCATTCCCAAAAAGCCAAAGAAGAAAGTTTCATTGTTCTGGCTTCAAAAACCACGAAATTCCATACAAAATTTCACCTCCCTTTTTACCCCTTACAACCCCCTTTTCGCAATAAAAGTCCTATGTTCTCAAGGTCTGTGTACAAGATTTCATTCAAATCCGTTCAGTAGTTTTGGCGCGAAAGAGTAACAGACAGACAGAGTTACTTTTGCATTTATAATATTAGTAAGGATATTATCACTATTGTATGTCTTCATTTTTTTATAATATATGACATTTTATTTCATTTAGTAACAAAATTTCAGACAAGATAGTAATGTTTACACGGACACATAAGAATGTCCAATCCAATCCAAAGCTAAAATAGGTCGATAGGGCATCTTGTTTAGATGTTAATTTTTTATGTTAAGTTTAATATGGAAGGTGATGACTGGTGTCTGTACTATTGTCTATGCAGTCGTGCAATATCAAGGTTAATATACTGACACGTTAACCAATACAATTCACCATAAAGGAAGCGGGGAGCGTGACGTCACCAGCCAGGAAAAGCTCCCAGCCGTCACGACGGGAACTTTTCGAATTGAATCACGCCGCACATCCTCTTTAGTCGGAATGCACCCACCGACTTGTACGTTGCCGCCGAAGGAAGCAGTGGCCCCGCATATAAATAATAGAAATTATATAATTATGTGCTGGTGGCTGGACGTTCACAGCGATGGGGTATCTTTAACATCAATCAGTCTGAGCATGATGACTTTTATCTATTCATAACATATAATCACTTTTCCAAGTGAAGAAATAGTAACATTTTTCACATGATGGCATTGTATCAATAATAAATTTATTAAAAAAAAATAACGACAAGATAGCTCAATTAGTTAGAGCTTGCTGGTTCAAATATCGTGTCATAATTTTTTTCAACCTAAATAGATTTTATTGATATATATATAATACTAGCTGTGCCCGCGACTTCGTCCGCGTGGAATAGTGACTTTGGGTACAATTTTTTATTATTTAGGCTGTTTATTAATTTATGTAAGAGCGCATTTAATGCAACCTATCTATGTTGTAAGTGCTACTTCAACCCTTTTTGGCATTAAAAAGCCATAAAAAGTAGTCCTTTCTCAGGCTCTAAAATATCTGTGTACCGAATTTCATTTAAATCAATTTAGTAGTTTCGGAGTTAAAGCGGGACAGACAGAATTACTTTCGCATTTATAATATTAGTATAGCGTATAACGTTGTCTTTTTGAAGTGTTGCTTCGATCAAAAGATCCATAAAAACTCTATCTACGTACGTAATCGTGTCATTTACCAACTTACAAAAATTAAAAATCGACCTTAGGGTGAAAAAAATACTGTTACAATTAAGCTACCGTGTCCTACACACGGTAGCTTAATTGCTTAGAGCAGCAACTCGGAGCTGTGGTAGCCGGTTCAAGTCCTGCCAGCGTTCTGTGTGTCTGCCAGTGTGCCATCTTTAATTTATATTATAACACTGATTTATTGATAGTGTTGCTTAAAGACAAAGATGTAAAATCTCTATCTACATACTTAATCTTGTTACTATTTACCTCGTAATTAAATACTATAAATTTAATTACTATATACATACTTTTATTTCTGTTAACATCTAGTTGGTTTCTTTGGAATCAAATGTTTCTTTCAAACCGTATAAGCTCTGAAACCGATTACTTAAATTAAAGCGGTCTGCTATGTTATCGAACAGGTAATTAATTTGAAATAGAAACCGTTAAATCGGTTCAATAGTAAATAAAGGTAATAAATGACGAATTAAATTTATCAGATAAATATTGGATCTTCAAAGAGCGACTGGCGTCGCGCTGAGCACCGGATGCAGAGCGAACGTACGGTATTTTTAGTTGTGGTGATTGCCCCCTTCCTGTTTCCTCT